AAACTAAGACTGAAATAAAGTAAAAAAGATATAACGCTATAAAGTCTACATTGAAGTATGTTGTCTTAGGTAAAATTAATTCAAATAGAAACAATTAAAAATATATATAATATTTAATGAATCTTTCGATTGTAAACTTCGATGATATTGTATATTATGAAAGAGGTCAGTCAATAGTGAGCTAATGTCCTATGATGTACAGTTTCAATTTAAGTGACCTTTAAAGTTTAATTTCTATCCAGCAGCTGTAATTCTGTTTAAACAACTTTTATATTGGTAAGTGTATGTGGAAGGATGCATGCATATCAGTCCAATAAACAAGAAAATTATACTTTACAAAACATAGTTACTATTTTATTGTAAATATTGTCTCTAATTTAATATTAGATTAATGTTGGCCGTGTGCCAGAATCCGAGGGTTTTTTCAATTGAGTGTTTACTACATTCCATATTTATGTTGAGATACTATCATTGTTTTTTTACTCGCACAGTTCTGTGCTCGCCCCGCCGCATGCTACACTATCGCCTCTTAATCGTCCCTTTTTGTCTGTATATCGCTCTCCTGTTCTTTTTTTTTTTACTGTGTAATCTGCTATTAAATTGTCATATTGTCGACAATAATTTACTAGTGATTGATATTATTATGCAAAAGAATTGAAATCTCATTAGAGAATAGACATTGTTTAAACTAAACAAATATAATTGAATTAAATTAGTTATTTATTTGTATAATAAGAATACATATACTACATAACCAAAATAAATATATTGTTGACTTCGATAAATGACTGATTGAGATATATATATATGCAGAATAGTGTTATCCACAAAGACTATAATTATATTGTTGGCCGCCTCTTGACACTCTAACATATATTCTTATTTATATAGTTACAAATAGGAAATGAGTCCCTTTGAATGACAATTAATAAACATCAAGAATTGTGCAATATTTTTTGCAATCATATATAGATATATTTAAAAACACTTTCAAAGAGGTAGACAACATTCAAAGGCACATATTTATGTCACTACATTATACAGTGAATTAATGGAAAATGTACACATATATCGAAGATTTTTTAAATAAATATTAATTAGTATAACATTATATGGAAGAGTTGACGTTGCAGAAGTACTTATTCATTGTTTAATGTGATATAGTTGCAATTAATACACATTAAAAAAAATTCTCGAGAAAAAATATTATCAAATCTATAAGGAATTTACATATATAGGCATCTTATTTACTTAAAACAATATACTGTTATTTTTAATTTATATTTAAGTTGTTCCATTGATAGATTTGCAATTTACTTTATCATATCTTACCTTGTAATAGTTTGCTAGATAACTATGGAATAGATTGAGTGTCATGTCATCATGTCATGTGAAAGTTATAAACACAGCACAAGTCACAGTATGACTTGCTACAATGAAACTATATTTTTTGTTTATTGTATAATAAAAGAAATACAATGTTAATGATTAAAGAACTAAACCAGTTTGATAAATATTAGTACGTTTTAGAGTGATGTATAAAAGTGGTGCTTGTAGATAATAACAAATCAAGGGCATCACAAAATACACTGTTATGGCCATGATTACTCATATGATGCCATTCATGAGGAATAAGGGCTTTATATTTACATACACGAAATGCCATCTAATCGATCACTTTGTATATGACAAGGCGAAAAAAAAATTGACAGTAATCTCAGTGTCCAGATGCGGCTAATCGTGCCTAAACAACGAGGCCATTCATTGTTTAAAATATTATATTTATATAGATAAACCTGATTATTGTCATAATAGTTATACAATTTAATACCTTATAAATATTTAAGAGTATAACTATATAAATGAGATAAAAGAGTAAGATAGCATTTTATTAGCGATGACACTATTAGAAAAGTTCAACAATTCCCCTTACAAAAGCAACAGCACAAGTATCATTACATATTTATTAGTATTGCTTATGCTTGGTTTGTCTAAAGTTTGTCGGGAATTGTAGATTATATGAATTTACTATTAAAAAGTTTATCGTAATATAATTACTACTGATTTGTACACTATATATGCAAACTCTATACAATTTATCATCGCTAATAGAAGCTTACGTCATTTATGAATAAAAGCCCTCATGTACGAAATATATTTTTATTCGAATAAGAACATATAGCATTTAATCATCTCAAAGATATTATAATACATGATTGACATAAGCTGGTGAAGCTATTCCGAGAACTAAGTTGAATCGCTAATCGAGTTGAGATGGCGGGGGGAGGGGGGGGACACGGCCATTTGTAAACCAATCCTGTTTTTGATATGCATTCGCATACCCCCCCCCCCCCTTATTGAAGTCCGAAACTAAGTTCCATTTTGTTTTCATTATTTTGCTAGTAATACAGATATCTAAAATAAATACAGATTTAAAGGGAACACTGTTTAAATATATTTATGCTAAAGTACATATAACTTCTATCTCAGTTTTACATATACTTAATAATATCAGAATGAGCGTAGAGTAGTGTAAAGTAAACAAAAAGTATTATAGCTTATTGAAAAATGTTCCGCTCAGCATAAAAAGATGAAGAACTAAGTGTTCAGTTCATTCTATTACCTTGTATTGATTGTTTGGTCTAATTAAAAAGGTAAGCAAATACTGATATAATATAAAAGTTGTTTAAAGTAGTTCACAGAATAGATAATTTAATTACTCTAGAATCAAACAATATTCCATTTGTCATATTAATAAGTAAAAGCAGAAGCAAATGTTTAATGATAAAAAAACTGCATTAAATAATGACCTATCAATAATGATTAAATGATTTTCATTTGTTACCCGCTTCGAGTAAATTGTCTATTAGCGACGCGATTTATGATACAATATTTTATAATTATCCAGCGAAATACAGCATTTTGTAGTCACGGTGCGGCCTATTATTCGCGACGTGACTATAAAAAGCTATTTTATAATTTTTATATATATTATTATATTTTAATATAAGCAGATAGACGTGAGTTCGACTACGTAAAATTGCTTGTTGCCAAGATTTGGTAACACGGTATAATTTGTAACTTGAATAGGTTTGATAAGATTTGAATGATTGACAGTTTTATTCTTTGGTTCACATCTAAAGACACAGTCCATCATTTTTTAAATTATTCCTGTATATCTGTTGTATGTTCTGCTATACTAACTGATAAACATTTTGCAATATAAATTTATCTTGGATAAGGCGTTGGGGCCATTCATTAATTACGTAAGATTTTTCGCTAGTTTTTGACCCCATACCCTATTATAAGAAAAAACAAGAATAGGCCGACCCCTCCCTCCCCCTGTTAAATTTTTATTACGTAAGAATCTAAAGGAAAAATAAATTCTAAATAACAATTTTTACAAATTTTTAAAAACAATTTTATTTAGAATTTATTTTACAAAGGTGCAAATTTTTTATATTTTTTGGTAGTAATAAACTTTGGTGTTAATCATACCTCTGAAAATCTTTACCTACATAAGATTTTCAGCCCAGGGGTTCAAAACCCACTCGGAAAGTGGATCTGCAACTGGAACATCTCTAATAATAGGTACTGCTTCTAGGTGGTCCATACATGTCGTCGACGTCGTCTACGTTCATCCATTCCACATCAGCCCCTATGCGGCACAAAACTTCTTTGCCTCGCCTTGAATATATGGCTAAAGGTTTTTCTTTTTTACTATTTGAAATATGCCCATGAAGTTTTTGTGAAATTGCGCTGCCTTTTTCGCAAAGACGTAAAGTAGTAATTAGACATTCTTTCATGAGCGAATCTTGTATTGATGGACAGTAAAAATCGTAAGGAACAGTCTTGAATGGTATCTCGGAACTCGCGCGGTATTCGTACTTTTTAAAAGTATAATTTTAACATTGCGCATTTGTGATCTTACGTAAGAACTGTCATGGCTCCCTCCCACCCCCTTGTAAAAAAAAATAAGACATGGTCGACCCTCCTCCCCTCCTAAATTGTTTTACATAATGTTGTGTTCGATTACTTTTTTACTCAATTAATTCACTTGATTAACTTCAATAATGAAAATCATAATAATCAGGAATAAAAAAAAAAAATAATCTTGACTAATGACGTTCATAACAAATAATAAATAATAATATTACTAGTTTATTAATGTTTCCTTAACATCAATTCCAGGCCTTGTATGACATTATGAGCATGGGCTATAAACATAAAAGTTCGTTATAACAAACATATCATTGCCACTGTTAGCCCAAATAAACTTGTGGCAGCGAACTTCTAATCAACCGCATCTTGTATTAATTTGATTTTTGCTAAAGTGTCGCGTATGATATCGGTGGTGATAATGTAAATAATCATGCTGGTGACGTTTGTGATAATGACATCGTCATCACCACCATCTTCCTTGTAGTCATGATCCACTTCGACAAAAGTTACTACTAATAACAAATGGAATGATAAACCACCTGGCCCGTCTGATGTTAAATAGATACCACATACAAAAAAGTTGTAAACTATTAGTTTCAAATATCACGACAACGAAATCGCACATTTTGGACAGTGTTGCCATATCATAATGTGGCAGGATGACAACGATAAGAGGATACCTACTGATAGGTAATCTTTCGTACGAAGTACGAGGACATTTTCATACTTGTACAAGTTTTTACGATATTACGAACTCTGGAATTTGACCAAATTTAAATTTCGTTTTAAAGTTACATTGAGATACTCCTCGATGACGCTAAATTGATCTAATATACGAGATCTTTATACTGTTTGATAAAATATTTAAAGCTTGACAATCTTGTTCGACTCGACTATGTACAGATATTACGATAAAACAAAAATATTATTTATACAGAAAAGCCAAAAAAAGCCAAAATGGCAACTTCTAAATTCGTTCATATCTTATTCTGATACAGTGTGTGATATCGTTCTTATGTAAATAAATAAGTGCCAGAAATAGAAATAGGTATAATTTAAATCAATTGCAATATTTAACTAATTATCCCCATTTTAAGCCCTTTATAAAATCCTAGGTAGCTCGAATATAACACTGAGTTGTTAACACTTTAATCCAATAAACATAAACATCGTAACTTTCAAAACATTACAAAAAAAATCGATCATTTAATATTGCGTTACTTGTTAAAAATATACCCATAATATTCAGTGTGATAATACTACAATAAAACTTCGTTTCTAAGTTTTCAACCGAACAAGATAATGCGAATTTATTTAAACTGGTATGTACTTTTTTTTATTGTACTACTATATATGCTTCCTAACATAAATAAAACTCGAAAATCAGAAAGACTAGCTTCTAATAAAAATTTTGCAATAGCGATGAAAACATGGAGAAATGTTGTAAATTGTCAATAATTCCGTATAGGTTATTTTCATCAATCTAAATGGCGGGCTTTTCAAATTATTACAACAGAAAGGTATAGAGCGAACACTATATAACACATTGTATCATTATTACTATACACTGTACTTTAGTTGGAGTATAAAATTACTACATAATTAATACAAATTATGACAAAACTATACATGAAATGAAACCAACATCTTTGTCTATAAATTAGGGATGTCAATGTGCATCGATGTTGAATTTATAGAAAAGCGCAAATGCATCGATTCTAGTCGGTCATAATTATGAATCGTTCATTACATTATTACATAATTAGACCTCAAGTCTTATTAGCATAAAAAAGCAAGGGCATAGACGCATAATAATTTTTTTTGGCGTTGCAGAGATTTTTCAGCACGTTAAGGCAATGAAAAATCCCAGTGATGTACAAAAAAACAACATGACTGTAGCGGTCATAGATCACTATAATTTCATGAATTGGTGAAATAAGACTTATCTTAGCTTTTCTTACTTTTTCAAGAAAGTTATCCATACATATAAATAAAATTGGAGTGTTTATTTTTAATATTGAAATAACCTTTTTTACTACATGCATATGCAATGCAATTTTTGTGTCTGTCTGTTTGTTCCGGCTAATCTCTGAAATGGTTGGACTGATTTTGACGGGACTTTTTTTGACAGGTAGCTGATGTAATAAGGAGTAACTTAGGCTACTTTTATTTTAGAAAAATAAAGTTAAATTCCACGCGGACGAAGTCGCGGGAACAGCTAGTACTAATTTAAACAACACGTGTACAACGACAACGCGTACGTGATTCCCTTGTTGTCACGTACGGTAACCGGTTAACATTGGATGGGCCGTCCTCAAAAAAAAACAAATGTTCATTGAATTATTTGTTGGAGCAAATTAAAAAAAAAATGTATACCAGTGATCCAATAAGAACCATGTTTTCATTTAAACAATATCAGACACTTTTTTCCTTCAACGTTATTTTTAGAAATCATATAAAATTAAATACTAAGTACATTAATATTAAACAACAAAATATCTATAGAATTGTGTAGCGGTATTCGCTCTTAACTCTTGACAACCAACATAACATCACATGTGATGTTAGCTGTCAAGATTTAGACTAATTTGTTTTTAAACGTAGTAAAAAGATTCTTTTTATTTTAATAAGATAATAATTTGTTAATAAATCGATATGTTGAAAACAGTCGATAATATTTATACCTTACTGATCTATCTAATGTCAAGATGACAGAGTCAATTGACACTGACATTCTGTTAATATGCCCTATATTGAGTGAATTGTGTGATAAATGATAAACAACATTATTTTATATTTATTGTACTGTGTTCTGTACAACTACTAAGGTAAGTAATTTATTCTTTTAAAAATGCACAGTTTTTATATCCTTGAATTATATACATTTCTATGATAAGTTAATAATACTTAAGAAAGTATTCAAGTCTACAGCCAAGATTGTGCTAATAGTTGTTACAATAGTATACCCAAGTCACTCAAACCTGTTAAACCTTTTTACACATAAATAATGTCTATTCGTTTGTAGTTTTCAATGTAACAAAAATGGGTCCACCAAAAAAAGTGAAGAAATATGATTCAAAAACCAGCAATGACAGATCAGGTAAGTAAATCACTTTTATTTGATAAATATCTCAAATTATATATAAAATAATATTGTATGATTGTTAAAATGTTATTTGTGTACAACATATTTGGTTGTTTGGAATTCTATCTGTATAAACAGTATATCTGTTAAATTAAAAATTATAGGTAAAAAGAAGAAAATTGAAGAAGATAATATGACTATAGACTTGGTAGATGAAGACAATGCTACAGAGAATGATGGTGTTCCTGGAGCTGCAATGCAGGATGCTGAGAAAAATGATCAAGTACCTGAAGATGAATTTGGTGCTAAAGATTACAGGTATATTTTAATCACAATTTGGATGTACCATTTAAATTGAGTAATTTTCAATTTAATGCAACATCCTAGTCTAAACAACTAAATAAAAGACAAACATAATTTGTGAAAAAATTATGTAATGTAATTAGATAATTTTTTGCAATAATATTACAGAAATTTATTACTCTATTTAAGATCTATGATGTCGAAATTACAACATTTAATGAAATATCAAGAGTGGTTTTCTTAAAAGAGATATCTCATGCAAATAGTAATAAGCTATTAGTAAAAACTGTATTATACATATAGAGTTTTTATCTATAGCTATAATTAAACTATAGCTTATTAAGCTATATCTGATATGTACAGTATACACTGTTAACTCTGGACATCAGTTTGTGCCATCATGCAACTGCATTCAAACTAAAACTTAGCAAGATGCTTCAACTTTTATAGTAGCTATTTGTATGTATACTGTGGATTCCCGGTTATAAAACAAACATTTTACAGGGCTGTGTTGGACCATCGAATTTGTTGGATTATTGAGTACTGCCTAAGGGGTCCCCTATAGTCTGGAATTTTTACAAAACAGTACCTTGTAATCCGACAAATTAAAGATCCAGTGATAAGATTCTATATACAGTGGACCCCCAGTTATCCAACAAATGTTTTGCAGGGCAGTGTCGGACCATCTAATTTGTCGGATTATAGAGTGCTGCCTAAGGGTACCCTATAGTCCAGAATTTTTTACAAAAGAGTATCTTGTAATCTGTCAAATTATAGGTTATTAATATTAATAACCTATAATTATTATTAATTATAGGTCCAGTGATAAGATTCTATGTTATATATGTATGTATGTATATGCACTTTAAAGCATAAATCATATTTCATTATGTATGTCAACCACTAAAAGATTTGTTACGATTTAGGCGGTCTAAAATATCACATTTTTCTATAATTGTCCATTGACAAAAGTTTTGTACTTTCCCTTCTGAGCTGATATATAATACACAATGAATACATGCTCTTATACTGCACTGCTATCTTCATCATATGTAAGTAGTCAAATTCAAAATAAGCAAACATAATCAAAACAGCAAACTTGTTCATACTTGTTCAGCGAAGCTTGTCAAAAAAATATTCAATAATAAATAATAGACTATGTCCGATTACAAGGCCGGATAACTGGGGTCCACTGTAATTAGAAAAATTAAGTGTTGTAGATATAATAATATTTATGTCATATTTTCCAATAGGAGTCAAATGTCATTAAAGCCAGATAATTCAAGTCGACCTTTGTGGGTAGCGCCAAATGGTCACATATTTTTGGAAGCATTCTCGCCAGTCTACAAACATGCACATGATTTTTTAATTGCTATAGCAGAGCCAGTATGCAGGTACCTATATCATTTATAACTTATCAATGTTTCTATAACTTTTTTAACCAAAAAAGACGGTGTGGTTGAAGATTTTAATTATTTTTAACAAACTGTTAAATGAACATCATTTGCTTTTTCTGTTTATGTGAACAATATTTGTTTATCAAGTTGCAAGTACAATTTGAATACTGATTACACATCATAATTTCAGGCCACAACACATTCATGAATATAAACTGACAGCATACAGTTTATATGCAGCCGTGTCTGTTGGTTTGCAAACAACAGACATAATAGAGTATCTCCAGAGATTAAGCAAATGTGCTGTACCTGCTGGCATTGTAGAATTTATTCAACTCTGCACACTGTCATATGGCAAGGTCAAACTTGTTCTCAAACATAACAGGTAATAGATAATTTTATTTATGCCTTCTATATAAATATTAAAAAAAATTTTTTAAACAACATGTTACTGGTGTACAACATTCATATTCGTTGCTTTATCCTATGGACAAAATTTTATCAAGTCATTGTAGAAAATTTTCATAGCAGCATGTCTTGTATGGAGATAGGTCAGGGACATGAAGTTTAATTACTTATATTTGTTGACAAATATTGCCTTACTTGTTAGTGGCATTGTTACCATCAAACAATATCCTTTCTGGTAAACAAAAGATAAGTTGTATTTTATGAAAAAATTATAGCAATTAGTAAATAAATTGTTGTTTGTTCCTAAAAGTTTTTCCTTTGCAGATATCTAGTGGAAAGTAAACATGTCGAAGTATTACAAAAGTTGCTGCGCGATCCAGTGATCCAGGAGTGCAGGTTACGGCGCGATGGAGAAGAGGATCTTCTAACTTCCGCACTCCCCAACAAACCTGCAGATGCTACCGGTGCAGCGAGACCTGGTAATCTCATAATATTCTTATTTATATGACTTTAGCATTATTTATAGACTTTTGAAATGACACGAGACTGTGGCACACTGTGTCCACTGTAATATATTCAACTGTATTTCAGAATGGATTTGTAAAATTGTACTGATGGATTATATCAATATTAATTAACATATGGAAATTAAAATAAATTTCTAAAACTCAAGGGGCGTTCAAGTATTACGTAAGCAGATTTATTACAAAAAAAGTAAGCAAAGCTTACCCCCTACCCCCATGTTTATGTAAACATTTTTCCATTAATGTATTGTCTTTTTTACAAATACAATGTGATCGGCAGTTATTTACTTTTTACACGAATGGCAACCCATTCGTGTTGATGACGTAATCATCATCTAGACTACTCCTACCCTCCATGTCATCCAAAATAATTTTGTCTATTTAGAATGTGGCATCCATTATTTTCCTGTTATATCTTTGTCGCCCAGCCATATCCTAGCCTATTTGCATATCCGCAATGTTCTCCAACTCTGGATTTATACAATTCTGTTTACGTCTATTTTTCTCATAAGACCTGAGTGTCATTCAACTAACGTCTGAATTTTCAGAGAACCTTTTATAATTTCGTGCTCTGATAGGAAGTTTGTATTTTTGCAACCGATTTTGACTATTGATAAAGTCAATTTAATTGTTTATTTTTTGATATCCATATCGACTTTCTAGACTTTATTTTTTACAAAATATGTGATTACTGACAGTGTATTTTGATATACATAATTGCATATTGTACATACATAATTGCACATTCCCCTCTATTGTTCTATTTGTTAGATCCATACTTTCCTTTTATTATATCTTCTAGCAAAATTTTAACAACTAATCCTTATGTTCACTTTAGGTCATTATAAAATTTGTTTATTTTTTCATTGCTGGAGTTTTCGATAGGAGAGTAAATTTCAATTGAATATAGTGGTGTGATTTTCATTTTACATCTAAATTTTAATAATGTTAAAATTTTCATTTTAATATACAATTCTGCTATTTTTAATTGCAGGTGAAGAAAAACCAGCAGCGAATGGTAGTGTTCCCGATGACATCAGTCAGTTTTATCAACAACTTGACAAAGATGATGAGGACGAGGAGACCACAGATATTGCAGCCAACACTGCTGTCGCATTTGAAGTCGATCCAGATAAAATTGAGGTACAGCCAAACAGACTAACTATTATAAAGTCAATTATATTGAAATTTTGTAGAATAATACTATATTAATTTTTACACTAGATGTGCTCACAGATTCTTAGTGCTGATTGAAATAAAATTAACATAGTATGTTATGAGAAAATTTGCACTATATATATATCAGTGAGAACCGTATTAAAATTGATTAAACTTCTATTGAAATTATATTGAGATTTTTACATAAATACTTAGACGAACATGCAAAAATACTAATTTACTAGTTTTTGATCTGCTGAAATTGCAATTCGATTCTATTGAGAGAAGTCATAATTTTACAGGTTATACAAAAAAGATGTATTGAACTGGAACATCCTCTACTGGCTGAATACGATTTCCGTAATGATTCCATAAATCCTGACATAAATATTGATCTAAAACCAACAGCAGTGTTGCGACCTTACCAGGAGAAGAGTCTAAGAAAAATGTTTGGCAATGGACGTGCTAGGTAAATATTAGTATTGCAGTTGGTGCCTTTGTTTGATTGACCTCCCTGTGTTTGAAATCGATATTTATCATGTACCACAAATATAGCTAAATTAATAACGCATTTAAAATGGAAATTTAGTATCATTGAAACATAATAAAGATACTTGAACTATTTTAAATTTTAACAAATGCTGTTTGTAATGACTAAAAATATTTTTTTCCCTCTAATTATTCAATTTAATTCTGCTGTGAATTAGCACAAGTCATTATCACTGAAGTTATTCCCTCGTAATATGCAAAACGGACATCATGCATTACGAAAACTTTGTCTAATGCCGAATTCACAAACCACTATCTAAAATATACGCTACTAATAATTTTGCTCAAAAAGTATTTATCACATTTAAGTAATTGAACTCTCCATGATTAGCGTAGTGTTGCAATGCGACTGATCGAAATTGATTTCAAGGAAACACCCCGCAGATCGGGAGTTATAGTACTGCCGTGCGGCGCGGGCAAGTCGCTGGTGGGCGTGACGTCAGTGTGCACGGTCCGTAAGCGCGCGCTCGTTCTGTGCAACTCTGGAGTTTCAGTCGAGCAATGGAAGCAGCAGTTCAAGTGCTGGTCCACTGCCGACGACAGCATGATATGCAGGTACAATCCTAACATAAACACATATAACTATTGTTAAGTTTAATTGAAATACAAATAAATATCTGGAGGGGTGCATGCAGTAAATAGAATACAGCTTTATTTCTGGTTATATATATATATATATATATACTACTAGATACTAAATGAACAAACTATAACTATATATCTCCAATAAAGTACATTAAAATTTTTTTGCAATATGGTCATGGATACGATGGATTAACGAAATTGTAACAACGCTTTGTTGAATTCTGAAAGTGTCACAATTGTTATCAAGGCCACATTTGCTATTGTTGTTCTGTAAACTTGACAAATATTTGATTTAATAGTATATTTAGTGTACCTAATGGAATGCCATGTCATGACCAAATAAAAATAAAAATCATAAAGAGTATCCTATTAAAAATATTATTATTATTGATAAATAGTGGTATGGATTGTCAGAACATAAGCTGCGTTTTAGTTAAATAAACTTTACGTATTATTATGGAAGGAAAACACTTTCATTGCAAAGTGTGTGTATTTCTGTATTGTTTGCAAATGTTATCCGTCAGATTTACGTCGGAGGCAAAGGACAAGCCGATGGGCGCGGGCATCCTAATCACTACATACTCGATGATCACGCACGGCCAGCGGCGCTCGTGGGAAGCGGAACAAACCATGAAGTGGCTGCAGGCGCAGGAGTGGGGACTTGTCGTACTTGACGAGGTGCACACGATCCCTGCTAAGATGTTTCGCCGCGTCCTCACCATCGTGCATTCCCACGCCAAACTAGGTATACCTCCAATCTCCTTTATAATACTTTGTAATTAATAAATATTAGTGTATGCCCAGTGCTGGAAATTTGACCATAATAAAAAATACAAAACTATCTTTGAACCAGGCATAACAATTTAACAACAGAGTATATATAATTTTGTGTGTCAAATATATAGTGTGTGTAATGTTTATTTTATTGTTTTAAAATGTTAATGTCATGTGTCATGTGTCAATGTTGATCACTACAGTTGATATGCTTGCACTTTATGTATAGATTTAATTTTAATCCAACAGGCCCCACTCCTACAGTTATTACCCTAGCGTACCATACCGTCAGAGAGATGGTGGTAAAGTTGTACCTTACGTATAAAAACCTGATTAATACTACAGTATTCATTAGATTTTTTATCGGTTTTACCTTCACCACAGAGTCTAGTTATAAATTAATATACAAAGCTTTCGAGAAACGCCCAGTTTCGAACCATGAGCCTAGGAGTAAATTAGGAAGAAAGCACTAAATCACGAAAATGTATTGGAATTACATGTGTTCATCAGGTTTAACCGCAACTCTTCTCCGTGAGGATGACAAGATCGCGGACCTAAACTTCCTGATCGGACCGAAGTTATACGAAGCTAATTGGCTCGAGCTGCAGGCTGCCGGTTACATCGCTCGCGTCCAATGTGCCGAGGTCTGGTGCCCAATGACACCGGAATTCTATCGAGAATATCTTATACAAAAGTTAGTATCAACCACAATTTTAATTTCTTTATTATTTTGAGGCTTCCCAATTATCCAAAAACATTTAACATAGATTAAAAATGTATTTCTTTAAAGGTAATAATAAATTTAAATTTATTGAAATTTACTTAATTTTCTAATTACAGTATACCTAGATATAAAATTGTGCTATGTGTACTATAAAATCTTTTTTATTACAATTATTATTTTATAAAACAAAATGCATGTAATTATTAGTAGGTTAGTTAGGTTATTAGCAGGTAAAATTATTAGTAATGCTTTGTTGTTTCAGAATAAACAAGAAAATGTTACTATACGTAATGAATCCATCAAAGTTCAGGGCGTGTCAGTTCCTCGTACGATACCACGAGCGTCGCGGGGACAAGACAATCGTGTTTTCAGACAACGTCTTCGCACTACGACATTACGCTGTCAAGATGAATAAACCCTACATTTACGGGCCTACATCGCAGAGCGAAAGGATACAGATCTTACAAAACTTTAAGTTCAACCCAAAAGTAAACACTATATTTGTCAGTAAAGTAGCTGATACAAGTTTTGATTTGCCAGAAGCGAATGTATTGATACAAATATCATCACACGGTGGCTCTCGCCGGCAAGAAGCTCAACGATTAGGTAAGAAAATCCAATAAGTAAGAACAATCCAAGTACTAAGAATTAGAAAATTAAATTTTCCTACTACATGGATCACGTGACAGTGAAATTTCTGTAATAGTTATTCAAAATTTAAAATTATTTTTAGTCTTCCTATTTACTTAGAAAAACTTGTTCAATTTTATCAAAATAACACCAGTACGAAGTCGAAAATACCAGAAACAACCTATATCTTACCAGAAACAGTACTAACCAGTAAATCATTTTCAGGTCGTATATTACGAGCAAAGAAAGGTGCCTTGGCGGAAGAATATAATGCATTTTTCTATACCCTAGTATCACAAGACACTTTAGAAATGGCTTACAGTAGAAAGAGGCAAAGGTTCCTTGTCAATCAAGGGTATAGTTACAAGGTACAAATAACATAAATGCTACCTAGTTTTTATGAAATCATAATTTGTGTTCTAATGTTAATTTTTTGCAGGTTATAACAGAATTAAAAGGCATGGACCAAGAGCCGGATCTACTGTACGGCTCACGGGAGGAGCAAGGCATGCTATTACAACAGGTAAGCATTTACTTCATTGTTCCATAGTGATAAATATAACGACTAAACATGTTACGGTATGCGGAAACGACCGGGCGCCGTGAATGCAATGTAAAATGACCCTTATTATATTAGAGTTACCACTCGTCGTTCGTTCTTCATAAATCGTAGTTACGTACTCTATTAATATGTAATTTATATGGTCACAACTCGCTCGTACCGTTCTCGGAATGTTCATATAATGCCCTTTTAGTCGAAATCACCGTACATAGGCCCCCATCTTGTGCCTCACTACTCTCTAAAAACCGGTAGTGATAACATATAAGCAACGATTACTGTTTAATAATATATTTTTAATAATCTCAGGACAATTCACACAGCACCATCTAGACCCAAGTTAAGCTAGGTAAAGCTTGTGTTATGGGTACTGGATAACTGATACAAATACATAGATATTTTTTTTCGTAAATACATACTTAATACACATAGAAAACACCATTTTTTAGTTTACCATCAGACATACAATCAGATCTTTCTACTCCACGCTCACCCACGAGCACCGTAAGGGCAGCGAAGGACCACAACCGAATATAGTCAGCGTTTTCTTTTTAACAATTCCAATAACATAAGCGTGTCGTGGTGCAGGTGCTGGCGGCATCCGAGACGGAGTGCGAGGAGGAGCGCGAGGGCGGCGTGGGCGGCGCGGGGGGCGCGCGGCGCTCCGCCGGCAGCCTCGCCTCGCTGGCGGGCGCCGACGACGGCCTCTACCTCGAGCACCGCCGCACCGCGCTGCAGAACAAGCACCCGCTCTTCAAGAAATTTAGATACTAACCTTTCCATCACAAAACTAGTGTACGAGACTGTGTCTTGTCGCCGTACGTGAAACTATGTAACTCGAATTTCGTAGTTTCGAGATATTAATTATGAACAATAAATCGTTCAATAGTCTCAAAACTACAATATTTGTGTGTTTGTATGTCATACGTTGGTTAAAAAGCTTTTTAACCACCGATTATTCTGGAAAGTTGCAATAGTATAATATAGAAATACGATGCCATTGAATCGTCATTTAAATTCTTTTATTGTATTCACAATATTCTTCATATATTTTGTTTGATTAATATCACTTTCCAGATTGAACTAGTGATACTTCTGTTTATTAATATAAAGTTAAAAATGTCCCAGCAAATAACTTCTTTAGTTTTGTATTATTTTCAATCGTACTGAGATATTAATTTTCTTTTACTATAAGCGTTATCTGATTAATATTAATGATCTAAGTTAACGCACACAGAAAAATGTAATAAATATTTTGATATATTTTTTTTTTTTATTTCTACATCATTGATGAGTCATTCCTACATGGTATCTGCCATTTTTTCTTACCAATTTAAAGCATTAGATTGATACCCTCTGATTACTTATGGACAGCATGGTATAATATTAAATTCGTGTGTATGTTATAAACTCAATATAGTATAGAAAAAAATTACTAGTGTTTATCCTATGCCTAATTTATACATATGTCTGTGATTTGTATAATATAAGACTACATCGTTTTTTCTAGAATTTTATATGATAACTTGTTTTGATAATTTGTTTCAGTAAAAAGGAGTCGGAGGGAGGTATACCCGAATGGGCCATAGTGGAGCTACAGGGGCTGATACAAACAAAGAAGGAATCCTTGGATGAGCCGACGGTCGTTGGCGACTTGCACTACTATAGGCGAAACCGTCACCCGGTTCTTATTCTTGGTCATCACGTCCTGAATGGGAAAGAAGTGAAACTAGAACAACCAATGGCGGTTATTGAAAAAATAAATACGTCAGAGAAAACCGAATACAAAGTGAGAGCGATCGTCAAAAAGAAAATTTTATTCAAGTCCAGACCGAAGCCCATTATATCAAATGTCGCAGAAAAAGTATAATTTTTAATTAAACACATGTACTATACATGACGTCAGTGTTTTATTATTAACATTTTCAATTACTTATTAATAGCTACTCCCCTCGGCTTTGCTCGAGTGTATATGTGTTATACATATAAACCTTCCTTTTGAATGACTCTGATCTGAATGATCTACTTGTAAAACTACATTAAAATCCTTTGAGTAGTTTAAAAGATAGCGAACAGTCAGCGGAAGCTACTTCATTTTATACTAGATCCTATTTATAAATAAAAGTTGTCCTCGAACTTAAATAATAATTATAAAGTTTAATTTAGCCAAGTTCCTCTTCGAATCAAAACTGTATTTAGAACTGTTTCGGTTTAGCCCAAAATCTTTGCTAAATGATACTATACAAGTTCCCGTTGAAGATGTATATATATAATTTTATTCATTTAAACAACTTAAAGCCTAAAAAACTTGAAACTAAGTGAACGTAAGATACGATTCTGAGGGTAGATTGAGGAACAGGAGTCTCACATTCCAATTCTCCACACTCAAATTCCTTATGCACTGACACTTTAAAGTACAGTTCAATTCTTATTAGCAAATTTAAATTAAATGTTGGGTTACATTAAGTTTTAATTGAAATCCCCAATGATCTTAGGTATAGAATAGTTTCAATAAGATTAGGGATGTTATTGAAAATATTCTATACCTAAGTTCATCGGGGATAATGCAGGATTCTAATGGTAAAAATGAAGTTTCATCATCAATAGCGATCGAGTAGTTTCGGAGCCTATTCATTGCAATAAAAAAATGGCGAATCTACGGATATCGCGCGGTAACTGCGTTGCCTAGCGCTGTGGTGAGACGAAAAACAACGAGCCTGTCAGATTGACCTAATCGCTTCTGTTTTCATACGTTTAATATATGTTTTATATATTATAATTAAACCATACAACTATGTATTGTAAATACATTTGTACATAGCCACCACTGGACTCGTTATTTCATTTTTCTCCACCTGTCGCTGCCCGTACCAGACGAACACAAGCATAAATAATAGCGGTAACAATCGAGCCGCTAAACTTTTATTAATATAGATTAGGTAACGAATTTCTTACTTCTCATGTACAATAAGCTACCGTCCATAGGTATTAGTCTCCAATATTGTCTATGAATTAATATATACTTGTATAACAATTATTGCTATACGAAAACGTTATCCTTTACATTCTTTTTTTTAATTAGTGGTGCATAGAAAAAATAATATTAGAGAAATTATAAATAAATTTAATAATTATCTGATGATACTGTTTATTGCTTTAAATTCTCAACATTTAGCAATTGACCTTCTAATTTCTAAGATTTAATTTGCCCTCTTCTAAACATGATTGGTCAAGGTCTGCTGCGTGCTTGTAAGCGTCGTCTTTATAACACCGGGACCGTTGAGCTATTGGTGTGCATTAATGAGCATAGGTACACCTTAAAGAATATCATTAATACCACTGTTATTAAGAACTAATAAATTTTATGCTACGATAGAATGAATTTACAGTTCTCACTTTTGCATAGTTTGGCTTAACAACAAGTGAAAAATGGACGACGAATAACAGTTGAGTTAGAAAGTTCTAAGGAAGAAATGAGACGTATAATTTTTACTCAGATGGTCGATCTTTAGAGAGGTAAATGAAGGAGGACTTTAGTATACTGACCGGATTTCCGGGGCTTAATTAATAGTAGTGCATAAAAACAAAGACTTAGTGCTTTCATTAAAGGCACTTTATTTTTAAGTAAGAAACAAAATGAAATAAATTATTGCTATACTTATATATAAGTAACTTATAAAGATATAACTAAATACATAAATCCTTAAATCCATTAGAATGAAATGTAAAGTTACAGTTTATCAATTGTGTATAGAGAAAGGAATGAATTTGGTAATATTGGCTGTATCCCAACACAATATTAAACACATTACTATATCAGTACATTTTATATTAAATTTCAACAGTAAATGACCTTTATAAACTAGATGTCATTATTGTTTCAATTATTAAACAAATACTTTAAGAATACAGCCATAAGAGCAATGTCCACCTGACATGTAACATATTATGGATGATATGCTCAAAATTTGATTACTTTACAGATATCTAGCTGCTCCACAAGACGCCGCTTCAGTGGACATGGACTCTTAATCTTTAACCGACTTCAAACAGGTGGATGTCAGTTAAACAGTATTCGTGGACGTTATTCAATATTTCCAATACTGTATTTTCAATATAATTATTTATGTAATCTACAGGATTCACTCCCGTATCATATCCAATTAGTTTGATTGAAGCCGATTTGAAAAACAAAATCTTATAAATAGGCAATATTTGTTATTATAATTAATGAAATTATCAATTAGCCACTTACGATTTGGAAATATTCAGTTTAGAGCTTTGGCTAAAACACAATTAATCTAAATTATAAACTCATAAAAATCTAAAACAAAGTGATAAACAATTTTTCTATAATAACAATCTGATATATAACTAAATTCTACTACCATTTAACATTTCCTGAAAAATCCATTTTTGACATTATATTTATGTATTTGTATCTTATGATATTCTTAATTTTAAATTTGTTACACCCAATATTATTAAAGGCTAGTCACAAACAAATATTGTGAAATACTCCAATAAACGAACACTCATTTTTAATATTTCTTTCTGGTCTCGTATAACACATAATAATATATTCACAATACCTTCATAAAAGATACTTATTTAAATTACATTCCTGATATAGATAATTATATCAAATTTGTAATAACTATTATATTATGCACATTAACATTTAATATAAGTTTATGAAACATACATTTTTGATGACTAATTCTAATTTCGGCGTTGCCCTCGCTATAAACTAAACGGCGGTGCCTGCGTGGATTTGGGTCAACAGTAACCTATGTGTTATTCTAAAATATAATTTATCTGTATATGAAATTTTATTCGTCCCATAGATTTTGCATGATCCCAAACATCCATCCATTCTAACAAAATATTGTGTTTATAATATTAAAAAAACATAATTAAGTAAGACAGGAGTCAACTCAGAATAATAAATGTAATCAATTTGGAATTTATAACAGAATTGTTATAAATTTCAAATGCATCAAAATCTTAAGATCCAATTACGCATACATTCTAGTTCGTGACGAGGCATTATAAATAATAAACATTGATAAATCACATAATAAAAAGTTAATCGCAATTTAATACGATGGGTAAATTGCGTGATCCAAGAGTAATCCTAAATAAAATTCACCAACTGAATCCTAACTAGTCATGATAATTATTGTAAAGGTTTCCTATTTTTTGATGATTCGTAATTTTTCATAATTCTTGAACGATTCTTATGTGAATATGATAATTTATGAGTCACTGCAAAAAATAATTGATATTAAAATAACATGTAATAAACATATGATTATAAAACTATCATAATATAAATAGAGTAGTACCATGGTACAGATTTTAAACTTTTGAAAGATAAAAATATAATTCCAATACATCGTAGAAGAGGTACCGTTCCGGTGGACGGTACCTCACATTAATTTAGTATGTCGGCCATAAATTAAGAGTTTTATCAACTTTATCTTACCCATTAAGATTATATCATCAGACGTGATGTCACGTGATAATAGTTTATATTTTATGTAGTAGCAAGTGCTCCTTTCAGCAATTCCTGTCCCTCAGAAGAAGTCCAATATTCAAAAAACAGGTCCCGTTCCTTCTCCAAGCACGACAGGACTGTGGTGTCAGAATCACTTCTCAAATTTATTAACTTTTTCTTAAGCAAAAGAGTCTGAAACACACATTATAAATCAAATTAAATTAATATGCTTAAGCATATAGTAGTCAAATGTTATGAAAAAAATGTAAATAATAAATAAATAAAATTAACCATTCATAGATAGATCATTACAATAATCACAAAAACGGATACATTTTTATAATATTAATATCCTATAGTTGTTTTTTATATTACAAGAAAAGAAAAAAATATATATTAATTAGATTGATTTTGAAACAATTGAAGTGGTAAACCAGCTGACTGCCTTTCTCATGATAAGTGGTGTTCATGGCTTATATACATGAACAACATTAAGGACATCACAACTTACTTAACATGTCTAACATCAACATACTCTAGCCGTGGGAAATAGCTGTATAACTAAGAATGCACTAGACACAAATAGTACAAGAATTGAGGGTTTGAATTCTGTGAAGACGCTGTTGTATGCTTCTATTTTGCAATCTAATATTAATTTACAAAGAACAATTTCATAACGAGGTTAGTCTTATCGTCGTGGGTTACGACCTATTAATCAAGTCACAAATATTGTAAAATGATCGTCGTCCATAGAGTCAACTAATAATGTGGACATTAATCAAATTTTCGTTCTTTAGTTTCCATTTTATTGCAATCGTTAAAAAAAATATAGTAAGTTGTAAAGACCAAGAGCCGACTTTATATTATTATGGCTCGGTAAGAAATTTAATGAACTTATCATTGTTAGAAGAACTAATTTTCGCAAGTCATTTACTTAACACACATCGATGTTTTTGATCCATTATTTAATGAATCAATTCATACTAACCACACGTCTATTTTACTGTTAAATACTTCCTATATAACTAATGTTTAAAAATACCTGAAATCACCTTGTTCATTATTATTTGTCTAAAAATAACAAACATGTTGCGATGCTTTATCTTGAAGGTTTGTGTTAAGCATTTATTCAATATTGTCATAAAAGAATCTTAATTCTCAGGAAAGCGAACGTAGTCTACCAGATTGCGAGGAGAGACAAGCTTGCTCTACGCTATTGCTGCGGTACTGGCAGGCGCCGGCCCTAGTTCGACTATGTCGCTGTGCGATGCGCATGCGCTGCGACACCATAGCATCACCAAACTCCCTTATAGAACTCAACAATAGGGCTTACTTTCAGGTAAATTTAACCATACAGGAATAGTAGAATATGAGCGATTTCAACAATTATGGACGTATTATATTTATATATTATACATATCTAAACATAATCATTCCTTTCCAGTTCTGTAAACCTGTCACTGACTGGCCCGAATGTTCAGAAACTAACTCACCGCTAGTTGTAGAAATGTCTTACGACCGCATGAGCCCTGATGAGCTTGAAGAAATGCATCATAGAAATATTGAGCCAATACCACCAAAGATTACATTTAACTGCAGGTGCCATTACCCTAATTATTGGAGATTAAAATCTAACACAGAGGATAACGATAGAGTACATGTTTACCAGTGCTCTTTCCTGCCACTGTGCGAAACAGGTGAATTTTGCGGAAATGTCAATTATGATCTTAATGCTTTGTATCAGTCTTGCTTATGTCCAAAAAATCATATATGTGTGCATAATGGTGGTATTACATATGATTATATTTCGGAATTACTGTATCGTGGCAGAGGATGGAAAGCATACTGCCAATCTATCAAAAATGACACATCTACAGAATACGAAAATTACTGATTTTAATTTATTAATTTATTTAACTTCAATGCACAAAATTAAAGTGTATATATGGCGACTTAACACCTTGCAGCGTTATCTACCAGTCAACCATAAGTAATGCAGAGAAAGATTGTTGGCAGTGCACTAATATATAAGGTCATAAAATATATAAGGCAAAATATATACATTTTTTATAAAATATAATACTATAATATAAATATATATAAATACTAATTTCACTTACCGTTGGAGGTTGACTTGCAATATCTTTGACGATACTACGTAATTGTATATGAAATCTCTCCGGCCATAGAACGCGGCTCACTAAGCCACCATGTAAGGCATCAGAGGCAGACAGTTGACGTTCAAATATAACCAAATCCTTTACCTGTAACCAAACATCAAAACACATAAAACATTTTATGATAGATCAGGTAATTTTTTTATCTTTTATATATATATTTATCTATTTATTTATCTACTATGTGGAAACTTTTATCTTATTCCCATGGGAATTATAAGAAATCTGTTCTTAAGGATTGGCAATGTTGTATCACTGTAAAATTTCAAATATTTAGAGCTCTATGATCACTTAGTTTGTAGGTATTTTATAGTTATAGAATCTATTAAATCAAATTTTTCCCTAGAAATACCAATTTCCAATCATTTCTCTACCACACACACAAAAATTAAATTAAAATTTTTCAAATATAAAATCCCACACTGAAAACTTGTTTTATTATTATTCGTTTAAACTAACCAATGACTGTGATAATGAATGACATGATGTAGATAACACTGCGGCACCAGGCGAAAGGGGTGCTGCAACTATTCTTGAGTCAGTAAGAGAAAACTTGGCGCGTTCTGAAGCAATCACTACATCACTTAATGCTAACAGTGCAAGAGCTACACCGGAACATGCACCCCATACCCCCGCACACACCAGTTTACTGTGCTGCACCACAGTACTCAAGAATAACCTGGAAAACATAATTTACACCTTATCATATTTATACTTGTCATATCTTATGCCCTATAAAACTAAATTCAGCTTACAATGCAAAGTGCTTTAAACAGGAATAAGAAATCAAATTTAAAAAATCTATATATCCAGTACATATTTTCTAAAAATCATGCAATACTATGTATATAACCAGAATACTGAATTCATTGGTTCTGTTGGTTGACATTGGAACAAAAGTTTTTCTTGAAAAAATTAATTGATGATCTTGACATCAACAACACACAGTCACATACTTTATTGATGGTCCTGGGTCCAAATGACATATCATATAAACATTTATATTTGAGTATGATGCTAATGTTCCCTGAACTTGCTAAATAATGAAATCAGATATCTTCATAATATACTTAAGGAATTACATATATGTAAAGACTAAATAATAACCTGATAGATTCAGCAAGCTCATATGCAGAAGCCGTCCTCTTCTCTGAATTGTCATCCAACAACGGTATTAAGTTTAACTGTGAGCACAATGTACCACATTCAGATGTTAACAATGTAACAGATACATCTTTCCTTGTGTCCACATATGAAAAAGCCTTTACTAAATCATTTAGCACCTGTAATTATAATTTTACAATAAATTTTGTGTAAAATAACTCTTTATACACCTAAAGAAATATATAAGGATGAAGGATAACAATATGAAAGATAAAGCATATTTACCTCAATACAACATTTGGATCCTGATCTTTTGATGCATATCTCAGCGACTCTTTGGTCAAAAGTAAGTGATAAAAATTTTAATGTGACAAAATGGTCTTTTATTTTTGTTTTTTCTTCTATTTTATTTACTTTAGCCTGTTTCATTGATTTTTCTATTCTGGACTTTTCACGTTTTCTCTTATTCAATGCAAGTGATAATTTAGAATTTAATTTTTCTTTTAGTGATAAACAATCATCCTTGTTAATAATTTCACTACTAGGCAATTTTTTAACATCTGACATAAACACTTCTCCAAGTGCTGCACCCTGTACACTTTCATTGTCATTTTGATTTTGATTTTCTAATATTTTGCTTTGAGCAATTTGATTGGCACCTTCCACATCACTCAGCCTTCGTGGACTCATACATGTGCTGGAATAAGAACTGGATGAATGACGACGGTAAATTATAGAATCATCAGCACTGTGTGTTTCAAAATCTTCACAAGATGGTGATTTAACAGAACTATTCAATGATGTCCTGTGTTTGCCTCCCAGAATTTTTTTAGCTTCTCCTTCATCACATCTACCAGTCTCCTTTTTTCTCTCTCTAAACTTCATTTCTTTGCTTTCTGGTGTAGAACTCTGTATTTTCTTTATAAATTCTGCTTTGGTTTTCATATTTTTCTTACCCTTAGGAGCTTCAGGTGTCAGTTGATATATCATATTGACTGCACCTTCATCCATTAGCAATTTATCAACCTCTGTCAATCTCCTATTTTGCTTAGTGCTATTTTTAGGCGATGGTTTCTTCCATTGTAATTTTAAGACAGGAGACCTGGATTTAGACCTATGGGCTTCATCAGTTGTGTTCTTTTTCGATAATGGTTCTTCCTTTAGTTTTTCAGGATGCTTCTCTTTATTTTTAACAGCCGACTTTCTTTTTGTATATGTATCAGGATTGTCAGGATCAAATATAACTTTTTTCTTTATTACCCTACTAAACCTTCTTTGAGGTTGACTGTCACCTTCACTTTTATTTAAAGGGGTCTGACCTTCACTAAGCGAAGAATCTATACAAGTCTTTTGTGTCTCTAGTAATTGTTCTGATGTATTCAAAACACTGTCACATTCCTGCTTAAAGTTCTCAATCTGTTCACTTTCAACGGGTACATCATCCTCCCAATCTTTTACCAACAAATTAACTATACTATCTTCCTTTTGAATTTTTTTAGTCACTGTTTTTTTTGTTGCTAGTTTAACATGTCTTCTCTTTCTTTTTAATCTAGATAGTTGCTGCAAAGCTAAATGAGCTTCTAAGTTTTGAACACCAGAACCATCTAATTCAACATCATATTGAACATCATTAATTGTTTGTTGAACATCTTTACCTTCTAAAATATCTAATAATTCTTCTTTATTAAACACTTCCTGCCTTGTAGCATGATTATTATTTTCACCATCTCCAGCGTTACCTGAAGAGCGTAGTGCTTCACTCAATTCAAGGCTATGCCCTAGTTCACTCAAGATGTTAGTTGCAGTGTCCTGTATTGATTCCTCAGCAGTAACTTCATTTACATCTGTATCATTATCATTAGTCTCAACCACAATTTCTGTCTCAAATGTGACATTGTCATTGTGTATTACTTCTGAAGTATTAACTTCAACTTCTAATTCTTTTTCAATTTTTTCTTCCTCTAACTCTGTAGTTGGTATATTGCTGAGTTCTACATAACTTTCAGGTTCAGTTTGCTTATTGGCAACATTAACTTCTGTACTCTGTGTTGAAGCTTCTTGTCCTGCAGATAATGGAATGATGGGTTTTTGGATTTCAGGCGTAACTTCATCGGGATTCTTTTCAACTATAATGTCAATTTCAGAAACAACACAATTTTCAGTTGGGTTTTCTTTTGGACCATGCACGGTCTTTTCCAACTCGGCAAATCCATTTGATTTTTGACATGCATCTACTTCGTATGATATTGTAGGAGTTTCCACGATTTCAAGAGCTGACTTCATTTCCTCTCCTGCAGAATTAACTATAGAAGTCTCTTCCACTACTTCCATTTCAAATTTATGTGTTATTACACTTTATTTGTGTTGACTACGTAAGGATAACCTTTTCAATTAGATATAAAACAACAAGACTAAGAAAAAAATTACATTATTATATAGAAATATAAAAAACTGAAAATATGATGTTTATTCAAATAACTAATAACCTTCCGATTCAATTCAAATTTAATCTAGGAGCTTTTAAAATATTCTAATCGGTCCGCGTCCATTATTATTTCCAAATCAAGGGAGGGGTGTACAGTGTTGCCAAAATTTCATTTAGTGAAATCGACAAAAAATGCAATGAACCATACATTTTTTTGTGTTATATACACACCTACCTCACCTTTTATCGATAATAAATTGATGTAAATAATAATTTATATTCTTTCAGTCTTTAGAATAAAAAAATCTGTTGCATAATATTTACTATTTCAGTTTTCGTATGGGTTTGTCTTATATTTGCCGGAGGGGAATGGGGCGACCCCATTGCTAGCAATATACCATGTCAAGCTGACATCCTTAGCCGGATCATCGTGATACATTCCTAATTAATTCATAACTATGACCTGACCTCATGCTCATCTTATCATCTTCCACTGGTGCCCCGCCGCGCCAGCAGCGTAAACCGTTAGCTCTGCACCATTATCATTCTTAAAAAAATAGTAGTTTGGCAATATTGTTCACTTTGTACATACCATAAAACAAGTGTACCTACTCTACACGTGTATATTAACTCTATGGTATATACTTTGTGTTATCTGTGATTAAACACACACCACAGACAACATTATGACATAGTTTTTGTGATCTGGGAAAAGTTGAACAGTCAATTTATACAAAATATATTTATCCAGAAATTTTAATTCATTTTAATGTTGTTGTTCACGTCTAAATACACTTTTTAGTGAAACTTTATAAATATTTTTATTGTTAAATTTATACGTTATATAAATTTAACAATAAAAATATTTTAAAGAGCCATGAATATATTGCCAAAAAAGAGGTATATTTTTCTTGTTTATTATATCTCTAATATTCTATAACAACTGTACTCGCGACTTCGTCCGCGTGGAATTTAACAAAAAATCTAATCACACAATTTTTCTACAATAAAAGTAGCCTGAGTTACTCCTTATTACATCAGCTACCTGCCAATAGTCTCGTCAAAATTGGTCCAGCCATTTCAGAGATTAGCCAGAACAATAAGACAGATAAAAATTTTAAATAATGTTATTTTGGGGTACCGTATTTATATGAATATGCATGTAGTAAAATACTGTTATTTTAATATTACAAAAAGACACTACAATTTTATTTATATGTATAGATAATGCCACTGGAACCTAAATATATTATACTTCGTATCACAAATTTATTAGGTCTACTCCCACGCGGAAACCATGAAAACATTTGTGGTTAATTTATAAATTCGGACAATAATTGTGACAATAAATTTGTCACAGTAGGCGAACTTAACTTCATCTTCCATTATAGCCCGCCAGTGTATATTGTCATCCCAGGCAGGTGTTTTATAGTATTATCATCTACACAAAGAGAACCTCAAGAATGCTGACATTAATTTAAGCTCCAACTCATTTCTCTGTCAAATCTGCGATAGAATCCTAAAAATATGGCAATACTTATATTATTTTGAATAAAGAATATTACTGTTCAGTTCTAACATCATTTTATTGATACAGTGAACCTCCATAAAGTATGTGTTACAGTAATCAGTTTTCTCATTACCCAAAATAGTACCCAAGTATTATATAAAATATTTTAAATTTATCAACATAATTTTTAAGTATTTACTAAGCTAATAAATTCCCAGAACAATTGTTGGGTCTCAAACTATTTATTGATTTAATGTACTTTCTAGTAAATTAGCTAATACACATTAATTTGTAGGTGGCATGTTCGGACAAAAGAGAATATTGCAAGAGTCAGAAAAGATGAAGCAGAAGCTGCTGAAAAGGATAGACAAGAAAGATTAAGAACAGAAATTGCAAACCGTGAAGCAAGACTTAATATTCTAAAGAAAAAAAGCAAACAAAAGTTACTTGAATGTGGAATAATAGACAATGAACCTAAACCATCAGTAGCAAATTCTGAACATGTCAATTTATTTGTAGATCTTGATCATGCTGTCGGAACTACGAACAAGGAGCATGATAAAGAGACCAAAGAAAAGAAGGAAGAATATGAAAAAAAAATTGGATATCTTACATACCTGGGACAGGATACAAATGAAGCTCTCAAAAAGAAAAACTGGTATGAAGTTTTGCCAGAATCTAGACTTTCAAATACTACTGAAATTAAAGATACATATGATAAATTGGTTTTTCGTGATATAGATGGTAAACCAAAATCTAAAGAACTAGATATAAAAAATGGTGAAATGAATTGGAAATCCAAACAATCCATTGATCCTATCAATAAATTTAAAAAACATTGTAATAACACCGTAGAAAACAAGTCTAACTCAGTGGTTAAAATTGTTGATGACTATTCGAAATTAATTTCAACTCACAAACCTAGGAAATCGGACAAAGACACAAAAAAACAAGATAAATTAAAAAAAATCCAAAAATTACGAGAGGCTCGCATTAAACGTGAGCTTCAAGAGAAGCATAAAACTGAATTGTTCTTATCTGGCTTCAATAAATGTACTGTCATAGCTGAAGATCAGAATGTCAAGAAAGTAAAAGCCAAATACAATTCCCAATTTAACCCAGAATTAGCAAGACAAAACTATATGTAATTTCAATAAAATGAGATGTTTCAGTAACTCTCAATTAGAAAGCTACTTACTTTTGTATTTAAATTCCATTTGAAGTGTTTAGTATATAATATTTTGTATTCTCCACTAATTACTGCTGTGTAATTTAATTTCATACTATGCTAACTAAGTAGTGTACAATGGTCAATATATATATATATTTTAAATAGAATTTTTCAAAATTTCAATATTTTGTGATATTTCTTATGATATCTTCTGTTTGAAATTACATTCTCTAACAAATACGAAATCTTTCGTCATACAAAATATAGATAAAGTTATGGCATTCGTATAGTATCTTCAGGGGGGGGTCTAGCTAAAAATGAACAAAACGAAGCAAATGTGCAAAAAAAATGCAACTTTTAACAATGGTTTTATTATTATTATTATTACACTGTATATATATCTAATCAAATAAATATGTTTAAATATTTGGAATTTGTTTTATCTACCATAAATACCTCCAATTTCTTTCTCTGTGACAGTTCACTTCCATGAGTACTCCTGTAAAAATAACTATTCATAGGCAGTTTTTATTAAAATCATATAGATATTGATGGTTAAGTTTTGCACAAGTTAAACTACTTTTGCGACGAAATTGTTAAGAGAGCCAGAGGAAGTCTGTCTTCCAGTTTATTGAACGGATAATTGAAAGTTTCACAAAAGAGTTGCAGTACTCTTATAGTTAATGTGCCTTCATATGTTGCATCCGAGGACTTCGATGATCTGTGAAAAAAAATAGGTAACTAAATAATAATATACAATCCACACAAAATGACACTTATTGTTTCAGTTGCTTTATTTATCTGTCATCAATACTCGAATAAAGTTTGAACATTACATATTTTATATAAGATTCTATCGACATATATACCAAAACGATTTTTTAGATATTATTGTCTGTGTTAACGTATACTATATATAAACCTGTGATATAAATGTTAATATGTGTAATGGATTTTTATAGCTGTACTAATTTTATTACCACAGCTGAAAGATCTTAGATACATGTCATCTTTTCCTTTTGTGCGCAGAGCGGTAGGACTTTTTTAAAAGTATAACCAGTGAATAAATTTTTATGGGTATTTGACTAATTATTACTATTATTTTACTGACGTGAAAGTGATTAAATAGAACTAATCTTTATTAAAAAGAATCAGTACAAGCACTCTTGAATAGTCATATTTTTATTCTACCACTCATTTGGAACGCAGATTCGTCATAAGAATAATGAATAAGAAAATTGTTTTGTTAAATGTAAGTAGGTATGCGGTGATAGCTTAACCAGACAGACATTATTAGAGTCAGTTCTATCTACTATACATATCCCACTTGTAATATAAACTGCATTAACTAATTACACGTACACACGCACGAAGTCGCTATTTATTCGTCCTAGTCTAAAAACAAAGGTTGCTTTACAATATAGCCGTAAAATTGGATAAGCCATTTATGAGATTAGCGGACACAATTGCACAAGGAGACAAAAATTGTATCAATGCTAAACTTCAGTAACATAAAAAATATTTGTAATTCAATTACAGTAAAGATTTGTATTTACTGTTCGGAATACCTTTCGTTTACGATTTTACTATATGTATAAAGTATAGTGTTAGTAACAACTATAATTAAATATTTACTTGACACTTATTATCAAGCTTGCATAATTGCATAGAACATCCACAAATATATCAATATTATCTGTTCTCGTATGACGCAGAAGAGTATAAATTCCGACGAGTAATGGATAACCATCAATATTTTCTCCTGCCTTTTTTGACATTAGATCACCTGAAACGCAATAAAATTTCGTATTATATTATACAAAAATTAATATTAATACTTTACGTCCGTTACTGTTCAGCATGTGCCGCTAATGGGCGGAGCACCAGTGTAGGATGAGAACAAAGGGAGCTGACTTAGCCCATTGTTGTTAATACACCAGGAAATAAAAATAACGGTACGGTAGATTACCAGTTCTTATTACTAACCCCGTGCAAACGCCGTTCAAATGGCAATTTGACTGCTTGGTCCCGGCTTCTTTGATTGTTATTGCATGAGACTATCGTCCGACTAAACGGAGTTATGAGTGACCACAGTCACATATAAAAAAAACAGTCGAATTGAAAATAAGAGGAGAGCTATTAGTAATCATTTTGAACGTTTATTATCTTTGTTATATATATTATTACTAGAGGTAGACTGTAAAGTCGGGAGGGTGGGTACCTCAGTCTCACGAATTTCAACTGACGAGCAGCTTGCTTTGTTAGCTGTGTGTCGGTTGTATGGTCATATTAGGCAATGAAATAAGAGGATAACAGGCACGACTTATTAGTCTGGAATGGAAACGCATATGTGGTATCATATACTTCGCATTTCGTTCGTAGAGCTGTTCATGTACATAGGCGACGTGAAAATGTTTAAGCATTTGGGCTAGACAAATTATTAAAATAAACAATTATTTTCTAGAACTATACCTGTAGTGGAGCTTATTTGCAGTTTGAGTAATTGGGATATTAAAACTATCGCCAATATCTGACTAATGTTCATGTTCAAAAATTCGTTAGAAAATTTCAAATATATTTTCTCAAAAGGGTCATAGATTCCACATCTCACTAAATAATCCTCCAAACTATGCAATAGTGTCGATGATAATTTTGATTTATATTCTGTATTTGAATGTTTCAATTCTTGCAGTACTGAGCTGTAAATAGTTAAAATTCATATAAATTATATTATTCAAAAAGTAGATAATCATCAGCAAATATCATTGAAAATAAAATTTGAATGTTCTTATTTCATATTCTGAATGTGTACATGGAAGTGGACTTACGCATTCATTGTTCTGAGAGAGGACTCTAAATGTGCAGAGTCAAATTTACAACTAGTATTCAACTGATAAGCAATGTGTCTTCTGAGTGTTTGTAATGTTCCAATAAGTACTAGTACTTCCAATAACTGTAGGATTTGTTTCTGTCCTTTTAAAATAATCTGTTCAATATCTTTGATATCTTTCATATTTCCCACAATAATTCTATCGTGACTGCGTCTTAATACTTGTTGTACAGTTTGTAACTGATTTTTGATCATATGTCCATATAGAGTGTCTAAACCATGAAGACCAATAACACCTATGGCGTCATTTAATTTAGCAAATGTTTTGGTATTAACGACCTCGTTTTCAGTTTTTATATCATACCAAGCAGCGCAGATAGTAACATAACTGCAACATCTAAAAAAACAATTAATTATTAAACATTACTTAGAAACTCAATTATCAGTACAAAATAAAAAATACATATACCTGGCGTCCGTTAATTGTGCAATCTGCCTAGCGAGACTTCCCATAAATCCTGCAGAAGGGCTGTACAATGTGACACCCTTGCGCAAACTAATTTCTTTTTCAACATTCTCGTTAATTATGGCAGCAACCTGACAATGTAAATATAAGACTCGGAATTTATCTACATTATAACAAAAATTAGGGTTCACCACGAGATTGAGTGGCGATTCATACTGCTGGAAAAGCTAACGTACAATAAAACTAGAGCACGGATATATTTTGATCCAAGATAAATGATAGTATCATAACAACATGACTGTTGTATAAGACACCACACACTAACTCACTAAACAAATCTATTTTAAGATTGAGACCATGGTAAAGACACACAGTACCTGTTTCTGCCACATTCTTAATCCATGAATATTAATGTAATCCTGAATATATTCCAAGGATCTTTTATAACCATTCATGCTTTCAGCTAATTTTTGCAACCGTGGTAATAAATTGGTTGCGGTAAAAGATTTCTTTGTTTGCGGTTCCAAAAATTCAATAAATTTCTTGCTTATGTGCCTGTCCAATTCTTTTAATAAGCCCTCTTCGAGCAGTTCTGCAGGGTCTACTCTAATGATGCCTACCAGTGTTGATCTCATATCCAGTATTCCTATAACACCATAGGATTGTTACTTAATAAGCTGAAGAATACATATAGAAAACAGTAATAATTACACTATATATCAGAGGGAGTTTTGCAGTTTATCACCTCCATATAATGAATTAAAACGCCAACTAATAATAGAACCATCCCCATATATAACTCAGGTACAACAAAGTAGAGAGAAATGACCAGTTGCTGTAGATATTACAAATCTAATTGAGGTGTGTTTGCATAATTGTATTGTTATCTTATATATGTTTTGATGATCGATTGTTTTTATTTTGTTAAACAGATTCCATATGTTCCGGGAGTAATAACAACTTAATTTACGTGCAAATGATACCGATAATGTAATAGAATCTCTGTGTCAATGCTGAATTAGAGCTCAATAATTATTATGCTCATATATACAACAAATGGTAATAATACATAAAAGACTTAGCTAGGCAATATAATACCGTGGTTAAATTTGTGTTAAACTAAGATAAATGGTTCTGCACATTCAATACGGAATAAATTGAGAATGAAATTTAGAAGATGACAATTCAGAATTGAAGCACTAAAATATTATAATCTGTACATATTTTAAACAAAGTTCATAAGGAAATGTTGATACTTGGAATCAATCTACGAATTAACCTCTGGTTCGCTTAGTTTGAGTGATCGAAAATCTCAGTTTAAATCTTATACAAGTAAATAAATTGGTAAGCATATTTGTAAAAGCAACCTGCCTGAAGTAAACGTCGAAGCAGAATGAGTTAATTTTGCAACCTCTATTCTTTGCTCAAGCTGTGCATATTCTCTCAATTTTTCCTTTTCTAATCGTGTTGGAATTTCTTTAATACTCCATGTCTGCAGATCTATAATTTTTTCTACAATACTAAAAACCATTTCAGGTATAATTTGTAAAACCTTTTGTATATATTTTATCAATTCATTACTATAATATTGTGAAACAGAAATTAAATCATCACTATATGCCTGATTTATCCTGAGTAATGGAATTTCCATGGCACTGGCCAGTTTTAAAAAAAGTGCTCTAAGCCTACTTGTTACAGCAGGATTTTCTTTAATACTCTCTTGCATGTATTTAGTGTAACCGTCTATAGTACACCAAGCATAACTAACATCTGCGACAGTTTCCAACGTCACTAATGAATCTTCTTTTATTGTTGCAGTTTTTAAAATATTTTTTAATGCTTCCTTACATTCGGAAAGATATTGTATAATTGTTGAAGTGCTTTTAATTCCATGAAATTCTTCAACTTCGTCTAATGCTTGTATTAATTGAGTAATCTTCTTTAATGACTTCGTTGTCACTGATTCACTTAAAGAAGAAATTTGTTTACCTATATTGTCAAACCAAAGTTTAAGTTGCTCATTCTCTTGAATTTTAGCAACTGGTTTAGTACCAGAAAATAATTCCGCTAAATTATTTATACCTTCTAGGGCCAGAGCTTTGTTAGCATTCCAAGACTCATTTCTATTTTCTAGTAATATTTTTAACATATCTCGAACTTTCAATTCTAATTCTGATGTGCTTATGAGTAATTCAAGTAATTTTATTGGATCATAACCAGATTCTTTTAAAACTAGTTCCTTTAATTGTTTGCTCTTTTTATTGTTATCACAAAATATAACATCATTAGTGTGTAACATTAGCCAACGTACCACAAGATTTGAATTTAGTAAAAGGTTTAATATTTTATTAACATTATCCAACAGGTAATCTTCAGTTAAAGTTCCCTCTTTTAAGAGATAATGAGTTTTATTTATTAACAATTCAACAGATAGGCCTCTTTTAGCAAATGTCTCTTTTATAACTTTGCTGTTACAAGTATTATAAAGTGCTGATTTCGCAGCTTTAAAATTTTCCCAATAATCAATTAAATTTAAGGTAACTCCCATATAAACAGGTACAATCCAGTTACTGGGAAAGAATTTATCTACTATTTCTCTCATTTTAGAAGTATCTGAATGGAGATAATGTGGGTTGAAAAATAAACAAACCACAAGCATGTTTGCTTGAGTTGCTAAAGCCGAAGGCTGATGTTCAGGTATGGTGTACACTGCCAGTTGATTATATATATCTTCAGATCGCAATTTCCCAATAACTTTATCTATGAAATCAGGACGAATGCTGACTCGGCTAGAATTAAAAAAAAATAGTAAATGATCACTATATTTTATTTTTAACTATTTTCTTTTAGGGGTCTCTATATATATATATATATATATATATATACAAAACTATTATTATATGGGTGCACATATAGACATAAGTACACATTTAAGCTAGAATTCCCATTATGGACCAAATTAAAAAGTAAAATAATTAAAAATATTTAATACATAAATTTCTAAAACGGCTGCTTTATCTATATAAAATTTAAGAATTGATAACATTAATATTTATTAGACATATCATATAAGTCACACCATAGGGGTCCCATTTCACCTTGTTAATTAGAACCTCAAAGCGTAATTTCTTTCCATTCACATATTATATTGCTTCTAGTAAAACAGTATAGTAGTTCTATTAAGATTTACCTGAAATATTCAACTGGATAATCGGCTGGTCGCTTGCCATGTAACTGATCATTTCCCGTGTCCCTAAGCAACTTACAAACATCATCAATATTTGTTTGGGACTGATTAGTGCTGTATCTATAAAATGCAACCAGTAATCTTTCTCTGATTGATCCTGGTATATAAAGATCACATAATAATAGCATAGCACCATATAGGTAAAGTGATTCACACTGAAAACAATTCGGATGTCATATTATTAAAGAAATCCTTTATGATTTATTTATTTAACCCATTAGTATATTATAACAATATTTTTAACTGTATATAAACAGATTATATTTAAATTTTTATTTATCATTATATTTCAGCCCAATATACATATTTATTTAAACTGTAGCAAGTGTAATTCTGATGTGTAAGATATATACATTATAACTCATCAAAATCTGTTCAGTACTTTTTTTGTGAAAGAGTAATAAATATCCATACATACATCCGAAACTTTGCTACAATATTCGTAATAATTAAGATAGTAAGATATTTTTTTCATAAAGGTATATTGTGATATAGAATTAATTAAGTTCTTGGAAGTTGCCTTCTAGTTTGATAATGTTTTGTAACAGATGAATAAATAACATAGTTACCAAAAGTTGTTTTCCTTCAACATCTCTCATAACAGTATCAATATTTTGCTGAATAAATGCATTATCATGTAGTTGATCTATAAAAGCATTGAGGTCCATTATATATTGATATATATTTTCAAACAATAAATAAAAACGTGATATTATCTCTAAATATTTTTCTTTTAAGTCATCATCCAAATCTTGTAGTTTCTATAAAGCAAAAATTTACATAAATTTTTCTATGTATATTTAGGATAGATTCCTTAAGCTGTAGGTAAAGAGAATCTGTTCTCCATATTTGAAGCGGCCAACAAAAATTATTGTTGGTAGTACCTTCAAATATGGATCCTCTGATGTCTCCACAATTCTTATATAAGACTAACCAAACAGATTTATAAGAGTTTGATAATAAATATTATATTTGATGATCAATTCATTCCACATATTTGAATGAAAAAAGCTTGCCATTAATTTTCAGATACCATTATAGTAGTCCTAACATTTCAGTGAATCAGTTTAAAAGGTAAACTGATTCACAAAATGGAAACTATGTGGCTCCCTCTTACTTTATACACAGAGTAAAATGATTCCTATGGTAGTAAATAAAAATTCCTATCAGAACATAAAAATTTGGTTTGCCAAGGCAAGGATTTAGGATTCAAAAACATCATACAAGATCTTACCTGTTGTATAAAGTTGTGAAATTGTATATGTAAGCCTAGCCTAATTGCTTCTTTATTATAAAACATCATTACCTTTTGCTTTCCACTTCATTTCATTAAGTTGTTATAAGTATTCAGTAGCACCAATACTTAGAGATAAATATGACTTATTATAACTAAGATATTTTTAAGACTGTAATTCCAATTGGGGTAGTCAGGTGTATGAACTGATATCTAATAATACTAACAATAATCAGTCCCAACCTAAGCAAAGCTGGTGTTATGGATACTAGACAACTGATATACTTACTGAAAAACTTAGCTATTTTTTATAGAAAATACAGAAGCTGATACAAACAATCATATTCATGAATAAAATATACATAGATATACATTGCAGAAACAATTAATAATAGTTAAAAAAAAATACAATCCACGGAAGTGCACAGATATTACATGACCATACCAAATTCATAGAAATTTTTTTTTCTTGAACATCTGCAGTTTTAAAATAACTGAAGTCCAAAATGACATCTTGATATTTTTGTTGTAACTCTTTGGTATCTAATCTGTAATAATAACAGATATTTTATTGTTATTAGAAAAGTTTACACTGTTATTTATTTAAATAAAGGTATTCTGAAGAATTTGTATTTAGAAGGTGTTTCAATTCTTTGTTGTGCACAGGTTTAAAAGTAATATTAAAAATTTTATTTATTTTATAATAACATTAGCCAATCTGAATCTGGGCTGATTATAATATAGTACAATGGCTAGAAATACTCAATTGTAATACTAAATAAACTCACAAATAAATAGTAGGTTTGTGATCCTTGAGCCTCAATATTTCTGCTAATATAGCATTGCCATGTGACACTAGTTTTAATAAATTTTGGGCACACAGATTATCTTCAGCCATGAAGAGTTTCATAATGAAACACTACTTGAACAATAGCTGTAACAAAAATAATATATACACTAACTACATGTAATATTAATAAGTAATATTTTACTCAATACAACACTCAGCAAAGTAACATTATATCTTATAAGAGTCATCAACATCAAAATTTAATCTATGTACTGACTGTATGGCTGTAATGGATCTAAATAAAGAGCTCACAATATTCATACACAAATTGTTTTCTTTTATATGAGGCAGACTTATATATAAAGTCATATCTTCAAAATTAATATAAACGACGACTTGCAAATGTGCTGTGCTAAAAATCTTTCACACAGCACATTAGCAAGTCGTCAATAATATAAAAATCTAGAACTGTACATATCATTTTTTAGTTTACCATAACAAGTCATTTCTAAACTTAGATAAATTCCATTTATCTATGAAAAACATTTTTATCCCATTATGTAGTTAGTTATTATGCAAAAAATGAACTAGAATGCACTTCTACTTACAATAAATCGATAACAAAATTATAGTAAAATACAAACGATAAATAAACAATAAACAATGAGAAAAGACCTTCGAAGTTCCGAACAAAAAAATTATGACATTGAATGACTTTACAGTGACGTAAGACCTTTATTGAAATAATACACTATCATATTTTGGCTAATATGAAAAAGTTAGAGGAAACCGTAGACATAAATATCAATGTAAATTTTAAAAATTAGCCCTATTCTGAATCTTCATTTTGATTAGTTTGATACTTTTTTGTAGGAATGAACTCGGCTGATATCAACATAATGCAAAACTCAACCCCTTACATTAGACCACATACCTATATACACAAATAAAATCTTAAAGAAACAGGTCTTGGCTTGCGGCCCGTTAAACATTTTTATGCGGCCCGCCAAGCATTTCTAAAATTGAATTTAGTTTTCTTTCCACCCTCAATATACTTGTGGCGATTCTACGGATAGCGCGCGGCAACACCATTGCCTAACGACGTTAGGAGACAAAAAAATAACAACCCTGTCATATTAAGACCTAATCGTTTCTGTTCTGATACATTGAATATATGTTTTATATATTATAATTAAACCATGCAATTACTGTAAATAACGTAAGAATATACATTTGTACATAATCACCACTGGACTCGTTATTTCATTTTACTCCATCTGTCGCTGCCCGTTCCAGACGAACACAAACATAAATAATAGCGGTAACAATAAAGACGCTAAATTGGTGACCCACGACGTTCCACGACAGCACAGCAGACACGGTGAACCGTGAACCTACTCCAGTCCAGGTGCCATCTTTCCTACATTCCTTCTCCTTACCGGCATTCTTACCATACAAGATCTTATCACCATCGACCGTAGTGCTTACGGTCGATGGTGATAAGATCTTGTATGGTAAGAATGCCGGTCATCTTCCAATCATCCATCACACAAGTATTCTCCGTCGTTGTGCCGCCCGCCGCGTATAAAGAAACCACGCGACACGGCCCAGTACTACGTAGTCAGGGTACTACGGACTTCGATATTAATATTTTATTTTACTCTTCTCATTTTCTATTGCCGTCAATTTATTTTATGTGTATGTTTTATAATTTTTGTTGAAATTTATTTTTATTGCAAATATATTTTTTATATTGTTATTGTAAATATTAATTTCTTTGTATTTGGTATCGCATTGATCGTATAAAAAATGGCACAATCCGGCACAAAAAATGCGTCCCCACCATCTGCCTCGGAGGTGCATAGGGTTTCTGTAAAATTACCTCCTTTCTGGCTGAAGCAAATTTTGAACTATCTGGAATCACCGCTGATTCCACTAAATTTAATTATATTATCAGTCATTTGTCACATGCCAGGATGCTGAGGTAGAAGATATAATCATCAAACCACCCGCGGAAAACAAATACACATTTTTAAAAGCCGAATTAATCCGCAGACTATCGGCATCTGAGGAAAAAAGAGTCCGGCAGCTTTTAAGTGATGAGGAGCTGGGGGATAGGCGACCCTCACAATTTCTGAGGCACCTCAAGTCTCTCACGGGGGACTCACTTCGTGACGACGAAGGCATACTTCGCCAACATTGGATGCGTCGCCTCCCCACTCACGTTCAGACCATATTAGCTGCACAGGATCTTCCATTAGAGAAGGTAGCGGATCTAGCTGAACGCATTATGGAAGTATCTCCTGCAACACCACTTGCTAGTTTCACCTCAGTTGCTGGTATATCACCTCAGCCTATTACATCATCTTCAAGCGTAGACCCATTTGCCATTCTTTCTCAGCGTATCGACCAACTCACAGAGCAGGTAGCTTCATTGACAGCCTATCAGAGACAGGGAAGTCGGTCCAGGTCTCGGACTCCATAATCACGTCAAAGTCGCAGTAGGAGCCCTCAACCTAGGACATGTTGGTACCACCGTACATTTAAAGAGAAGGCGCTACACTGTACTACTCCTTGTAACTGGCAGCACGATTCATTTTTAAACACGAACGGGAGTCAGTAAAGGCGACTACCGACTCCTCTCATACCACTTCAAGTCGCCGTTTATTTGTAACGGATTCATACAGTAAGCGACGATTTCTCGTAGATACAGGTTCCGATATCTGCTGCTATCCTAAAAGCGCCCTTCGTTCCCACGCCTATAAATCTAACTTTGTGCTGCAAGCAGCCAATGACAGTGCTATTACGACGTACGGTACTCTGCGTTTCAATCTCAACCTAGGTCTTCGACGAGTTTTTGCATGGGATTTCATTATAGCTGACGTCAGCGTTCCTATCATTGGCTCCGACTTCCTCGGTCATTACAATCTCTTGCCAGATTGTACCCATAGATGTCTAGTCGATGGAATAACCGGTCTTCGTCATCAGATTCAGTGCGCGTCATCTAATCAGCCCAGCGTCAAGACCATTATTAGTGATTCTAAAGACTCACCCTTTCTAACAATTTTACAGGAATATCCGGAACTCACTCGTCCACCCGGTTTTCCTCGCGATGTTAAACATAATACAGTGCATTTCATTAACACTACTGACGGACCGCCATTATCATGCCGTCCTCGTCGCCTTGCTCCCCAGAAACTTCAGATTGCCCAAAAAGAATTTGCCGACATGGTTGCTGCCGGTACAGCTAAACCATCCAGCAGTGCCTGGTCTTCACCACTCCATTTAGTTCCTAAAAAGGATGCCACTTGAAGACCTTGTGGTGACTACAGGGCCTTAAATGCGCGCACTATTCCTGATAGATATGCACACACAATCTGGTAGGAGCCACCGTCTTCAGTACAATTGATCTGGTAAAAGCCTACCAGCAAATTCCTGTCAATCCAGCTGATATATGCAAGACAGCTATTACCACTCCTTTCGGACTATTCGAATTTCCCTACATGACGTTTGGTCTCAGAAACGCTGGTCGAACATTCCAGCGTTTCATCGATGAGGTCACACGGGGACTTACTTTTTGCTTTCGTCGATATCCTCATCTACTCGCGCGATGCCGCTCAGCACGCAGAACACCTCCGACTGCTTTTTCAACGTTTAGCTCAATACGGAATCGTCATCAATTTGCCATTTGCAATTGCCAAATGCAAGTTCGGTGTTCCAGAAATTATATTCTTGGGCAGTCACATTTCATCAGCAGGTACACAACCACCACCAGATCGTGTCGAAACCATCAGTAATTTTCCCTTACCTGAAACAGCTCATGGCCTACGACGGTTTCTGGGTATGTTAAACTTCTATCGTCGTTTTATACCCAGAGCCGTTGAATTTCAAGCCCCGTTAATTAACATCCTGGCAGATGCCAAAATTAAGGGTTCCAAACCAGTTCCTTGGACTCCCGATCTGGAACAAGCATTTCACAAGTGTCGCGATAGTTTAGGTGACGCTACTATGTTGTGTCACTCAGTGGCGGACGCTCCACTTGCTCTTTTCACCGACGCTTCCACTACACACGTAGGTTCATGTCTACAACAGAAAGTTGGAAATTCTTGGCAACCTCTTTCATTTTTTAGCAAGAAGTTGACGCCTAAACAGGCATCGCTTCCTGCTTCCTGCTACTCGCCATATACGAAAGCGTGCAACATTTTCGCCACATTCTCGAAGCACAACATACCACCATTTTCACGGATCACAAACCACTCATTTACGCATTTTCTCAAAAACGAGAGAAACTTCCTCCACCTCAATTAAATCAACTGTCATTCATTTCACAGTTCACCACCGACATCGTGTATATTAAGGGAAATGAGAATGTTGTTGCCGACACGATTTCGTGTATTGAGGCCATTCAGCTGGAGGATGATTATCATTCATTAAGTCGCTCTCAACAAACAGACCAAGAGTTGCAAGCATTAATATCTAATAACACTTCATCTTTAAAATTAGAATATGTCACAATTACCGGAACTGACATCATTCTCATATGCGACACATCCACTGGCAAACCTCGTCCATACCTACCATCCTCATTTAGACGCAAATACTTAGACAGGTTACATAACGTGAGTCATCCAGGTTCTCGAGCCACACTTCGTTTGATATCTGATCGTTACGTTTGGCCCTCGAGACGAACACAAACATAAATAATAGCGGTAACAATAAAGACGCTAAATACTGTACAAGTATTTAGCGTCTTTAATAAAGAAGCTCCATCATACAACTCCGCATAGTGCTATAATCGAGGAAGTCGAAAAAACCGGAAATAAAGTCCAAGGGGAAATTATCAACATTAAGTATGGTCCCGAAAAAAAGCCGACATCAACTTTCTTCGTTAACCTCACGCCTGGCCCAAATAACGGTGCAGCTAAATCAATAAAATCGATTAATAATCAAATTATTGTAATTGAAGAGCCTAAGAAAAGAAACACAATACCTCAATGCCAAAGATGTCAGCAGTATGGACATTCAAAAAACTATTGTATGCGGCCATTCAGGTGTGTAAAGTGTGCACAAGATTACAAAACATCGGATTGTCCAAAAAAGGACCGAAACACCCCCGCCACTTGTGCATTGTGTGAAGGTGCACACCCCGCTAACTACAAAGGATGCGAGGTCTATAAAGAAATTCTGTCTAGGAAATCAAGTAGACCAAAACCATACATCTTAAATACACAGAATAAACGAAATAATGAAGAAAATCCAAATAAATCGACTGAACGTCAACTACAATATCAAAACAATGAGAGATCAAGAGACACTAATAAATATGTCACAGAAACAAAATCCTATGCAGATATCTTAAAAATGCATAATGCACCCGCAACACATAACAATAATTTAGAAATACTACTCACACAACAAGCTTTAAAGCTAGATAAACTATTAGAACAAATGTCAACAATGATGAATCTTCTCACAACAGTTATCAACAAACTTGTTCATTGAGATGGCTACTCTGAAATTAGTAACCTGGAACACAAACGGGCTGGCCACGCACAAGTATGATGTGGAAACTCTATTGGAATACGAGAATGTTGATATACTCCTTGTATCTGAAGCACACTTAATACCAAATCACAATCTAAGGTTAAAAAATTATAGCATATATTCGACATCCCACCCCGATGGAACAGCTCATGCGGGCACAGCCATAATTATTAAGAAGCACATCAAGCACGATATCCTTCAGGAGTATAAAACGGAACCAATACAAGCAACTCCAATAATGCTACAGGATAAAAGAGGATCTATGGCTATATAAGCTGTATACTGTCCACCAAAACATAAATTAAAAGAAGAAGCATTCACTAACTACTTCAAAACACTTGGACATAGGTTTTTATGTGGAGGCGATTGGAACGCCAAAAACGTTCACTGGGGATCACGACTGGCCGTACCTAGGGGCCCCGAAATGAAAAAAAAGTATAGATAAAAATAACCTACATATACTAAGCACAGGTGAACCCACATACTGGCCAACAGACCCACAAAACATACCCGATCTTCTGGACTTCTTTGTGTATAAAGGATTGTCAAACAACTATTTAAAGGAGAGTTGTCTTGACAGTAGGTCAGATCACACGCCTGTAATTGCCACAATAAGTACCACCATTATTGAAAGACCAGTTAAGGAGCGCCTCTACCCTAAAAGAACTGATTGGAAGGCATTCAGAGACTACCTAAACGAAAACCTCGACATGAAAGTGCCACTTAAAGAAGATGGAAATGGAAGATGACATAGAGGGTTACGCAATGACATTAACAAACTTAATACAAATAGCAGCATGGAAAAGCACACCAGCTACCACATTAAAACATGGTAGTAAGAATATACCCAGGGATATAAAATATAAAATCCTGGAAAAAAGACGACTTAGAAGGGTGTGGCATTGTAGTTGACATAGCCAAGACAAAAGAGCGTTTAATAAAGCAGCTGCAGACCTAAAATTATACCTTAAAAAGATTGAGGAAGAGACCCTACAGAATAAATTGGCTAACCTGAATCCCCAAGCTAAAAACGAATACTCACTCTGGAAAAGCGGTGATGAAGAAGATGAAAAAGAGATACTGACCTATCTTAGGGCTGACTCCCAATTATCTCTTCCAATTAAAAGCTGCTCTCCACGAGAAGTCCAAAGAGAAATAAAAAACTTGGAACTAAATAAAGCCCCTGGTTTCTGCCTGATTACAGCTGAAGTTCTCCAACAGCTTCCTAAAAAAGGTATAGTCGGTATAATACAACTCTTCAATAGTATAATTAGGATTGGACATGTGCCAAAGCTATGGAAAGCTTCAGAGATAGTCATGATTCCCAAGCCTGGCAAACCTCCACACCTTGTGTCTTCGTACAGACCAATAAGCTTACTTCCAACCTTATCGAAATTATTTGTGAAGATAATTTTACGAAGGTTAAAACAGGTATTAAATGAAAAAGAAATTATCCCTCAACATCAGTTTGGATTCAGAGTTGGCCATTCAACAATTGAACAAGTCAATAGAGTTGTCAACAAAATAAGAGAAGCTCTAGAGAAGAAGCAATACTGCTCTGCTATTTTTCTTGACGTACAACAGGCATTTGACAAGGTTTGGCACCCGGGACTGCTATTCAAACTGAAGAAACACCATCCACATAACTTTTACATACTTTTAAAATCTTATTTAAAGGACAAATTGTTTAGAGTCAAAATCAATGACACCTACTCTACCTTTCAAGATATAAAACCGGAGTACCGCAGGGTTCCACCTTGGGTCTCATTCTGTATCTCATGTACACTGCAGACATAGCAACATCGGATAATATATTGTCTGCTACGTTTGCCGATGACACTGCCGCACTTTGCAACAATGAAAATCCGAACATTGCGTCCATGGTTTTGCAGAGTCACCTGAATAAGGTACATGAATGGATGGAAAAGTGGCGCATTAAAGTGAGCTCCAACAAATCAGTACATGTCACCTTTACCCTGAGAAAAGACAACTGCCCACCGATTAAACTTGGAGATGACATTTTACCCCCTCAAGACTCGGCAAAATATTTGGGCATACATCTTGATAGGAAGCAAACGTGGAAAACACACATCCAAAAAAACGCGATGAATTGAATGCACGGCTCAGAAACCTGAACTGGCTGACGGGCAGAGGATCATATGTAACCATGGAAAACAAGATACTCATTTATAAAACCATAATAAAGCCAATCTGGACATACGGCATCGAGTTACGGGGATCAGCAAAGAATTCCAACAGAACAACAGAATTTTGCAACGGTTTCAGAATAAAGCACTCAAAACCATAACTGCTGCACCTCTATTCATTAGAACAACAGAATTGCATGAATACACAGGAATGAGAACAATCAGAGAAGAAATAGAGCACAGAACAAGAGTATACAGAGATCGTATAGGGGCGCATACCAATATCTTTGCAACAGCACTACGAGACCCATTGCAATGCAGAAGACTTAAGAGACTCCATGCATGGGATCTTATTCACCGATGAGACAGTTTCCTCACTGGAGGTATAGTTCTCTCCCGTCAACAGTCCCACAACCAATCTGTTAAAGGCTTGGTAAGCCGATTGCAGGATAAAAATAATAAAAAAAAAAAAAAATACTGTACAAAAATTAATCTCAATAAAATGTATTACCATACTAAACCATAACGATTATTGTTGTACAAGTTATTCACTTGTTGGTGACTTGCTCCAACATGGAATACGAACGTTTACATGCAAAATTGTATAGGATAATTTTACCTATATATATATATATATATATATATATTTATATATATATATATACATAATGTACAAAACTTTATGTATATATATATATATATAAATATATACATAAAGTTTTGTACATTATTAATACTGTATGTACGGGCCGCTAAAAAAGTTAAAAATGTATTTTAAAAATTTTATTGATTAAAAAGGTTACTCATCCCTGAACTACAGTATATTGTAATTTTAACCAGTTTGTGTTAGTTCTCGTTTTGGTATATTTACTTTACTCTTTGGTTCTCGTCCTTAGGTTATTAGCTTAGTTACGGGCGGCGCAGCATATTCCATAGTTATTTTCACAACTAAGTGTTAATTACTCTGTGTATACTACATATCGTAGCTCAATTCTCTATTATCTAAATAAAATAGTCTGTGGTGTACATAATAATGTAACCTTACATTGCCTTTCCGATTTTTAATAATTATCTACGAAACTGAGTCTACATCATACATGTGACTGATAATTAAAGAATGATACTGATAAACCGTAACGTATACTTTAGTGATTACAGTACACCAGCGGTAGTGCTATTCGGTTGATTCCTTGTCCAGTGCCTCAGTTTGTAGTCTGGTTCTATTCCCATTTTATTTATTTTTATTTTTTATTATAAAATAAAAATTTACAATGCCACCCTCATTACTAAGTTATGAAACTTTGGTTCATGCTTTAGCAGGAGCAACGGTATGTATTGTTGATATACAGTATTCCATTTATTTACAATATATATTAATAACCTTTTCAAATATATTTAGTAGGTGCTTTTCGTTTATTTTTAGGGTAGTGTTGTTGGCATGGCAGCTTTTTATCCATTGGATACGTTAAGATCAAGATTGCAAGGTAATAATTCTTTATAAACATTTTTGTTTTTCTTGAACTTTGCACTGTATAGCAGTGTAGATGACAGATGAGAATCTAATATTTAAAATTTATTTATAGTGGGAACCAAATTGGCTAAATGTTAAAATAACATTTTCTATGTTTAATTAAACAAACTCTTGTATCATAATCTAGTTATTAAGTTAAGTTAATAACAAGTTTAATAAGTTATTAAATATCAATAAAAATGTAAAAAATGAAGCATGCCCTTTTATAAATAATTTAACTAATGAAGACAGAAGAACTTAACTGTGAACAATTTCTGAACGTTTTTTGTTCAAATTATATCTGTCATACTATAACTTTAGTATTTACATTACAACAGATATTGTGGATCTGTTTAGTACTCTTTCTCTCTCCGCTACATGTGTTTGGGCAAAGGTAGCGACAGTTCATCAGATTGGCCATCTGCTGCTGCTTGCTTGTCATTACAGCTAATAAAAAAATCTAAAATTTATGAATTCAAGAACAAGTCTAGTTAGTCCAAATGTGTATAACACACAAAATGTTACACTAGGTGACAGCAATAAAATCTCCCTAATCTATCTATATTTTTACTTGATATTGCGACTGAATAGAAAAACAGACTTGTAGCTAACCATGATATATTTAAATGTCCTACTCAATAATTACCAGAAAAGACAGGAGAGTTTATATTTTATTAAGAAAGTTGATTGGATAGCTAAACTAATGGATTGACAAATTATCCACATAAAGATAAGCAACAATAAATCACAATAGGATTTATATTTTTATGTGCTATAAGTATATTTTTTACACCTATTTTTAATGGACACCTTATCACTTTCTATGAAATTGTACAATAATACATATTTCAAATTTTTAAATTGATTATACTTTACAAATTGAATACAGACAAATAAGGGAGAGAATTAGTCTAAATTTTTAATAATTAACCTGTAATACAGTAAAAACAATACTAACAAAATAGTTACTTACAATACCACATTGAAAAAAGAGTATATTCCCCAATATAATAATAATAACAAGTATAATATATATCCTTACTTCCTTACTAATATTATAAATGCGAAAGTAACACTGTCTGTCTGTCTCGCTTTCACACCAAAACTACTGATCCGATTTATATGAAATTTGGTACACAGATAGTCTAGACCCTGAGAAAGGACATAGGCTACTTTTTAATGCGAAAATAGGGTTGTAAGGGGTTGAAAGATTGTATGGAAGAATCGTCATTTTTGGAGCTAGAAGCTTGAAACTTATTTTTGAGGCTGTTGATTAAATACAAATAAATATGACATTCTAAGTTTGTAAAAATTTTACCATTAGGGGTGTAAAATAAAATAGGGGGTGAAAGTTTTTATGTAAATTCATCATTTTTGAAGCTAGAAACTGATGTTTTAGGCTGTGGATTAAATATAAATAAAGAAAAATGGGTTGTAAAGAATTTAAAGGAGAGTTAAATATTTGTATGGAAATATTTTTAAAGCTAGAAGCTTGAAGTTTAATTTTTAGCCTATTTATTCAATATATATTTAGAAAAAGAGTTATAAGGGGTTGAAAGAGTTATGTATGGAAGTGTCGTCATTTTTGAAGCAAAAAGTATGAAACTTTTTCATTTGGCTTTTATTGGGTTAGGTCATAAAATTTTTTTTTTCATTATTTTGTCAAGGACACTATTTTACGCGAAGTCGCGGGTACAGCTAGTATATATATATATATATAGTATTATGCTTGTTATCACTAATATTCTTATTATATATTATTATTCTTGATGATTATTCTTAATAGTAAATAACTATTTTTTCTATATTGTTTATCTATTATATATTATATGGTGCTCTCTCTCACTTTTTCATACTGGTGCCGCTGAAAACCAGAGGCATGTCATGAACATGCCATAATGTTGATTGAAGCTATTACTGTGTTGTATATTATACAAAAATGTTTATTTTTGTTATTGTTTCTAATGTAAACACTGAATAAGTGTTTTTTCTTCCTTTCTTTCAAAATTTTATAACAGCTCACAACAGTTTAATTACATGAATATATTGTATTTTTCAGTTGACAATGATTTAAAAATGAAAGGCTCATCATGGGAGTTACTAGTGCGGCTAGCCAACGAAGAAGGTATTGAGGCATTGTACCGTGGCCTTTCGCCTGTGTTGCAATCAGTTTCAGTTTCAAATTTTGTTTATTTTTATTGTTTTCATGCATTGCGCAGACTTCATACTACAGAAGTAACTGCAGTAAAAGATTTATTAGTTGGTTCTGTTGCTGGTGTTATAAATGTACTTCTAACATCTCCACTTTGGACTGTTAACATGAGAATGAAGGTGGAAAAGAATAAATATGATAGCTTAATAAAAGGCCTTATTGAAATATCTAAAAAAGAAGGAGCAAAGGGATTGTGGTCTGGTGTTTTACCATCCTTGCTATTGGTGTCAAATCCAGCCATCCAATTTATGGTGTATGAATATTTAAAGAGACATGTAATAGCTAGAGGTAAGTTTAATGCTTACTCAGGATTTTTAATAGCTGCAGTTGCAAAAGCTGTAGCCACAAGTTTGACCTATCCACTTCAACTTGTACAGTCAAGGCTTCGTGCTGGTACTAGTTTAAAACCTTTATGGAGAGATGTAAAATCAAAACCATCAGTAATGTTTCGAGGACTGGAAGCAAAATTATTACAAACAGTCATGACAGCTGCTTTAATGTTTTTCATTTATGAAAGACTTGTTCGTTTAGTGTTACTCATAATGAGAGTTCAATCACAGCGTAAATGAAGGCTGAATTACTTTATGATATAATCTGTTATACCTACTAATATAAATTTTGTGCTACAATAATTTAAACTACAGTATAAAAGAACCTGGAACCTTGAGATAGTGTGTAATTTCTATTACATAAAGAAAATCTGTGATGGTTCTATGTGATAATAAAAGTATTTATTATTTATGTGAATAATAAATACATGACACAACATAATGACAATTAGATTTCATTAATAAATAAAATTAAACAAAAAAACAGAATTTACTAGCTCTCTAATTATGGAGTTAATAATATAAACACTTCTTTTCAATATACTAAGAAGGCCAAATTGTCTCTATAAGACTGGATTTATAATATGATTGTAAAGTCACTTGGTAGAACACTCAATCTTATTTTGTAAGATATTTATGGTCAAATATATTTACATATTTAATATCAAATATATTTACATATTTGAGCCAAGACTATGTAATCAGTTTTTAAATAAGTAAGAGCATTAAAATGATATTATTACAACTGATAAAATTATCTCTATTAATAGCTTATAATCATAATAATCAGTTCAATGTTTAAATAAATAAGTGTCCTCACCAAAAAAACTTTGCTCTTTCCATTATTTAGCTATTATACATATGTATTACTGGTGGTATATTTCCGCATAAGTAGGGATTTCATCAGTATAGTTCTTAGACGTCATAGCGACTGGATAAGTAAAATTTATCATAAAATTCAATTTTAAGTATGTTCTTACATGAATATTGTAACATTAACAATGTGATTCATATAGCAGGTATATATTTTCACATTTCCAACCTTAAATACTGATACAAATTAAAAAAATATTTATGGTGTAACTATATCTATTTATTCTATGAATCTTTGTTGTTTATAACAATTTGATAATGGTTGAGATAAACTTGACACTCCGTTTTTACACTTTTACACAAAGATTATTGACATGTTGTATTAAGTTAAATATTTCTCTAAGTAATAGCTACCACTTGGTACCAGGAAGGCCATGAGTTACATTGCATGTTTATTATACATTAACAGACAATGGTAGTGCTCACACTGCGCAATACATACATATACGCGCATCTACATAATTGGATACATATTTAATGGGAAAAAACCTAGTGATGTCATTAATAGATAAAAATAATTTTAGCTTAGTAGATTATGGGTCAACTCATGCTGTGACCTGAGGAGAGGTGTACAACACGCATAATTAATTGTGTTCTACAATTTCATTAATTTTGTAACACATATCGTCTACAGACCAAAGATGACATGGGATGAGATTGTGGTCTGTAGAAGACAGACCATAGTCTCATTGCATCAAATTTATTTAGTTTAGATATGTTGTTTATCGTATTTAATGCAGAAAATATTCTCTCTTTTAAAATTTTATGTTACATAATTACTTACTAAATACTTGGTGTTTTGTACGGGTTTTTAATTTATTTTTAGTGACAAAGTTTGTTTCTTAAATGGTATTGGACTTTATCGGGTAATGTAATGTGTATTTTTTTTACAATAAAATATAGATAGTTTATAAATTCACAAGATTAAAAAGAATACTTTATACTGAAACTATTGATATTGAGTTATCTTCTCGCTGTTGGCATAGATAGAGCTCATAATATAGATATTTTCATTATACATAAAAGATAACATTTTTGTAATTTTATATATACAAAAAAAAAAACTACTATAGTCTTCCTAAGCTAAAAGCGTATATAGAAAAAGTACAACATTCCAGAATATTAAATTGATTTGTATAAATCGTATTTGGACGTGGGCTTATAACTCTAGTCATATATAAGTGAATGCAAATAAACTTATTTAAATACAAAATCTTTTATTAAAACTCACAAAATTCAATGAACAATAGTATTTTGCAATTGTGCAACTTTCATATCCTCTGACGTTCTTATGACAACCTGTATGTATTCTTTGACCAGGGAATCCAATTCATTGTAGATCTGTAATTAGAAAAATCATATAATCATGAATTAAAAGGAGAACTGAAATGTGTGAATAAATTATTTAGTTTTTCTATTCTAAAAAATGTTTAAAAACTCAGAACAGCAGCGGTTTCCTACGGCTACCTTTAACCATCGCTCCGCTCATCGACAGGGTATTCATCCCCACACACCCGCTACAACCTAAGTGGTCTCGGACAATGCGGTTCCAGAAGAGTTTCCTGCCGTATAAACTTAGATTGTGGAATGAACTACCTGCCTAGGTTTTCTCTAGACTTTAAAAAATGGGGTTTATCAAGAACGGTGTATAAAATACACCTGTTTTATAAAACCTATCTTAGTGTGTGCTGCATATTTGCATTAATAGTTCAAATTTCACACTCCTTCGTCTGCGTAATTTTCTTATTAAGGATATAAATTACTTTCAAGTATTAATATAATGATAAGCAATATTAACTATATATAAAAGAAGTTTGACTTGGTCTGAGTGCAACTTCTATGTATTATAAGGTACCTTCCTTCTTGGTACAAAAAAGGTTTTAAATTAAATATATCAGTTGTTTAGGAACCTATAGTATAGTATGTTCTGTTTATTTTACTATATGGCGGCGTTCCATATGTAAATGACCATGGGTACTAATTTGCAGCGATGTGTTACGTTTTGTTCTTCTAATTAACATACAATATTAATAAATTGGACAGACGACAAGGTAAAAATAACATATTGTCAGATTAGACCGTTTAAAAACTATCCTAAATTGATGAATGATGAATAAAAAACTATCCTAAAATGAAAACCCAGATGATTGATGACACCCTTGTCTACACGGGGTGACAGTACAAATTTATTCTTTTGGCATGGAATCTATTGCCGTATAGCAAATTAATTACACTTGTTAACGTCGTTTACTATAACCAGATCTTAATGATTTATTTAAGTATATACTTCTATGGCATTGTCTTTATTACATACGCTCTGTCACGTGGCAATTTGTTTTCGCGCAGGTAGTGTAGAGTGTGTATGTAGGTACATGCAGACAGCTAGACAGAGCTCTCGTGCGTCACACGCTTGCGCAATCTCACATGTTTCAATCTTACGTAGTTTCGCAATAAATAATTATCACTGTAAAACGGCAGACATCTGACTATAAAGACCTAATTAGAGTTAGTGTAATTTATACATTTTAAACAATGCCCTCAATAATAAAATCTGAATATTAAAAAAATGCATATATGAAACATTCAGTGTGACAAGCAGTCGCACTTGAAAGTGAAAATAAAAAAACAACTCAAGATTAATAGTGCGCGTTCCTGTCACATATTGCATACATATATTTTGCATAACTAACCGTTTATGCAGCGCACACAGTGGGAGCACAAAAAAAAATTGTGGCACATTTTTCATTGCTTCTCCGCTCCGCTGGTGTAATGTTATATAGATTATAGGTCTTGGGGATACTATGCCTACCTGTTTAACAGTGAAAGATTTTTTAAAATCGGATATGAAGAACCGGAGATTAGCTCTCGAACAAACAAGCATACAAACCTCTTTATAATATTAGTATAGATAGACATGTGTCTATCTACACTAATTTTATAAAAAGGTTTGTGTATTTGTTTGTTCTAAGATTTATAAATTCTCTACAACTCTGTATCTTTGTTTTATTGTCACATACACGACGTTTTATAGTAATTAATTGCGTGCGCTCTTCCTCGCTCTCTTTGTCTGCCTATACGCGAAAGTGGATTTGCGAGTGAAAGAGCGTACGTGTAAAGGTAACTCCTACACTCATGAGCGAAAGTATGGAATCACTCACTCGGAATTGATTCCGCGCGATCTTGACTTAATAACTAGTAAAGAATTATTGAAATGGTACCATTTTAAAGGTTTAACTGTTAAATTTAAATCGATAACAAATTCATTTAAATCACACCAGTATTTAAGGAGCTATCCCGGATTATGTGAAGAAGTAAGTAAAATGATGTTTCAATCGTTCGATACGTCCCGAGTTGATAATGTATGGAGAGGTACCTGTGCGGCGTAGGCGTCGGTGCGAGCTAGCGGCGCGAGCTCGGCGCGCAGCAGGTCGGCGGCGGCGAGCGGCGCGGCGCGCGGGCCGGCGGCGGGGGCGGCGGGGGCGGCGGGGGCGGCGGCGGCGGCGAGCGCGGCCCGCAGCGCGCCCGCACACGCCGCGCCCGCCGCCGCCGCGCGCCCGCCCGCACTCAGCGCGCGCGCGCACCCCGCGCCGTCCACCTCCTGCTCCACGCGCACGTAATAAAGTACAATAGTAACCGATCCTTGTTATGCCTCAAGCGAAAACAAGCATGCATCGCACACTGGATACTGCAAATCGAATAAACATATGGCACGACAAAAATCTGCAGATTTTGCCAAGCCGAAGAGGAAACGACACTAACATCTAATGTGGTTGTAGCCAACTTATGAATAAGGGAAATATCTTCTTTGGAAGTTTACACTCTATCTTGAGCAGATAAAAATTTTCACTCCTAAGAATATCCCAAGAGCACTGACGATAGCCGAAACCGCTCCATAATTAAATAGTTAAATAATAACAGTTTTGAGAAATCATGATATTTCTCAATAAATAAATATATATGCGGTTCGATCTCATGTTTATAGGCGGCAATTACAACAATTATATGAATGTATATCATCCAATAACGTAATAGTAAGAAAAACTTAAATATCGAACATACTGTATATCTCTGTAGAAACCAGTGAGGCATAAATTGTCCAGTACTCAAAATCCTCTTAGTGACAGCTAGCAAGGTTTCAGCATCTGCTTCTTTTAGATATGGATACAATTTGTCGAAATCAATGTCTTCATTTTCTGAAAATAAAATTATTCATAACATGAACTGCATTTGTCGTATATTACTGCGGACACGTAGTTCAATAATTTGATGTATGAAATGTAAAGAAGTGATTATTATTATAATATCTTACTCAGTAACGCCTGTTTAACAGGATCTATAGATTCAGGGTCTTCTTCGCGGAGTTCGGCAGCCAAATCCTCCGGTCCGATGACCTGTATTATAGTTAGTTGCAAATAAATGTACTACAGAACAAACATGTGCTTCCTTGCTCAAAACGTTACGGAAAATTCACTTATACCATACATAACCTAAATATAGCCACAATCAAATTGGCTATCTGAGAATACCCTCCACTGTAGTACCCACTGACCACCGGGCTCACCCATCCTAGATGGATCACGGCGGTCAGTAGGTGCTACAAAGATAGGAACAATAGAAACAACATTCCATTGCATACATACATATGTACCGAATATTGAAATTTTAAAAGCGAATGATTACTACGACGCAATTTAATTACGTCTAAATAAATTTATATTTCAAAGATTACTTCTACTTTTTGGAACAAATCATCAGTATACTTGAAGAAACAGGAAATTCATAATAAAAAGTACAACGGTACAGTAAAGTAAACGAGGAGTTACCTGCAGACGGGGCGCGGCGGGCCGGTCTGCATCGTCGGCGGCGTGCGCGGGGGGTGCGGAGGGTGCGGGGGGTGCGGGGCGCGCCAGGAACGCGTGGTCGGGGCGAGCCAGCCGCAGGCACACCAGCGCCGCCGCCAGCCAGCGCCGCCGGCCCGCGCGCGGCCCGCGCTCCGCCGCGCACCGCGCCGCGCGCTCGTACATCACGCCCGCAGCTACACACCGCGACACGTCACACACCTTTACTAATGCTATCCATCTATGGTGCGGTAAGACCCCGTTCGACGCCGTTTCGTTTACCGCTCCTTTATTTCGACCCGAGGATTCGGAACATAACGGAATGACTATAATACACTAAAGTTTAGTATATAATAGTAATATAATAGTTTCTGCGCTAAAGAACCTTCGACCCGCGAGCCGCGGGGTTGGGGCCTTGACAGTAAACGATTACCTGTTACTCACTAAACGATTGCTTGAATGACGAACGTGCATGGCAATAGTTCATGCACAGGATATTCATTTAATATTAGACATAGATATATAAATAAACATTGTAAATAAACTGGCTTTAAAAATAACAATAACAAATTCAATAGTCTTGCCAGTTCTTCTCAATTGAATCTGTATGTTGAACTGGACGATAGGGAAAAATATACTTTGAAGTTTTAATTTACTTTAAGTTCATAAGCGGCTAATATGTCCGACATGACTAAATGTATTTCTGAATTTGAAGACGTCAACGAAAAAAAATTAACGTAAGCAAGAAGAAAACAAAAATGTTGATAGCAGTGACTCCGAAGGAAAGAAAGATAGGCTCGTTTAACGCTGTTTCGTTTAGCGTAGTATCTTATTGGACCGTATCCCCGCGTTAAGCAGGGTATTTCTTATTGACATTTATACACACATATAGTACTGACAAATATTGTCAGCATTATGAGTTTTATTGTGACAAAGAGCTTCCACATAGTATAGTATTATATTAGTATCATTAGTTATGACCAGACAGCCGGTGGCGTGATGAGCCGATTTATTGGGCTCCCTAAAATATAATAATATTGAGTGCAGTGATGAATGTCTCACCCGTCCTACTCGAGAACGGGTGCAGCTTGTAGAGTGTTCAGCTCTGTTAACTGAGTGATTTACTTTGTTACTCAAGTAACTATTATATTAATATATAAATAAATACTATTAATTTATTTTTGCAACTTTGCTATTTGGCAGTTTGTATTCACACAAAATTCTTAAAAATGTAATTCTGAACAACATTTATTTACTTAATGATGTGTTGAGTCTGCATTCCGAATGACTGGTACAATCAAAAGATATGATTGTTCAAAAGCGCTAACAGTAAGTTTATTTGAATAAAGAAATAGAAATATTTCTATTTCAATTTGCCAAGATGGCTTAACTGACCTGACCTCATTCTCATCTTATCATTCTTCACTGCTACTCCGCCAGCGAAAACCGTTAGGGTAGACGGGTTTACCATTAAAACACCCAGATCGATATAAACTCTCTCTCTCTCTCATGAATACAAATATTAGTACCACGCGATGAATCGCACCCGCGACCATCGGAAGAAAAGCGGTGAAACCGACTGTGAATATTTTAAATAGGCACCAAAATAGTTCACAATAACAAATCTGTAACTAACATAAACCGTATCTAACTATAACATATCTGTTTTATGACACGAAGAATTATTTTTATTCGGTTGGCTACGTAGCAAATTAATTATATTTTTCATACGCGTTAAAGAAGTCGAGGGACGAGTTCGCGTCCGCGATAGTGGGTTTCTTATGTATATATTTGTGTGTAGTCAGTGGTTCTGTTCGTGGAGCGCGGCGTGGCATTGGCAGCGTGCGGACCGACCTTTGCGGTAGTGGTGTCGTGAGACGTGCAGCGCGTACAGGAAGTCGTAGTAGGGGTTGTCCGCGTGCGGGTCGTGCAGCCTGGCGCGCGCCGCCGCCGCGCGCTCCGCCTCGCCCGCCAGCGCCGCGCACCCCACCAGCGCGCCCAGCTGCCGCCGACCAGCTGCGGGCGCACGACCGCTCCTTATTATATATACATACTAGCTAGCTGCCGCGGCATAATGCTATTAGAAAATAGGAGTCGCTGATCCGAGGGTGAAACTGTTGTTTAAAAAAATAAATGTTAGGGGTGGTATATGTATATAGTGGCTATTTTTCATACCCCTAAGTGATAATGGTACAACCTTTATCACTTAGGGGTATGAAAAATAGTAGCCGATTCTAGACCTACTGAATAGGCATGTAAAATGTTATAAGAAATCGTAAAGTCGTTTCGGAGAAGAATGGTAACTACCATTTTATATAGGTGTTAGATGTTTTTTGTTTGTACCTAAGCACATATTTACTGCAACATTTAATTTTACCACCTTGTTCTCTGGTTCAAACTACCCACATATAATTTGATTTTTTTTTTTTTTTATGATGGTAGATAAATATCACTGTTGGGAGATTGGGTGTGTCCTGTTACGTAGAAACAGTACTATTGTTTTTCCTCGCAATAAAATCAAATATAAAAGTTAATCCTTGACTTTTCAATAATCTCGCCTTTGAAAACGTAATAAAAGTTACATGGCCCTCGAGTCGGATATTGGCTAAAGGTGTTTTTTTGATATACCGGTGGTGAAGTGATAATCACCCTACGTCTCACAAGATAGCAAACCAGGATTGCTATCTAATTATCCCATCAGCTGGCAACGGCGAATAGGATCCGGGTGGTTCATTCCCGGAGCAACGACGTACGGGAGGCAAATATAAATATATATAAGAAATTATATTCTATAATAGGTGAGAGAGATACGGAATGTCTTAGTAAACGACTGACATTCGATAATTATTAAGATTATTAGAAAAAACTAGAGATAATTATTAGTCGGCCAAATTAAAAAAAAATTTTAGGAAAAAAAAGTAATTATTTGCTTTATTTAGTTAAGTCTTATTATTACTTAAGGAATAAAATTAGTTTTTAATTTTTAATCACACAATAGTGAATGACTGTTATAAAAAGAAAATGAATTTACTAGTTAGATAAGTTCCGCCGGATATCCGACTACTCGGTCACATGGTTGGCCGAATATCCGTTACCCGGTATCCGACCAAACTGCTATCCGTTTCATCTCTAATAATTATTCAAACATACAAAGTTCGATATCGGGTGACATCTCATCATCATCATAGACAATAACTCTCAAATATTTATTTGTATGTATTGCTATCGGAATGTACTTTTCTCGTACCAGAATTTATTATCTCTCTCTCATTTTTATTACAAAGAAAAAGAAAGAGAATCGTATAGTTAATGAGCGGCGTTACCGAGTGTGGTGAGGAGCGTGGCGGCGGCGGCGGCGCGGGCGTGCGGCGCGGGGCTGGCGGCGGCGGCGGCCAGCGCGCGGGACGTGCGACCTCCGGACAAGTGCCACTTGAACACCAGCCACTGGAACATCGCCTGCACACAACACATGCTCACGTTGAGTCCGCACATTTATACTTACATAATTACATTCAAATCAAACATATTAAAGCAAAACAATAAGTTTTTGAGCGTACATGACAGTATTTACATACACGTTAGACCAGTGATTCCCAACCTTTTTTGTGGCATGCCCCAAATTAGTCTTTTTAAAATTCTTATGCCCCACAATTACAACTATGTCAACAGTTTTAGAAGTTTTCGAGCGTGAAGAAATGATGAAGTAGGCTCTGGCTCGCCGACTATTTTCCATATACGTTACATGGAAAATAACAGATATTAACAGAATAGTAATAGAATTTGTAAAAGACAGTAATAAAAAACACATAAGCCTCTTGCCAAAAGAAGAGAAAAAAAATACATACCAAGTTTGGGTCATCTTTGTCGGCAATGCTAATTGCAGTTTCAGCGAGACGAACCACGCAAGCACCCGCATCGTGGATCTCAAATAATTTTATCACCTAATTAGAAAACAACATTATATTAGGTATATGGTATACTTTCAATATTGTACAAATATTTTATATTTGCCTTGGATCTTTTATTGTATAATATTAATTTGAGACTGGAAGTAAAATGAGGTCTTGGACGTCCTTTATTAAGTTCATACAAATTTGAATCACTGCATTAGCGGTGCGTTACTTGCGACGTCTGTAATGTGACAGTTGGTTGAATTGATTGGTAGTGGACCTTCATGTAGTAGAGCACGAGCGCCTGGTGCTGCGTGAGGCGCGCGTGGGGCGCGGCCACGAGCGCGCGCAGGAAGGGCTCGGTGCTCACTCCCTTGGCTGCTTTACAAAACGCTGTGTACGCGCCTTCAGAGTCCTCTGTCTCCAGCAGCGATAACCCCAAGATGAATTGTCCTAATCACAATGTATATATTAGTACACATAATAATTATTACGCTATACTGAGAATAATATACAATTCATTTTGTTCATACTACTGAAAATTAAAAGTATGTATACTCACGTGAACAAGCATTCCATTCGCACCAGGGTTCTAGCATAGCGACATAATTCTGTACAAGTTTCGGTTGGTTAATAGTCGCCAACCACCAACCAAATTCAAAACCACCACTGACGGCCCACCTGTGACCTCGTTAAGGAAATAATGATATATGTTCATGACCATAATTATAAATCGTGTTCCACTACAGATGACTTGTGAATTATTGTTGCGCTTAGGTTAGTACACCGCATTTCCGACGATTGCGGGTTCGATTCCTCACACGATACAAATATTTATATTAATTGGTATGATTGTCTGTATCGATTTCAGTTTTTTTTATTTGCGTATATGTGCATTAAAAAAAAGTATTTATTAGTTATTATTTTATATAAAAAAAAACAATTATAGATTGTAAGGATACAGCTGGTGCGCTAAATGGTAAGCGAGCAGGGGCAGCGCGTGGTGCCAGCGCAGCGGAGCGTGCGCCGCCGCCAGCTGCAACCGCGCGCGCGCGCCGCCTGCGCCGCGCACGTACGCCGCCACCGCGCCCCCCGCCGCCCCCGCGCACCCACCGCCCGCCTCGCACGCCACCGCGCCCAACGAGCTCAGCTTCAGTCGGAACGACTCGCTTGTACTTGCAGCCCTGTAATTATATTTCTTACACTGGTACCAGTCTACTCCCATCTGACGAGAGTAGCAACAGTAACCTATATAACACAAAGATGTATCGCTAAATACATGATGCCGGTGATACTGCTCACGGGTCGGAGTTCTGTAAGGACTAAAGTATATATATAAGAGAGGTGACTTTATACAATGTCCTGTGTTCACATTACCCACACCGGTGTAGAATACATGTATGTGTAGTATGCGACCGGCGTACGCAAAGCGACACAGTGGCCGGCGCCCGGCACGCCGCCCGCGCACCAGATGTCTCCTGTCGGCGTGCTAGTACCGTCCGGCGTACGTACGGGCGACGCAGTGGCTGCGCGCAGTGCCAGAGCAGCGCGCGGTAGGCCTGCCAGTGCACGGCGCAGTGGCCCGGCGCCCGGCACGCCGCCCGCGCACCAGATGTCTCCTTTCGGCGTGCTAGTACCGTCCGGCGTACGTACGGGCGACGCAGTGGCTGCGCGCAGTGCCAGAGCAGCGCGCGGTAGGCCTGCCAGTGCACGGCGCAGTGGCCGGCGCCCGGCACGCCGCCCGCGCACCAGATGTCTCCTGTCGGCGTGCTAGTACCGTCCGGCGTACGTACGGGCGACGCAGTGGCTGCGCGCAGTGCCAGAGCAGCGCGCGGTAGGCCTGCCAGTGCACGGCGCAGTGGCCGGCGCCCGGCACGCCGCCCGCGCACCAGATGTCTCCTGTCGGCGTGCTAGTACCGTCCGGCGTACGTACGGGCGACGCAGTGGCTGCGCGCAGTGCCAGAGCAGCGCGCGGTAGGCCTGCCAGTGCACGGCGCAGTGGCCGGCGCCCGGCACGCCGCCCGCGCACCAGATGTCTCCTGTCGGCGTGCTAGTACCGTCCGGCGTACGTACGGGCGACGCAGTGGCTGCGCGCAGTGCCAGAGCAGCGCGCGGTAGGCCTGCCAGTGCACGGCGCAGTGGCCGGCGCCCGGCACGCCGCCCGCGCCTCGTGCCGCGCCCAGCGCCGCCACAGCTCCTCGCACCACGCGGGACCTGCGCCGACCGACCATATGTAAATGGCTATACACATACATATTACTACTAATACATTACTCTTATTGCCCGACTTGAACCTAATATCCAGAGTTCAAATTCAGTTCGTGCTTTGTATCGATTTACATTTTTTATTATTGTAATATAAAATCATAAATAATAAATCATAATAACAATTAGATTATAATTTACTAAGATATTATGTAAATTGCCAGAAATATGCCAAAAAATCTATCTGCAAGTATCTATTATAACAAAACTTAAAATAATTCTAATCTAAAATATTCCTGCAGTTCAAGTGCAACATAATCTAGAAATTAATAACTCACCTCATTTCAGCCATTTGTCGAATCGCTTCAGTTACTATAGATACGCCCAAATCGCTCGCGAATAGGGTATCATATTCGTTATATTCGTCTTCTTCACCTATTAAACAATAAATATGTTATTATATTACTATATTTTTTATTATTTTTGGAATTGCATATTAATAATAATAATAACTCAGTTACCTACAATTCACGAAGCGCCATTTAGTGACAAGGTAAGCAGTTTATAAGTATAAGACATCTATAGAAATACTGAAATACATTTTTTTTTCTAAATACCTACATAATACATATATATAGGGATAACGGTTATTATTATTAATGTGAACTGTTGGCCCCATTGCTAGCAATGAACCTGCCTCATGTTCATCTTATCATCCTCCACAGTTAGTGGAGGATGAACGGGATACGCTGGCGGGGCACCGCCAGCGTAACCCGTTAGCGCAGGCGGGTGCACCATTCCAATATCATCTATAAAATAATATAATACCATGTCAGGTAGACCTCCGGCGGTTCCTCAGTAATTTGCTGCACAAAAAAGTGTTATCCCTTCGGTGATGATCCGGTGGTTGAAAAGCAATGCAGCATAAAACATGCAACAAATAAATCTCGTAATCTTAAAATATGTGGTTAACAATTATTATACTTTTAGCTGTGTCAAGCTCAGGCACGTCCAATCTCAGCGCGTCGTTCAGCTCGAGGACTGCATTCTGTAGATCTTTGATTGGCTCCAATATAGATGTCAGTTCATCCACCTGTTGTGGAGTCAATATCTGGAATTTAAAACGATAGGAATAAATAAATGGCCTTTTAGACCGTACGGACAAAACCGTATATTTAAGCTACAATACTAAAATTTAAAAAAAATATTATTATCAAATACGCTGTACTCAAATCACAAATCTATCAGAAAAATTGAGTACCACATAGAGACACCAATTAGTACTCCAGTATATAATATTGCTATACTAGCTGGATTTACACAACACTTTTTTTCAGGCACGACTTGAAACGCTTGTGATTGAACGATAGAAAACGTACAAAATAGTGTGCGATTGTTTTTATTTCTTTCTAAATAAACCAAAACCGGTACGCGCGCGATTGCATGATTGACTCCGTATGGTGCGTGTCGTGTAAAGGAAGTTTTACTATTGATATTAAACGCTCCTCATTATTAATAAAAGTTTGTCGAGTGTTATATGAACGGCGAAGTGGCAGGCGGTGCTGCGGCGCGTTGCTGGCGAACAGCCGCCGCTCGAGCTCGCAGCGGGGCGGGTGCGGTGTGAGTTACCGGGTGGTGCGGCTCGGGCCCCGCGGGCGCGGAGAGCGGCGCGGCGAGCTGCAGGTGCAGGAGGCGCGGCAGCAGGCGGTGCTGCGGCGCGTTGCTGGCGAACAGCCGCCGCTCGAGCTCGCAGCGGGGCGGGTGCGGTGTGAGTTACCGGGTGGTGCGGCTCGGGCCCCGCGGGCGCGGAGAGCGGCGCGGCGAGCTGCAGGTGCAGGAGGCGCGGCAGCAGGCGGTGCTGCGGCGCGTTGCTGGCGAACAGCCGCCGCTCGAGCTCGCAGCGGGGCGGGTGCGGTGTGAGTTACCGGGTGGTGCGGCTCGGGCCCCGCGGGCGCGGAGAGCGGCGCGGCGAGCTGCAGGTGCAGGAGGCGCGGCAGCAGGCGGTGCTGCGGCGCGTTGCTGGCGAACAGCCGCCGCTCGAGCTCGCAGCGGGGCGGGTGCGGTGTGAGTTACCGGGTGGTGCGGCTCGGGCCCCGCGGGCGCGGAGAGCGGCGCGGCGAGCTGCAGGTGCAGGAGGCGCGGCAGCAGGCGGTGCTGCGGCGCGTTGCTGGCGAACAGCCGCCGCTCGAGCTCGCAGCGGGGCGGGTGCGGTGTGAGTTACCGGGTGGTGCGGCTCGGGCCCCGCGGGCGCGGAGAGCGGCGCGGCGAGCTGCAGGTGCAGGAGGCGCGGCAGCAGGCGGTGCTGCGGCGCGTTGCTGGCGAACAGCCGCCGCTCGAGCTCGCAGCGGGGCGGGTGCGGTGTGAGTTACCGGGTGGTGCGGCTCGGGCCCCGCGGGCGCGGAGAGCGGCGCGGCGAGCTGCAGGTGCAGGAGGCGCGGCAGCAGGCGGTGCTGCGGCGCGTTGCTGGCGAACAGCCGCCGCTCGAGCTCGCAGCGGGGCGGGTGCGGTGTGAGTTACCGGGTGGTGCGGCTCGGGCCCCGCGGGCGCGGAGAGCGGCGCGGCGAGCTGCAGGTGCAGGAGGCGCGGCAGCAGGCGGTGCTGCGGCGCGTTGCTGGCGAACAGCCGCCGCTCGAGCTCGCAGCGGGGCGGGTGCGGTGTGAGTTACCGGGTGGTGCGGCTCGGGCCCCGCGGGCGCGGAGAGCGGCGCGGCGAGCTGCAGGTGCAGGAGGCGCGGCAGCAGGCGGTGCTGCGGCGCGTTGCTGGCGAACAGCCGCCGCTCGAGCTCGCAGCGGGGCGGGTGCGGTGTGAGTTACCGGGTGGTGCGGCTCGGGCCCCGCGGGCGCGGAGAGCGGCGCGGCGAGCTGCAGGTGCAGGAGGCGCGGCAGCAGGCGGTGCTGCGGCGCGTTGCTGGCGAACAGCCGCCGCTCGAGCTCGCAGCGGGGCGGGTGCGGTGTGAGTTACCGGGTGGTGCGGCTCGGGCCCCGCGGGCGCGGAGAGCGGCGCGGCGAGCTGCAGGTGCAGGAGGCGCGGCAGCAGGCGGTGCTGCGGCGCGTTGCTGGCGAACAGCCGCCGCTCGAGCTCGCAGCGGGGCGGGTGCGGTGTGAGTTACCGGGTGGTGCGGCTCGGGCCCCGCGGGCGCGGAGAGCGGCGCGGCGAGCTGCAGGTGCAGGAGGCGCGGCAGCAGGCGGTGCTGCGGCGCGTTGCTGGCGAACAGCCGCCGCTCGAGGTCGTCCGCGCCGGCGGCCGCCGCTCGCTCCCAGCGCGCGCCCGCCGCCACCACGCGCACCGCCTCCGCCGACAGCGACAGCTCGCGGGACCGCTCGCCCTCTGCGTCAGTTAATGTCACGCCTTTACTCGTCATGCAGCGCTGTCGACGATTCTTAAATTCGAGGACGACATGGTCGCATCGACATATTGCGTTAATTTTCACTCAAGTTTTAGAAGAAAGAAGGACACGATTAGGCTTATAAAATGTAATATCTACATAAAAAAATCACGGTCTTCTACCATGATTTTTTTATGTAGATATTACATATAAATCATCTCAACCTAATGCTATAATAATAATATCATAACTTTTGTAAGAACAAAGTTATGACATTATTATGTCAGTATTAAATTAATTTAAATTTATTATGCAGCATACCCATTGTAGTGTCAAGTAAAGACATATCTGGTGCGAGCATCAATTTTTCTAATGGCTCTAATTCGCGTACGAGAGAGATTCCAGCGCGACGAACCACTGCACACCACCAACCGCTATCATTATCAGAACCCTACAAATAACAGTCATACATTGGTTACGGTTCAACAGATATGTATATTAATATTTTAAATAATTGCTGCCTGCTTTGCCTGACTGAGCACTAAACAAAACTTTGAAATATTGGTTTCTATTCAGTAATATATACACCAACTTTTTCTTCCTTATCCCTTTTAGTTAGTGTTGGCATAATATGGTTTTCTCTTCAATTCAAACCTGTTCACACTCATCTCGTTTTTCATTCCCTTTCTTGCCATTTCATCCTTCACAAAGTTCATACATCTCTTTTTCTACCTTCATCTGCCCTCATAAGCATACACATATAACACTTTTCTTAAAATATTTTCTTCATTCCTACACAATACATGCCCTTATCAAAAGAAACAATTACTTAGTATCACATATAGCATAAATGTAGACTTAAATTAAATAAAACTTTTAGAAATTTAATTTATTAGCTGCAAATTAGATTTTCCATTTTCTTATTACATATCTACTTACATGTTTAGAGACCATAATACCCAGTGGTTTTTGTAACCCCTCCATGTACTGCATACACCAACTATATAAATCTGACCAGCATCTAAAAAACATATAGTTATATTAACATTAAATATGTATACTATTACTTTTTACAGCGAAAAGTACCTTATAAGTATAATAGATAGCATAAAGTACTTTATTTATAATTTTTAATTTTGTAGATTTTTATTGGTCTTATTTTATTTATAAACTAGCTGTACTCGCGACTTCGTTCGCGTGGAATTTAACTTTATTTTTCAAAAATTAAAAGTAGTCTAAGTTACTCCTTATTAGCTAATGTATAGCTACATGCCAAAAAAAGTCCCGTCAAAATCGGTCCAGCCATTTCAGAGATTAGCCGGAACAAACATATAGACAGACAGACTGACAAAAATTGTAAAAAATGTTATTTTGGTATATGTACCGTATTAATATTCATATGCGACTAGTAAAAAACGATTATTTCAATATTACAAACAGACACTCCAATTTTATTTATACGTATAGATTATTTTATAAGGTTTTATCGTTATTTTACGATTTCTCGAAAAATACCTATGTTTTTAAATAAAATTTTCGGTTTTCCTACAAATTTCCGAACCAAAAAAGTAATAAAGAACCCTTACGGTTATGTGTTGCCTTCTATGTACATAATTAAATTTAAATTAAGCCATTTATAATAGTGAGATAGATTATCTCACGATTTTCAAATTACTTCATTTCATCATAACATATAAAATGTTGCATTAATAGGTTCTGCGATTTTTTTCAGCATTTGTAATAAAAATAGCATGGAACAATTTGGGTCTACTGACTTGTGCATAAGATGTGATTGATCTGTAGATCCGGATCGGGCAGCCAGATGCTGCATTCGAGTTTGCACTGCGTTCATTGCCGATTCTCCCAAGTCACCATCAAGGCTCGTCTCACTTCCGCCCCAAGTACGTCGGTATATCTTTTACAGAACAAGCTTTTAGATATTACTAATTCATAATTATTCATATACAAATTGTTAAAAACAATACAAAAGAATTTATTATCAAATTTGTGATATATATACAGGAGTTAAAGGACTCACAAAAAAAAACATAATTAGTATATGCTGATTTAACAATATTGTGATTCATTGATTACTCATTGGAAACGATCTGCACATATAGAGGTGCCTGAGTTTACGAGTGTACTGCTCTCGAATCCACCCTCGGAACCACATGTGATACTCATTCGACTTCCTATACAACCCTCTATACCAACATAGAAGTTTTCGACTAGGAGGAAATGTTGGAATGGTCACCAGAATCTTTTGGCTCAATGCCGGCTGTCGATCAAGTCAGCACGCGGTGGTATATTAAAGTGCAGCATACTGACCGCGATGGCCTTCCGAAGGACAGCGGGCGGGAAGAGCGCCGGCGCGAGCAAGCGGTCGCGGTAGTGGCGATGAGCGGAGTGCGCGGGCAGCGCGGCCAGCCCGCCGCCGCGCTCCCGCGCCGCCGCCGCGCGCCACCCCGCCGCCGCGCCCGCCGCGCTACCTGCACACGACACACAAACCAGCTGCGTTCACGCTACACCTTAGTGCATTCGCGATTAGTTGCCCTTACACATATATTCTTTCTAGGGCGTATAAGTTTTCACGCAGGAAACAATGAGCACGTAAATGTAGACAAAGAGAATCGGTAAGAACGCGCGCACCGCGAGATGACGTATTCGCGAGTCCTGAGAAGGTGCGCGTTTTAACATCTTCACAGTATACTATTAGGCTGATGCAACCCTTAAGGTAACTTACTAATTAAAGTTGGTGCCAGACACAGCTTCAAATGTGTAAATAATGATAATCCAGGGCAATTCCACTTTATCGTTATGTGTCTAATTTAAACCGTAAAAAAGGGTCCATACTTGTAACGTATAAAACAAAGTGTAGTACTAAAATATTATTCAAGTAAGTACTAAGTAATATTTTAGTTTAGTTTTTATTTATATTACATTTCATCTTACTTGTTATAACTGTGTCTCCATCTGGTTGACTCCACAATGCCCAAATGACGTTGGATCCATCACCATATCCAATAGCATAATCCAACAGATCCATCTGGAATCAAAAAATATTTGAGATGACTATGAAATACAGAGATCTATTGTGAACAAAAAAATCTTGAAATGTAAATATATATATATATCTTTACCTGTGGTCCAAAGAGGCGGCATATATGTGAAAACTTCACAGTTCCTGCTACACTGTCGTGCATTTTTAGAACAACAAACTCACACTCATTTGGAAAAGATAAATATGCTACTAATATAATACTTTCGTCTGAACCAATTGTCTTCTGTAACATGTGACCATGCGCTGTAACAAAAGATTAATAAAAAAATTGTTTAATCATTACTTACATCCCTTCAGTAGCTTTTTGGTTCTAAAGCCTCTTATAATATTACATGTAAATATATGCATGTACAGTCAATGTAATACTAGGAAATATGTATTACATTGACATTAAAAATAATATATTCTTTGTGTGACTTAGTATATAAGAAGTATGTACTAAGTCACACAAAGAATATATCATACTGTTTTAATTTACCGTGCTTTAGTAGTTTCCGCCTAGCTATGACTAGTAGGTCATTCATAATATAAAATAAATATAGTACACAGATCCCATTTTATATCTGTGGCTTATTGACTTAACACTCACACTACAAACAGACATTGAGTATGTCTGTTTGTATATAAATGTAATATATATACCGTACTAACTTGCAACACCGATTTGGATATACTGTAATGGTGTTGTAATATTGAAATGAATAAATAAATAAAAATAAAAAAAATATGCTTAGATAAAAGCAAATAATGGTCAATGCGATCGAATGCTTTACTATAATCTGTATAAATAACGTCTACTTGCTGTCCATCATCCATGGCTTCTGTCAAATAGTCATTAAATAGAACAAGATTGGACACTGTAGACCGTCCACTGATAAACCCGTGTTGAAAGTGATGTAGGGAATTTTTTACCGCTGGATAGAGTTGATTATATATTAATCTTTCAAATATTTTAGCTATGTGACATAATTTAGAGATAGGCCTATAATTTTCAACTCTATTCTTAGGCCCTTTTTTGTGGACAGAGGTTATAAAGGCAGATTTCCAAATTTTAGGGAGTATTCCAGCGGCAAGAGAACGTTTGAATAATAAACAAATGGGAATGGATAAATTTTTAGAACAAGCTTCTAAAAAATATGCTGACATATAATCTGGGCCAGCCGATTTATATATATCGAGACCAGAAAGCAGTTTATCAATCATTGAGGGGACCACTACAATATTAGCAATGTCGGAAACAGAATCTATATTGTCAGTGTAAGAAATTGGAACATGATTACTGGAAGAACCATTTTGTAAAAATGTAGATTGAAGGTATGACGAGAAAGCGTTACAAATATCATTACCTGTGTTATGAACCACATCATTATAATTCATACAACATTATGTTATATATACTATATATAATACATAATATAGTAACATTATAGCTTTCAACTTGAAAATATTTTATTAGTATTTAATAGAAATGCGCTTACGAGGTGGTTTCGGTCTGACTAATGTCTGTGAAAGTGGCGAAGAGACAACTATAGGTGCACCACCATCATCCAAAGACCAAGCTCGGAGACAAGTGTCCCCACAAACCGCAACCGCAAAACTATTTGTGAGTGTCACTCCATATGTTTCAACACCATCTGTGGCACTTTTACCCCTAAAACAAATGACAATTTCTATAAAAAAATAGCTTGGAAATATTAGTATTACCACAGATAACATAATATTACATACAGATACCCCATCCCATACAAGAAAATGGTTCCTTCCTAACTCGGGCTATTCTTCGGGCTATTTTATTTCGCCGCCGTAGCCGCTAGATGTCTCTAGATCTGAAGCAGTTCGGATTACTAGTGGGTGCTTAGTAACAAAGCACGAAAATAGATGGCAGTCAATTCAGTCTACATGACATCTGTTTTGCAAAGATAGGTATATACAAGATATGTAGGTAACTGTATCGTGTACCTCATTAGGGACGATTCAAGATTCAATGTAAATGTGTAGGTATAATATCGTCAGCCGATACCCTGCAGATATGGCTTATGTGCCAATGTATATATTATGTTATAGTTTATTCTACATTCCATGCCTATTTTTTTCTCTCGACGAAGATATGTTGTAACGCGTCTGCGCTATACGTATAGCCCGATTTTGATACGTTTATACTCGTACGTATCAACATCGGGCTATATGATTTTTTATTTCAATCGTTATGTGTAAGAGACTGGTTTTAGCTACAATGAATTTACTGGTATATACCTCATGTATTCTACGATGTACCCCTCTTTTCCCTAATGAGAATTCCGCTATATCTTATATATAAACTTCGTATCACAGTGTTAGTTGCCATATTTCTCCCACATTTTGATGAAATTTGATATGTATACTTGCTAGGTCTGAGGTAGGGTTGTTATCTATTTTTTATACCCCTAAGTCATAGGGGTGGCCTACCCTGAATTTTTTTTTTTGTATTATGGACAATTTTTTATTTATTTATAATGTTACATACACGCCTAAATTTTGGCCCGTCTTTCACCAACCCCTATTTTTAATAGCGATATTCTTACAAATATTATAAATGCTAAAGTAACTCTGTCTGTTTGTCTCGCTTTCACGCCCGTTACACGTTAGAAATGTGTAACGTTACTTAGTACGAAATTATGTATATTACAATAAAACTTAACGAGAAAATATTATAATGATGTCACTGGAACACTCATTGCTTTACTACTATACCGTCCATTAGTCGCGAACTTTCTGGATGAGCGAGAGGCGCGCTCCTATTGGTCCGTCGGTGCGGTTACCGCACGACGCGCATGCGCTGTACGCTTAGATGAGTCTCACGGCACGGGCGTAAGTACTTACTATGTAATATGTATACATATGGGTGTCACAAATGTTTTTATTACAAGTAATATTACTCTATTATCTAAGCCAGTAATGTGTGCTTATTTTGAACTTGATAATATTCAGAATTACTTGTATACATAACTTTCGATATCTACAATAATAATATCTTTGATGTATGAAAGAAATGTATGTACCTACATTAAAAGATAATTTTTGACATGTATGAAATGTATGAACCTACATTAAAATATAATTTTTGAAATGTATGAAAGAAATGAATGTACCTACATCAAAAGATAATTTTTGACATGTATGAAATGTATGTACCTACATTAAAATATAATTTTTGAAATGTATGCACCGTACAATAACAATACACGTTAAACATCATACCACAGAGTCATACGCAAGTTAAAAACAAACTGCTATGATATTAATGAGAAATGAAAATCAACTTTATGGTATTCGAGTTAGGGTCGATTTCTCTCTTTTTTTAAATACTATTTTAATCTTGCCAGTATTCAAAGACAACTACGATTCGTACTCGATATTTTAAATTATTATGTAATCGATTTTTAGTACAAATGTAAATAACCAACGACACTAATAATGTACTACTATATTCCGTTCTTTGAAACGGAACACTACTATAATACAAAATAATGAAAATTTACTGTTCACAACGACTCATTAAAAGCATTATCGAATAATGCGCTGTAATAAAATCCTGTTATCGATTATTCAAAAAAATCGATAATACATGTATTTATTTTTAATATGACAACACTTCATACATAAGTATTATTGGAAATAGTATTACTTGCTTGTTCAATTAGCTATTTATTCAAGCTATTTTTAATTTACTTAAAAATTTTTTATATGTTTAATTTACAATAATGATATATTAAGTGCTTATAATTGGAAAATATAAAAAAGACATTTAATTAGGCCGATACAAATGACATCAATGCCATCTATGAAAGCATTTTGAAAACATTGAGCCCCGTATTAGCACTGATTAAATTAATTAAGTACTGGAAAATAACAAAATGAGTAAATATATGAAAATTACTTTTCTAAACGCATTATTTCATTTTAACATGTATATATAACTTTTTAAAAATTGATTAAACATTTTTGTAAACACAGTTTTGTTTTTTAAAACGTTTGCAAAACTATGAAGAATTCCATCGATACCAATCACGCCATCTATATGCAACTTTTAGCAATAATAATGGCTAGTTCCTCACGGATTGCCACTGGTATTACATATTTTGTTTTGATACTATTACACTGTCAGTAGATACTATTATCAAACTAATCAAATTAGGATTAATTGATTAGCAATGTTTAAAGTAAAGTAATGTGTAAGGTACTTATACATCAGATCTATTACTAGGCTGTCTTACTCTCTCTCTCTCTCTCCATTACATATACAATTATATACATTGAAAATGGTTTCTTCACATATCATGGTTTATAACTATGATATGTGGTGCTAAAGTAACTGCACTCAAAATTACAAATTGTTAAATTAATTTTTCCAGGAATATACCTTAATGCTCCGGTAATACCAGACAAAAATCTTGGCACTGCAGATTCCCTTTTAAGGACAGAGGTTACTGCTTGCCCTGATACTGGTAGTTTGACTAGCAATAATCCACCTTCACCTCCATAACCAAATGCAAGAGCAAAAACTGCTTCTCCTGAGTCACGCAACAATGAAGCACATGTGTGTGCTACTCCTGTGGCTGTAAAATAACATTATAACAGTAGGGCTTCCATTGTAGACATCAGACAACAGAACATCTCAGAGAATAGAAATATTATTATTGTGACAATAGTGGTTCTGTTTCTGTTAGTAGTTAAAACTACTAAGACAATGTATAAAATAGCAATAAATATATAATAATGTAGTGAAAATATCAGTATCAGTAGATTATTCCAACTTTTGCAAAAAGTTGTAATAATTTTGTATATAAAAACAGGTGTATATATATAATGTTCACAGTCTTTAAATGGCTGATCTGAATTGCCTGTAATTATATATATGTATATAAATGTGAAGGTAATGTATTTTATTTTATAAACTTGGCTTTTCAATGTTTCTCCATCTTTTTAGACATAAGAGAAAAGAAAAGTGCATAAAGGTTGTACCCCTATAATACCACTCATGCATTGCCATTTCAGAGGACTGTGTCATACCTCTGTAATTTTTTGTAATTCCACTACTTAATCTTACCCTACAACTTAAACACGACATACAAGCAAACAACTTGGTAGTGAGGTATGTAGACAATTTTATACAATGTCTATCTCAGTATAAGTCTGGTTGCTATTTTCATACAGGCAGTAAATATTAACATCAATACTTACTTGCATTGGAATACTGGTTTAAAATATAATAATTATTTGGATTATTCACAAGACTGGTATCATGAAATATTGAAGGTGATGTTGTGCTCATTGATCCAAAGGTTGACTGAAATAAGCAAAAATAAATAAGAAAAAGATAAATAATATAAATATTAAGTGAGTAGTTCTAGGAATATTCAAAATAAAGATTTTTTAATTAAAATGTTGAATAAAAAAGAAGTTAACCATAAATATGTATATCTTTTATATTTATGGTAAACTTATTTCTAGAGCTACTAACTATGTACTTTGATATCAATAATCTTGGCCTGCTGCCATACTGATTTTGTTGTGAGCAGTTTTTAGCGTTCTGAACCTGACCTTTAAAGGTATTTCTCATTATTTGTTAACCAAAATTATGTTATTCTTTTAAAATTCATTAATAATAATTTAAATCTCATTTTTCTGTTATGTTGTTGATATCATTATTTTTTCCAATATAATAACTTTTTTACATCCCACATATATGATATATATATACCTCTATGTGATATAACAATTTATATGCTTTTTTTAATTCTAAAACAATGCATAAATTTTAATAGGTCTCTAATAGCAGGGCTCCATTATATATACAGAAGTTATGCACAGATTTCAGGTTACTCTTCATTTCAATTTCAATATAGGTGAAATCCATAATTTAACTTATATTGAAATTCATACATATTCAATTAAAAAAGTAGTCTGACATTACCTTTTTATCAAAACTTTCTGGATGTGGAAAGATCAGTCTATGGACTGATGAGACTGTTGCAGCCAGTATAACAACTTCTCTGTAAGCAGGACGCTCATATGCTGTGAGATTACTTAGTGGAGGAGTGCCTGGTGCCACTTTGCACCTCAAATTTGCTCCTGACAAATTTACATCTAATGATGCCTCTGATAGTTCTATAGCATCTGAAGTTGTTTGCCTAGAAATATTTAGTAAAAAGTATAAGTAAAATTAACATGCAATCAACTAATTTATCTACTATATATTAATAATACAGGTTATTAATATTTTTATCATGGATTGATGGATCAATAATTAGTTTGTATGGTAAAATAAGTCTTTGATTTTAGTATTTTACAATCTCTTTATATCTTCCCATAATTACACTCTTCCTACTTCCCATACAAATATTTCAAGACTAACAATTATCCTGTCATATGTATGGATAAATATGTGATATAAATGATTAATGGCCTCTGTGGTCTAGCGCATTACTTTAATTCTGATGGTTGCAGATTCAAATTTGTCTGAGTGATATTATGATATGTATAAAAAAAAGTATTTAAATATTTATATTGGATGTCTATTACTGCTCGGCTTGAGACTAGATAAGGCTTCGTGAATTGTCCATGAGTATTATTATAATAGCAAGATTACTATATACCAAGCAAAGATAAACAAAGTACAGGTTCAGAACTATATTATTATTAAAATAAATAATACATACCAATAAATGAATCTGTTTCTTGTATTAGCTTTTATTGAATCTTTGTACCAATATCCACCACCTTTTTGAGGTAATTTAATGTCTTGTAGAGTACTATGGGTACCACCTATTGTAATAAAGGAATAAAATATGAGACACATTTATCTTAAAAGGTTATCTGGCTTAAACATTTATATCAGGCAAGTCTTACAAATTTTAACTGTTTACTAGTAAAAATTAGTAACATTTGGCTATAATACCTGTATTCAGCACTAGTTCTTTCCATTTTTCCGGAATGCTACAATTTGGAGTAATTTCTTTAAAAGTGACCGGTATCGCTTCAGCAAAATCCATGATTAAATTTAATTATTTCAGCTGTTAGGTATGATCAACAATTAGGTATATTTGTTTCTATCAAAAATTTCAAATTGTGACAACTTTAAATAATGTACTTTCGAGATATTTTATGAATTAGTCAGTAAATATAATACAAATTTAATATAACAGCAACAGACTTACAAGATTTGACAAATATCACAGATGACAGAAAAATGACAGTTTAAATAGTTTTTTTTTTCCCGTAATTTTACGGCTTTGGTTAGACCTTATCCCAAGCCCACAGATTGAGTACCTCCTTGAATTATCAAAATAATTTAAAAAATCCTTCTGTTATATTTATCTCTGTACATATTTTTTTATTTTATTTGAATAAGTGCTTCTAATTTATATTTATTATTTTTAATCGCGTACATAGAGATAGTATACAAAAACTACATAGAGGTACTCTATGCTCACTCTATGCTCATACTTAACTGTTATTTATGTTGGTAACATTGGTAAAACTGCCAATTACCTATTTACCGATTACAAAATTACAAATGCAGCTATTATATCAATGATTATTTTTTCTTTTCCATAACTTTAATGGTGATTAATATTATTGTAATAAAATATAAAAACGCTGTAGCACATGTTATTAAAAATGGTGTTTCTATATCCAGTCAATTATTCAAAGGTCTGTATTTTGTATGCAGTGTCATTGATTTTTATGCTACACAAACTACTGTATAAATCCATACAAATTTGAATTATTAAATATACGTATATGTACAATTACATTTTTTATTTTCAGTAATATGTAGACATTATATAGATATAAATATTTTTCCGTAAAGAATCAATATCAATAATCTTGTTAAATTACTGAAATGTACTAACATCCTGAGAAGTATACATTTTTAAATGTATATATGTAAATGAATCTTACTTTTATTGTGATTATGATAGAATATAATGTAATTTATTATATTTAACAGTATCATATACTGTTAATAGTAAAAGTCACATGGCACTGTCATATGTACTTAAGGTACCACAATAGGATTTTATTAACAACAATAGAAATAAATAAAACTTAAGAGCCATAATAAAAAAAAGAAACTAATATTATTCATGTTTAATGGTTGTTTCTATAGTTAGTTAATGCTATTTTCATTACAAAATACATATAAAATTTTAAGGGACATTACCCAGAAATGCACTCTCAATGTTTTAGTTTCGAATCATCATGAGCTGGAGTCAAACCTAGATAAGCTAGTTGTTAGTAGCATCTAATTTCTCTTATCCCTTAGAGGAATTATTTTCTCTGTTCTTATGTGGAAATTATATCACAAACATAATATATTATAGTTCCAACAAAGAATAGTGGTATTAGTCATGGGGACTAGTGACCCCCATTGCTAGCAATGTAAGTCATCTAAGAGCAACCTCCATGTGTTCCCTTCTGGAAATCATAATTTGTTATGATGGGCTAACTGAGCTGATTTCATGCTCTCCTTTTGGTCTCCTTCACTGGTGCACATCCAGTATGTAGTGTAACCATCATCCATACCAATTACTGTGCTATCAAAGCAAGGGAACAATTTCTTATTCTCAGTTTTAGGTACTCACATCCCATTATATTGGTTTACTGAATAAAAACAAATCAATATCATTCAAATTGATTAGGATTAATAGGATTCAAAAATAAGATGTAGTGTGAATATATTGTAAATAATTTGTTGATTATGGAATTGTAGAAAAAAAATCAAAAAATCTAATTACAACTCTTATAATTTTATTTTAATATACCAATTACATCTTATAAATAGTAGCGCGGTGGCGGGCTGTGAGCACGGATCAGGTGGTGCAGGGCCGGGCGGTGGGCGGCCGTCAGACACCATTCGCCGTGTCAAGGTGAAGATGTCGTCGGTGTCGGCTCAAGGCGTGGTGGAACGGGCTTCCGCAGAGTTATCACGTCGCATAACGGGACTCGGGTTGCGTGGTCGCAAGCGCTCTCCTGGCGTGGTTGAACGAGTCGCTAACGCGCTTTGTGGGCCTGCTACGGCCACTGCCCCACGAGTTCCTCGTCGCCGTCGACCCTCACCAAGACCTTTAGTGTGGAGTCAATTTATTCTAGAAGAAAGGTTCCTTGAAAAATTCTTTTTATACTTCAACGTGAATGACAGACGGATTCTATCGCAAGTATGCACTAAATGGCGAGATGTGCTGTATTCTTCACCACGGTGGTGGGCGGGCCTCGTCTCTGTGCTCGACTGCCGCGAACTACGTTTGTCAACTGGTTGTTGCATGCAAAGGTTTTATAATTCATTAATAAGAAGAGGTATTCGTGGTGTTGTATTACTTTCGGCAACTGATGATGATATCAATGAATTTATAAAACAATTTCCTCTATCAGCTCATCATGTGCATGCTATCAGCTTAAAAGGAAGCACTATAACAGATAGAGGGTTAGAAGCTATATTGGATCATTTGCAGGTTTGTAACACTCACACTTGATAATTACATCATCAAATGTTGTCATGCTAATCATTCAAATAATACTCATTCATTTTTAGGTTCTTTTTGAGTTAGAATTAACGGGATGCAATGAAATAACAGAGGCTGGTCTATGGGCATGTCTAACTCCACGAATCGTCTCACTCACGCTTACTGACTGCATTAATATTGCTGATGAAGCTGTAAGTATTGGAGTTATATTTTTACGACATTGTTAATTTAATCCTAACCTAGCCTTTGGCATTGGTACCATTCCTTATAGCCCAAGAGCCCACGACGGCCAGACTTACGTCTTATTAGTAAATGTGAAAGTTCTTGTATGTGTGTCCTGAATATCAGTAACGAACTTGATATGAAAATTTTTACAACTTTGTTACCTGTTACCTGCCAAAGGAACCACGATCCAGGTTTCATGTTTGGGGATCGTTCTTACCTGTGTTGGGGACACACATACAAGATCTTTCACGTTTACTAATAAGACGTATGTCTGGCCGTCGTGGGTCGTCGTGTATTCGAAATTAATAGAACAAGAGGCTCTATTAATTTCGAATACATATAAAACCACAGTAATTTACGTTTTGATGCGACTTCCTAAATGCTTATTGTCGAAGTCAGAATTGCTTGGTTCCATTTGATAATTGATGTGGACCGTCAATTTAAATAGTACTTGAAGAAACAAAATTTTATTAGCAATAGTAGAATACAATATATGGATCATTATAAGAACCGTAATGTCTATAACAATGTTACTTAAAAACATTCAGTGTCGATAAACTCACTATTTTAAATTGTTAGAACAGCTAATCATGTTTTTATCTATAATTACTGGATGTACCTGCTCATTGGCTTGTTGGTTAAGCAGCCCAATTTGTACTCCTAGTTCATTCATTAGTGTATAAATTGGTCAGTTTAAAGTTCTGTACAATAATTGTACCAAGTAAGAAATGTAACTCCGATTTCACGGGATCTCGATCTTGTAACTACTTAAATTAGACATATCTAGTTCAACAAAATGTTGAAATTCTCAAGGTTGTATGGATATAACTATTTAAAGGTATTGTAAATATTATATGACTTTATATTGAAACAATCCTAGATTAAGTTTTTTGAAATAAAAAATATTTATACTTCTAAAACAGTGTAACTAACGAAGTCACCTTCGACCTTGACTAGTCCAAGAATAAGCTCCATTGAATACCAATTATCACAGCCACTACTACCAAATTCCACTGTATGTGTCATTCCATGATGTTGGTGAAATCATCGATAAAAATTGGTGGCAGCCATTTAAGATAAAGAAGACTATTAAATGAAGATGCTAAATTGATCGAACTAGCTATAGTCCCATATAGTAGGTGTACTTAGTTTAATTCATTATAATGACTCGCAGGTGGGAGCAGTGGCGCAACTACTACCGTCTTTATATGAATTCTCACTGCAAGCGTACCACGTAACTGATGCGGCCCTTGGATATTTTTCGCCCAAGCAGAGTTCTTCACTTAGCGTACTCAGACTTCACAGCTGTTGGGAACTGACTAATCATGGCGTCGTTAATATTGGTGATTACGGTTTTATTTTAATACATATTCAATATAATTTTCTAATGTAATCTTGGGCTTGGGAAATCCGCTAAATACTATACATATATATTCTAAATTTTTTCTATAATTATTTTATATTTTCAGTACATTCTTTGCCAAACTTAACGGTTCTGTCACTGAGTGGGTGCAGTAAAGTGACAGATGAGGGTGTGGAACTACTCGCCGAGAATCTCCCGCGGCTGCGGAGCCTCGATCTTAGTTGGTGTCCACGTGTTACCGACAACGCTCTCGAATATATCGCATGCGATCTAAACCATCTTGAGGAATTAACGCTTGATAGGTATTTTATATTTAATGTGCAATTTATATTATTACTGACCCCACAAAGGTTGTTTGGCCATGTAAATTAAAATCGCTATTGAAAAATAGTGGTTGGTGACAGAATGAAAAAAATTGTGAGTATATATTTAATGCCACATTATAAAAAAATAAAATTTTGTCCAAGAAATATGAACAAAATCTTTGGGGTGGACAACCCTTATCACTTAGGGGTATGAAAAATAGATAGTAGTCGACCTACTGAATATGCATATAAAATTTCATAAAAATCGTTCAAGCCGTTTCGGAGGACTGTGTTAACTAACAATGTGTCATGAGAATTTTATATATAAGACTAGCTGTTCCCGCGACTTCGTTTGCGTGGAATTTTATTTTATTTTTCTAAAATAAAAGTAGCCTAAGGTACTCCTTATTACATCAGCTACCTACCAAAATAAGTCCCGTCAAAATCGGTCCAGCCATTTCAGAGAGATTTTAGCCGGAACAAACAGACCGACAGACAGACAGACAAAAATTGTAAAAGTGTTATTTGGTTGTATGTACCGTATCTATATTCATATGCATGTAGTAAAAAACGGTTATTTCAATACTACAAACAGACATTCTAATTTTATTTACATGTATAGAGTATATAGTATAATATTATATTGGGTGATATTATATATATTTTTAATTAAATGTTTTTTTTTTATATGTAAATTAATACCTGGTATTGCCATTGAACACAAAGATAAAATATTTTTTGGTAGATAAGATTATTTATAGTCCTCTATTGTTTGTTGTAGATGTGTACACATAACAGATATTGGAATTGGATATATTAGCACCATGCAATCACTGGTAGCTTTATTCTTGCGCTGGTGCTCACAATTGCGTGACTTCGGCGTGCAACATCTCTGTGGCATGCGATCGTTACAACTTTTATCGTTGGCTGGTAAGTTTATGTGTTGACACTTTATAGTGATGTTGTTGAGACTTTGTCCGCCTAGGATTTAACTCTTAAATAAAGAGTGCCCTAAACTACTTCTTATAACATTAGCTATCTGCAAGTGAAAGTCCCAAAATCGAGAACTTATGTAAATAAATTACAAACGGTCAATTAAATGTTATTTATTTGTATACATAAATAGCCGAGACATGCTTTCATATCATATAAATCTTTTTAGCGCATTTAAATAAAAACTCTTAAAAATTTTTTTTTGCTTTTAATTCTATTTTATAAAAATGTAGTAAGTTTCATTAATATGTAGAATAGTCAGTGAAATGTATTATTTATTGAAAATATTATTCACACGTATGTTCTATGTGTAGATTGGTATAAATAATTATTTATCGTCATGTCTTATATATATATGTATATCATTATGACAGACTATAAAACATAAGTCTTAGGAATACTGCAATATAAGAGTGTAATTTTTTTCAGGTTGTCCACTTTTAACATCTGGAGGCCTCTCTAGTCTCATACAACTGAGGCAACTGCGTGAGCTGGAGTTGACAAATTGTCCTGGAGCATCACCCGAGTTATTTGACTATCTTCATGAACACCTGCCAAGATGCCTCATTATAGAATAGTAATATTGTTTACAATTAAAAAATATATGACATGAATTTGACATGTGGATATGCACAGTTATAGTATATTAAGCAGAAAGTTTAAAAAATAGTTGGGTAAAATTTAAAGGCTTAATCCATAATAAATATGCATTTAACAAGGGCCATAAGAACTTCTATATAATTTATCATATTTTATTAAAAGGTAGCGAAGGGCGTAATAAGTTAAAATACCTATAGAATTGTTAAGACTCCCGGAAGTAGATGGTTACAGGTGCCATTTGACTGCACCGCGTGCACGATCATTATGTGCTCAAAGTTTTATAGTCAAAAATCTTATATGTGATCGACAACAGCACGACCACTTTAGTATTTGATATAGTTAGTAGAGCTCATTTACTTACAAATGTGGCCTTTAGAGTTTTAATGGGAAATAGAGTAATAGATTATATTGTATTATTATATTTAATATTATGTTTTTTGTTTTGTCACCAAATATAATGCACCTATATGAAGATATAAGTATGTAGAAGTTATAGTGCAGTACCATTTCAACTGATCTAACTATGATACAGATGTAGAGCTTTATTTAAAAAATATGTTTTATTAATGTAGATCAAGTTTGTTTCATATTTTATTAAAAACTACATTGGGCAAATAATATATTTTTTATGACATTCAATGCTATTTTATACAATTTTAATTACTATTAATATTTAAAAGAAGCTTGATTTTATAAATATATCGGAAATAAAAAGTAATATACCTGTTATTTTTTAAATCCGATATACAAGTTTGCTCAAATTGTTTTGTATTGAATTTATCTACATGTTTGTATATAAAGATTTATGCATAATTATGTTTTTATTATGTAAATATGACACAGCACGTAAATATAAATAATTAAAGTATAATAGTTTTACATATATTAGTGTAAAGTTCAAGAATACTTCATCATTGTCTTGCTTTGGTTCATTATTTCACCTTATTGATTTATAATTCATAAAAAACTCGTAGAATATTTTTTTTACAATTTTTAAAACCTTTATTACTAATTATTATAAAATGTTACATCAGACAGTGAGTTATTATATGAATGTAAAACTTGGACAATTATTATTATAGTTTACTTAAGTATTTTTTATTATTTCATCTACAGCAAAATATTGTTGACCAAACTGATTGTTAAATAATTTCAGATTACAGTGAATTTGAAATTGTGATACATAATTGAATGCCTTTATAAAAATCTTCTTAAGTAGAATCCTCTAACTTCCTATTGATAGCCATAGAAATAAAGAAGGTATTTTAGACAAATTACGTAATATCAAAATAATGATGATTAAAATAAATTTCAGATGTTAATATTGAGACACTTAAACTTAGGCCGACACAATATTAACATTATTGAACGGACATCAGGTAGTAATGATAATATTTCATACATTTAGAACTTTAACATAACAAAATCAGAGGCTTAACTTTCTTAACAAATGGCATAGTGCGTACGAAGTTGTTTAATTTACTATTACGTAATGAATTCTTTTTCACAGTAAACTGCTAGAAATGAAACCATTTTCCAATATATCACTACTACAATAGAAATCTATATTATTTGATATATTAGTACTATTACGGAGTGTGTACTGCTATTATTTCATAATACATACATCATTATGTGGTGTGATCTTGTGATACGTATTAATATGTCTAGATCGTTGAAATAGTCGTGTTTGTGACAAACTAATATTTTGCTCATAACATAAAATATGAAAAAGATAAAGCAGTAGTATGCAAAACATTTTACGTACTAATGATTATTGCTGCGAGAACTCGTAAAATAAACCTAATTATAAATTAGTTATAATTTGTGTAGATGTGTTTGTATAGATTAGTGAACATTTGTGTTCTCCCTATTAGGATTTATTTCTAGATTATAAGTGTTTTGAAATTTCAGATTTAGCGTCGTCCATTACATAAATTTCACTTTAGATACTGTTATCGTTCAAACCCAATATAGGATCTTCATAAGAATGAACGTTCTTAGAGCTATTCTATAATATTCTAGATATAATTATTCCTGCACTTTGTTTTTTAAATAGGCACTAGGATTAATTAAAACGGTAGTAGTGCCATATTATTTAAATACACATTTCTGATCTAAGTATGTATCATCACAGCATAAGTATATAATATATTTAGTACTGCATATTTAAATTTATTTTAATGACTAGATAACAACATTAAAATTGTACATTTGGCCGAGGAATCCTAACTTTAACTTTAGCAACGTCGTTACCACTTGGAGGTTTATCTACATCTAAACATTAGTAATGACACGGGCGGCGCGGCGCTAAATATCTTAACGAACGCAATTTCAGGTGGCCCGCAAGCCAGCGATAGCTCAATGTTTTTAGCCTTGTAAACATCTATAATGGTAAAAGTAGTTTTATTACGTAGCCACTAGGTTTCACAATACAAATTATTTTAACGATTTTATCAGTTTTCAGCCGAGAAGAAATTTTTAACAAAACTAGGATCTGGCTTGGGCACTATAAATCGTAACTACCTATTTAGTCTCAAAAATAAATTTACATATCTGTATAATCAAAGTTTGAAATTAAGTACTACTACTATTTTCTAGTCATTTTATATTGGTTGACTGATTATTTTTAAAGAGTCTGTATAACAATAGAAAAAATATTTCTAGTAATATTTTTGTTGTGGTATACTAGAATATTCATTGATCAACTGATTGAACTATAATATATGTGACTATTAAATTTATAAATTATTCTGATTTCCTTTTTTTTTTATTTAGGAAGATTAACGGTGTAATTTTACATGTTACTTGTCATATAAAATTGTCCTATGCCAATTAATAATCTTCGCCAATAGTATTACCAGATTAAATTTTTCATTAGCCAATTTTAACATATTGAAGTAATCACGTGACAGTATTTCAGTTGTAGTTATACAGTACATAGACCAACATACCCACAAGTAGCGATGTATCCACAGAATACACAAATAAAGTACGGCTATGTACCGTTAAAGAATTGGTTACATATGAGTTTCCTAACTGAGGCAGTGCTGGAACAAAACAGGTCAATATCAAGTGGTACTTGGTTAAAGGATTTACATGCTCGTAAAACGAAAGTGTTCTCTCTGTATCTGGTCCTGATTTCCTTTGAAATAATGTAGTTTTAGACAGTCTTGTTTTTATAATATTCTATTCTATTCAATAGCAATTTAGGTTTTTTGTTTTAATACTAATTGTATACATTGCCTATGAACTTTGGATTCAATAAAAAATTTTTTTTTTCGAATCATATTTAGACTCCAGCCTTTACATTTCTAAAATAATATATTTTAAGTTTTTATTTGTAATAGCTGTTGTACCAACCGTCCGAATATGCGTGAGAGTGTGTGTATATATTTTTATACATTTCAATTATATGTAATAATAGTCTAATTATTAGCAACTAACTGGTGTTAGCTAAAATTATATTTTCAATAGTACCATTGAAGACAAAAAAATATATGATTATTAAATTGCGTAACACAGAATGTTGCCTTTGTCTTCTTTATACATTTTTAACATTGACCAATGAAATAACTACTATCTATACAATAGCAATTTAAACGATTAATCTATTAATTTCCTTAATACGAAAATCTCAAAAAACGCCCTCTATTATAAATAATGACCTTTCTCACCTAATTGCAAATCTGATTTTACAAATATCTATAAATACATATAAGCTTGCGAGTGATAAACATCATTATGAATGTTGTACAATATTGTAAATATTAATTAAGCAAAATATTTATCATCGGTCTTTATGTATTTGTAACTCGGTAATTGCTGAAAAAGTATCCTGAACATGAAGTCTTGTAATTGTTTCATCCAACATTTCCCGTATACTTATTGTATACGTAGGTTTGGGCGTGTTAAACATTTAAAAATTTAATAGAATTGACTGGCTTAATATGGAGTCTAAAGATTGTAAAAGAATTATATTGTATATAACGAAATATTTAACATCTAATATAATTAGTCTATTATTAAAATCATAATGGCGCAAATTATTGTTGTTAACTTATCAACTTTATCAAAACTATGGTTGTAATGAAATCTATACAAGCAATACATTTTGATTAGACTATTTACCATAATATGTATAAATACACCTTATTTGTTGTGTATATTAGTTTTTAGTTATGTGATTATGTATAAAATATTTTTGTACAGCATTGGCTATTGCAATATTTCATGGCGTTTTTTTCTAATATAACCTTATTTTTTCTTGGATGTAAACTTCACCTCCTAGATATTTGATTGGCGTTGTTGTGTAATTGTTTTGTGTTTTAGCCCAATCTCATATTTTGTACAATACATACTAAGTGAGATGTTATAGTGCAATATAGACGTACTGTTTTAATAATCTGTTTCATTTGTCAAATTAGCGATATATGAAAACTACATAATAAATCTATTACTTGATCATGGGTGGAGTGAAGTGGGTACTTTTTATTAATATAATTTTTTATAAATAAAACTTTAGGTCAACCTGTCATTCACACCCCCTGGAAATCATAATTCATAATATACCTCAGTAAACTATTTGACCAGAATAATTTTTCTCTGATTTTAGGTTGCGTCAGCGTGTACCGTTCCGCAGGGGATTCCATTACTTTATCTTACTAACCGCTTCATTGGCAGCCTGTGTCGAATGTAATTAATAGTTTTAATCATCCTCTATTTCTGTGCTGATGACACAGTATGCTGTGATGGCCGTTAAGACATTCAGATAGTCAATCATTCCTTCTTGTTATGAGATAATACGCATAAAGCGTATCATCAAATAGCCTGCCACATTGATTAGGCATTGGAATTATAAACCATCTGACTGGTCTACTGATAATAAGGGTAGTGAATATATAGACAATACATTATCGAGTTGATTTTGTACGATTTATTACGATAACACAGTCTTACAAAACAAATCTATAATCATAACAAAAGACAATTTTTAATATGTTGGTAACTTACAAATATTATAGCCGTCACATGCATCACAATTTTTATACAGTCCAAAAAACCAGAAATGCTCGCCTTAAATTAAATCTAGTGCAAAAAAAACTATTTATTGCACAATGATGAAACTGTTCTATGAAAATATGCAAATAACTACTCCTACCGCTCATTATAAATAAACAAAAACTAAATGCGTTCAGCACCAATAAAATATTTAATAACATGTTTTTACAAATTATAATAATATTTTTACACTTTTATACAGACATGGTAAAGACAATATTACATATTTTTAATCAAACCAACTATTAATTTGTTTTGTTACGATATCCCTGTGTAAATATAATATACTACACATAAGACATTTATTATATTCCACATTGTTATATAACAAGGTGGAACATAATGAATTGCTTGTGTCTAGTGAATCCGTAACGACGATAATTTTATGCTAGTATATATTTTCATATTGTTATTTGTGAAGTAATTTCTAATTAAATCAAGCTATCAATTTTAGACTTTAAAGTGTTGTAATAAGCATTTAGCTTAGCGAACAGAATTTCATATAGTTAATCATATAATGTTGAGTCATTTATAAAATGTATAGTATATAATTATATATACCGATATAGGCCTTTGGTATATGTCAAATATAAATTTATAGCCTATTACAGCGCATAATATATGTGTATAATATTATTGTATTATAAGTATAACCTTAAAAACTGAAGACTGATAAGAGTACAGGGCGCTTTTTGAAAATAATTAAACATAACTATTATTTTTTAATTATTGTCTAAAAATGTTGACAGTGATAGGCAATATTTGTAGCTATTTTGAAATTTCGATCTGATCTGTATAATATTGAAAATGGCGCTTCTCATAATATATATGGAATAAATAGTTTACTATAAGTAAATTACATTAAAATAACTGATAAGTATTTTTACATTATAGATTGGGCACTTTTATAATTCACAGTAGTACGATATGGAACGACAATACTGTCACAGAACTTGTTCAATAAACCGATAGTAAAGTCGTGTTATGCATGTTCATGACTATCATGACATAGTTATTTTGTATTATTTGTGATATATTAATGATAAGTTGTTTAAAGTAAATTAACGGTTGGTTGCCGTGCTACAATTAATTATAAAAGTACCGCTGAAAGGAAAATATCACTGGGCCCAAATAAAATCTACATTGGGGAATTGCACCTACTGTTCTATCAAACAACTAAATTTTGTTATGAGCTTAGCATTGTGATTTGGACCCAGCAATGGCGTTGGTTTGTGGAAAAAAGGTTGGCGGCTTGGCGGTGGTGAAACTCAGTGGTCGGCTGTAGATCGTTAGCGGCGGAGGCTCAGTGGTAGGGCTGCAGGTAGGCGGTAGTAGTGGCGAGGTCTCGCCGCAGCCAGGCGGCGTTGAGACGGACTGTCTCGAGCGCCTGCTGAACCGACCGTTCCGTTCCGGGTGAAACGTGCGTACGGAAAAATTCCTCAATCTCTTGCGCGGCTGCTTCCGACGCGAAGTTCTCTGTAGTAGACTTCACGAGCCGCGCTAGTAGAAATCCGCCCTGAAAACATAAGCCCAATTACTAGTTGCGGTCACTTCGTTTTTATGGATAATTTCACCTTTAACCCTTCGACTGCGTCATTGTGCTTGTCTAGAAGCGGACAAGATTGAAGCACATGGTACATTACATTCAACTAATCAGCGTGCAAGGTACATCCGGTCATATTTAAAGGTTCATGCCAGTTCTTAATTTAATTTATTGAGTTTACAAACTCGTGAGACAGATTAGTAATAATAATAATAATAATAATAAAAACTCTTTATTGTGTACACATAAAATAATGAGAAAATACAGTAAATAGTAAAAAATAACAAAAGGCGGTCTTATCGCTAAATGCAATCTCTTACTGACAACCTAGAAGAGAGGACTTATGTACATAGAATAGGGTAGGTGGCACACATAAGACACTATTTATTATACTACTAGATATACATACTTACATTAGGGATAAATATATAAACCTACATATATACATACATATATACTACATATTGGAAGAAATGAGAAAAATAAAATAAAATAAAAAAATGTACTATGAAGAGAGATAATGAGATCTTAGTCTATTTTTAAATGATGCATGTGTTTGAGCTGATCGAATGGAGAGTGGTAGAGAGTTCCAGAGGCGAATGGCTTGGACAGTGAAGGAGTTGGAATAATATGTGGAGGAGTGAGCAGGGATCGTCAAACATAGGCTTCTGGTACTACGCAAAGCAGAACCGGGGGATTTAATATGAAATTGGAACTTGGTTTTTAGATATTCAGGGGTGGAGGGGTGGAAAAGATTAGTAATGGAGTTTACTCTTACGCTAACAGCAGATAGAGCAGATCATTACTATGCGCTGTCACATATGTACAAATATTGAGTCAACAACTCTTATATACCTTTACATCTATATTTATTATATATTGCGTCAAACATAGAGATCTTTTTAATTTCAGGTATGTAGCTATATTTATAGTATTGAATTAGATTAAATAATATTACGTTCCATATATAGACTGGAACTAAAACCATTTATTACAAGTAACTGATGATCTTTATACAGAAAAAAAAAGAGAATAATGTGTATGTACCTGGTAGCGATCCATAAATTCTTGCCAATGGTTCTTGAAGAATTGCCATGCCAGATCTCGTCCGTTCTTACTCACAGCTACAGACACAATCACAAAAACTGTATCTTGGGATCGTACTTCATCCTAAAATAGTTTAAAAAATATACATTTATTTCTTGTCTTAGTACAGTAGAAAAAAATTGCATTGCGTAGCATTTCTTTCGCAACCTACAGATGATGACTATAAACATTTATATGGGTGTTGTTAGAATTATTCTGAAATTTATCGAGTATTTACGAAAATAAAAGTTTAATGAATATTCTACGTGAATTAATAATTATTAATTCACATAAAATATTCTGCAAGAGCTAATCATGAATCAGAATTTTAAACAAATAACAAAAAAAATAGGTCAAAATTACTAATTTTTATGATATTTGTGGTGCACACTTAAATTTGACCTTTTATTCGGTAATAATAAACAACAGTTAAAGAGTACTATATATTTCGACGAATATTGATATTCTTATGCACACCCGTGCGAAAAGAGCTGTTTACGGACCATCACGCCATAAACTGTCTATATCAGACGCATAGGCTATATATATGGCCCATGAGCCATAATAAAAATACGAGATATATATTAATTAGTTCCAATTCGGTTCATCCTCTTGGCCTTATGATTCCAGCATACGCTCCTTGCCGTCATACTACCGGGGTGAACCATCCCAGCGTAATTCATTTACACCTATTATAATTATTACCAGTTTTCCAGTTCCAGTCATCCGTAGGCTGTTACGAACCGCTGTGTACGGGACTCAAGCATATGCTACTTGTTTCCCAGGAATTCTGCTGGGGTGAACCACCCCAGTGTCATTCAGTGTCATACGCCATTTACGTCGAAACCGACGATGATTAAGTAGCCGGTCGATGTTAATTACCGATATAGCAAAATCGAGAACGCGGTGCAGCAGTGCGGGGTCGGCAACCGCGCCGAGCGCGCGGCTGATGCGGTCCTTCTCCTCGTGGAGGTCGGCCGCGCGGTATAGCTCCAGGAAGCGGTCGAACGTAGCCGCGTCCGCCGACGCCAGCACCGCGCGGTAACACGCTGAACGCAAGTCCGCCGGCAGCGGTGCAGCGCCCGATAAGTGCTTCTCAAACCTGCCATTAATTTTGTTTTTAATGGAATGGTGCACTCGTATACACTAACAGTATACACCATAATTTAACATGATGGTTTCCAGGAGTAACCGCGTGGAAGTCAAACTGACATGGTACTTTACTAGCAATAGGGTTATTAATCCATATTACATAATATTGTATTATACATACAAAGTTATATACAAGCCGTCGCAAGATAAAAACAGTTAATGGGCGTCAATAACAACGTTGATAAGATAGTGTAGTCACATTTACTGACTAACATATTTTGTTCAGTTATTACAATTGAATAAAATCAAACTATTGTACTAATTTGATGATATTTATGTCTGAAATTATATTATATTTAATAAATAGGGTTTTTTTTTCTGTCACTGTCAAAGTATAGAGACAATTAATTGAACACCAGTTACTGACTAAACTCAACTTAACATAAAATAAACATACCGACTCTTAGCTTCCTTTATCGTTTCAGGATCTTCGAAACTAATCATTTTATTGAGTACCAAACTCCTTAGAAGTGTATCCAAGTGGCTTTCTTTTTCTTCAGCATCCCAGCCCAATCTTTTAGTGACGTTCGAAAATAACTTGCGTCCGTAATTTTTCAAGGGTTTGTCGAGAGCTGTGTTCGAGAACAAAGCGCTTAATTTCGATAAGCAATTGGATATTGACGACCACACCGTAAAGTTTGTTTCATTGTTAAATGCTTCCATTAGTTTTAACGACTGTAAAATAAAATATGCAATCATTATAAATAGTTAAAAATATAAAATAAAAAAAGTGATATTTTTTTTTTTATTACCAGTTGACACCGGGACACAGCTTGCAAACCCGCTTAGTGTCAGTATTTGGTGAAAAACATGCAGACAACTTTGTGCAAAGTTATTCTCTGGTAAATAATACAAAAAGTTCCTACAACAAATAGACGACTAACATTGATGTGATTAGCATCTTCTTAATTTGGGCAGAATTTTAATATATGTGAAAGAAAATTTGTTACAGATTTTAACGCCTTAAGCAATCATAAGAAATTAGGCCGTATCCGTATTATTTGAAATGAATAAGAATACAACTAAGGATAAACTACTTTTTCCCGTTAATCATAGTCACACTGTCATAAAGAGTCATTAATATGATTTTTTTTATTATCTACTTTGTAAATTTTTTTTATAAGTGTAAGTTTTTTTACATTTTTTACATTGTCTGCCTTTAATGTTTCGCGGTACATGTATAATTCTTGTCTTATTCACGTCTGTGGAATTATAAAATATAACAAGCAGTAGAAAATCGAAGTACCTCGTCGGTATGCGTGTGTCCGGCTTGTACAAGCGCAAAGCAATCGTCAAGTAATCCAAGGCGGTCGAGTGGCGGCAGTGAGCCATCTCGGACCGCTGTTACCAGCTGCGCCAACATCGAAGCTGGGTAACGAGTACGGTAGTATCCCACCTGTTTTAAATGAACCGATAATTAGTATTCTATAGTAGTAATAGAAACAATTTTTATTCTAATAAACTTAACATAAGCACTGTCGAATACAAATACGGAAAAATATTAAATGTTTAGTGCAAAGAATATTTATTATATTATATGCAAAGAATATTGCAATAGTACGTCAATTTTATAAGATTTTTTCGTAGTATGCAACCAGATACTTTCTTTGTATATTAATTGTATTCGGTCGAAAACTTAAACAACATTTATTTAAAGGAGCAACAAGTAAGTATCTGGTAGATTAAAAAAATGTGACTATTCAAAAGTACTTATATTAAGTTTATTTGAATAAAGATTATTTCTATTTCTACTTCGAGGATGGTTAAGAAAGTTGTATTATGAAGCTTAGTGAAAATCAGCAGTAATTCCGAGGGTGGGTTGAGGAGCCGCATCCTTGCAAAGACGTAAAAAAAAACAGTTTTTTTCTCCCGATTCAAGTTGCCATGAAATCTTAGTTTCTATAAATTGTAGAACACGCTATTAAGTTATTTTTGCTTTTAATATAATGTTTAAATAATTGTCTTGTCATTTAAAACTTTACTATGAATGATAATAATATTTATATTTAAACATTTTATAGACGGTCATTAAATGCAAAAACAACGTAATATAGGCTTTTATATTTGTACGCAACAAATCTGAACAAACTAAGTTATCTCTTATTCCTAAACAAGAACTGAAAAGAACTTAAACTTATGATGTATAAGATCCATTATTATCAAAAGCCAAATTGTCACTATTATAATTAAATATCTTCAACTCACGAGTAACCCAGTATGATAAAGCCAGCTATCAGCTGACATATAATTCACCACGCTACGCGCTAAAGCTATCGTTATTTTTTATCTTCGATATATAGGTTTAACTATGCTTTGATAGCAATTATAACCAGAAGGAAATGTTTTTTTTCCATATTTACGAAGGTGCTGTTTCTTAACCTACCCTCGGAATAGCAGCTAACTTTCACTAGGCTTCATAACACAACTATCGTAACCACCTCTATATCACCGTATATTTGAGTTAAATGTGGCGGAGGGCAAGCCTACACCACGTCTCAGATAAATTTTATTTTAGACATACATATATTATAAAGTAATATACGTAAAAGCTCCGTCATTAGTATATTAAATAAGTAGAAATTAATCTTGCTTTGATTCCCTTAATACTATATTTTAATGTAAATCTGTGACATTATACACAAATATGAAATATTTATAAGGTTAACTACTGGGTTTCGAAATCAACAAAGATAGCAGTTAAAACAGTGCACGCCTTACAGTGCCAGGATTAAGTTTAATCCATGAGTGTTCAGCAACATTCTCTAGTACCACCTCTTGAGTTCGTTTCTCCAATACCGTAGAAAGTGCCACCTGAAAAGTTAATGGTATGTAATTTATAGTATATAATTATCAGAGAGGGGTAGCCAGATAATAAAATAAAAGTCAACTGTAGCCACAAAATGGAGAAAAGTTGCACATTATAGAAAACAATGGAAGTCACTGGAGAATGCCTATGCCAAAAGGCACACTGAGAAATTAGAGATTTATTGTAAAAAAATATATTATAGTTAAAAAGAATTGTAAACGGAATAAAGGGCTTTATTATTATTATATAGTGATTTTCCTTTTACCGTGCAGTATAGATGTGGAATAATTTTGTATGCTGATGACACCACAGTCATTTTTACAGCATTTCTCTTTTTTATACCACGTCAGTAGCAAACAAGCGTACAGCCCATCTGATCGTAAACAGTTACCGTACCCTATGGACGCCTGAAACACGTGCGCATTGCCTACCCTTAAGAAACCTTAATATACCCTTCTTGAAAAATCCCCTATTAAAAAAAAGCTTATAGATTGACCAAAAATTAAAACATTTCCCTGCCTCTTATATTGGTTTATATTGGTTTTATCAAAACCGAACCTACATTCGATACTATTATAAAATTGAGTATTAATATTTATTTTATAATCTTGATTTTATTGTATACATGTGTTCCTTGAAATTACTTTAGAAAAATATATACATTAGAGTAGAACAAGAAATGTAATAATGTAATTTATATCTAATTTAATATTTTATTATATCAATAATCGTATTTGTCTAGTGAGAATTCTACTTAAGTTAATTCTATTTAATGCTAAACAACAGCATTTGATAAGATATCTAAGCTTGATAATAAAAAACCATAAAATAAATATTGCGTTTGAAGTAAGGAAAGTATAGTCAAGTCATATATATATATATATGTATATACCTTTGAAGGTTGTTCCTGTGTAGAGATGGTGATCGGTACCATCCAAACTGTATCATCGGCTTGGTTACCATCCGCACAGAACTTTTGTTGAGTCAGTCTGAGAACTCGATCTGAACCTCTTTGTTCTGAGCTCACCTAAAAAGTAAATATACAAATAGATTATCTGAAATTGATGACTATAATTATTATATTAAGGATTGGTAACTAAATATTAAGTTTTCAGTGTCTGAATCTGTAGATTAGAGAAACTCATTTAGAATTCATTCATGTATTATAAAAATTCTTGTGTGAGCCACATACTTGCGTGGTATTTACACATTAGGACGGAATTCTAGTAGTTTTAGAGTAGATAAACAGCAATAAATCTCATATATAAAATTCTCGTGTCACAGTTTTCGTTCCCATACTCCTCCGAAACGGCTTGACCGATTCTCATGAAATTTTGTGAGCGTATTGAGTAGGTCTGAGAATCGGCCAACATCTATTTTTCATCCCCCTAAATGTTAGAGGTAGTCCACGCCTAAATTTTTGTTTTTTATGTTATGGCAAAACAATGTTTGTTGGGACAGTTAGTGTAATATAAATTTTATTTACAGACCTGCACCATTGGAAAGCCCATTTGTTTGGTCCAAGTAGACATTACAGCTCCCACGGGTTTGTTGGATGCTTCTTCCAGTGCTGTCCATAAATCTTCAGTGAAGGTGTTTTTATACTAAAAATTTAAATGAAAATCAATAAGCACATACCTACTATATTATTATTATTTAAAATTAAAAAATAATCAGATGAGGTAAGCTTACCTGATGTCTGGTAAGATAAATGTTCATGCCTTTACGAAAATCATCATCACCAATATATCTATGCAACATACGAATAACTGAAGCACCCTTGTTGTATGATATGTCATCAAAAATTTCATCTATTTCTGAAGGATGTCCAACAGGAACTTCAATCGGATGTGAGTTTTTCAAACAATCTAATTCCAGTGCCCTGAAAATTTTAAATTACATGACTAATGGTAAATATTGTTAAAAATATATTTTCTTTGTGATATTCACAATGAACATGCAGTTTCCTTATGTGCAACTGGCAAACACCCAAATGTCTTTAGAACAGTAAAATTATCCTCAGAAGTGGCCCACAAAAGATTTGTATGGACTGATATGTAAAAACATATCATATACATTATTAAATTGAGGTAGACTTTGTCAAAAGTTACCTTGGTCTCACCTATATCAGCTACCAAGTATATGTATTTCAGTAAAACAATGAGATAAGCAGTGAAAGTATATGTATGATTTTGAGAGGCCTGACATTATAGCCCTCCAAAATGCATGAGTGTTACCACAGATGACACAAGCTGTCTGTAGTGCTATTTATAATAAATTATATAAAAAGTTTTTTCCTCCTTCAATAAAAATGTTTTGTACTAACCATAAAATAAAATATGTATGTACCATGACACTTTTGTTACTATAGCATTTTAAAGCAAAAAGTACCATGTAACTTCTAAATGGTACTTCCAATATATTATGAATTTACATGTTCTAAACAGCTTTGATATTGAACTAGTTGGATAAATGTTAATATAATGTTTTGATTTAGTAATTTGAATCAAAAAACTTTACTATAACTATATATATAAATATCTTCTAAGCCCTATAATAGAGCATAGGAGTACATCTAAATTTTGTTATGTCCATGATGCTTTTGTATAAATCCTTACTAATATTATAAATGCGAAAGTAACCCTGTCTATCTGTCTCACTTTCACGTCTAAACTAATGAACTGATTTAAATTAAATTTGGTACACAGATAGTTTGGACCCTGAGAAAGGACATAGGCTACTTTTGAATGCGAAAAAAGGGTTGTAGGGTGTTGAAAAATTGTATGGAAGAATCGTCATTTTTGAAGCTAAAAACTTGAAACTTATTTTTGAGGCTGTTGATTAAATATAAATAAATATGACATTCAAAGTTTGTAAAAATTTTACCCTTAAGGAGATAAAATATTGTATATGCTATAATTTAAAAATATATTATATAAATTGGGTGATATATAGTATATAAGTCGCGCGGGGCAGCTAGTAGATATATATAATAAAAATCTAGATCTAATATTGATGGTGTTTACGATTTTCCATCAAGTGGTCAATCAGTTCTTTGCAACATTCAATTACTTTAAAAAAAAAGTACAAATAATATATACCTGATATAGGTTTCAGTCACAAACTGTGTCCAAATATCATATTCAGGGAATAAATGATTGACACACAGGAATTCGACAAAAGAGGCATAACCTTCATTTAACCATAGGTGAGTCCACCACTCCATTGTAACAAGGTTACCAAACCATTGGTGGGCCAATTCATGGCCAACTACCAATGCAATCCATTGTCTTCTCACTGCTGAGGTATGTTCCTCATCAACCAGTAAACATGTCTCTCTATATGTGACCAATCCCCAGTTCTCCATTGCACCAGCAGAGAAATCTGCTATTGCTATCAGGTCGATTTTAGGTAGTGGATAGGCAATATCAAAATATTGTTTATAATATGGAAGTACCCTAGCTGCAACTTCTAAGGCAAAGAGACCCTGCTTGCTTTTTCCCACAGGTGTGTAAACACGGACCAACACACCATCATTGGACTTCTTTTCAACATAGTCATATTCACCCACAACAACAGCAACCAGGTATGTAGACATTATAGGTGTGGTGTCAAATTGCACAAATTTTATATCATTATTAACCTTTTCATCCTTGACAGGCATATTGGACAGGGCCACACGGTTCACAGGTACCTTTAATGATATGTCAAAGGTAGCCTTAATCGCAGGCTCGTCCCAGCAAGGGAAACATCGGCGTGCATCTGTAGCTTCAAACTGTGTAACAGCAGCGTGGCGTTCTTCGCCGTTCGAAGTCAAATATTTGCTCCTATATAGGCCTTTCATTTTGTCATTAATTTCGCCAGTAAATTCACAGTATAGTGTCGCATCGCCTTCCGGCAATGATTTTTCAAAAAGTATGGAGACAGTTTCATTTGGTACGCTCAGTCTAACTTCTACAGGATTCAGTATGGAATCGGAACCGTATTGCAATTTGACATTCGTCAACTCCAAATCCAAACAATTCAACACTATTTCTTTGGTTGGATTTACAATCTGAAAGCAAATGTACATTTTAGCTCATCACATAAAATAGGTAAGAAGTATTTACAATCGCGATATGATAGAATCTCCGCTTACCGACACTTTCACTGACGTCTTCCCAGTAAACGTGAATTTCTCCAAATTCGGTACTAATTCTAAATTATAATGTTTAGGTACAACATTCTTCGGAAGACGTTGAAATGGTTTGTTTTCTGGCATTGTCACTTTTTCTTTCAAGATCGTAAATGTGGGACGCGTAGTAGATAAATACCGTAATGACCGAGTGACAGAGTGAACTCGCGCTTCAACCGTGCCACTGATACGTGCCCCCCTCGCGCGTCCCCAACCCCACTCCGAATAACGGTATTTGCTACGTTGACAATGGCAACTGGAATATGTACAATTACTAGAGCGAATTGTAAATGAATTACGTATGACGCGTAGGATTTGCAGCGTCATGGAGAGTAGTTAGTAAATGTATGACGTACAACAGAAAGTGAAAGTTAAAACTATAGGTATTATGTATGCTTTGCTAAAATTGCACCAACAACAGACGTGATTATATGATTTACCCCGTGTTATCAGTAGAAACGCGACCTAGAAAAAGAAATAGCTAAATATTAAGATATACCGAAAAAAAAATAGATGTAACCAAAATTTGTAATTCAAAATTATTTTCGCGCCTGCAGTATCCTATAGGCACTAGGGCGAAGAGTAAATTATATGTTGAAGATTATCATTTTACAATGGCAATCATATACAACACATTTTTCTTTTCATATATTGCGTAACACTATGGATTTCTCAAGTTATAGTCTGTGATTCGATACCAGATTGGAGAGTTTTTCCCTAAATTAGGGTATTTTGTGCTCACTGGGGAGTATTTTGTGATGATAAAGGGGAAATTTGGTGAGACCAATGTGAACAAATAAACGTAAGGAAATTCAGAAATTCTGCTAACCTGTAAAAAACGACGGCCTCGGATTTGATTGATTTGATTGGATCCTCGCATGGATCAAACATTCATGAGTATGATTGTTTGTTGAATTAATCCGAGTGTTTTTTATATATATATATATATGTACAAAAATTTTAATATATAAGAAAATTTTAAATTAAATTTTAATATATAAGAAAAAATTAATATTTTATTTAATCGATTATTATATTTAAGGATACAAATGATTAATCAGCTATTTTTATACAGATTGTGACATCCCTATGACATAACAGATTTTACTTTGACCACAGAGTTAACATGACTGAAAAATTATAGAATGCAATCACTGCCATGGCATTCTATCGAGAAGAATTCACAATCACATCTCAGAAGCAAAAGATTTTTTTCATGAAATATGTATTTATTATCAAGAAAGCATAAAAGAATCATCTAATGACAATTATTTTTTTAAATGACAATTATATTTGAAATATCTAGAAGAAGGGCTTCCATCATGCGTTTTCAAGAAATTTTTGCTAGGCACAACGACATTGTAGAATCACTTTCAATTGAGATATTGAAGCATTTAAGAAAAGAGGTTATCCTTCTTCAAAAACCGGCAAGACACAATTCTCTGGTGTTGCGGGTGCTTATTAGCGGCGGTAATCATTTACCATCAGTGAGCAGCAAGAATCGTTTGTCCCGGCCGGTGGCCAGTTACTTTATTTTGGCATTTTTTGATGATATGCAAATTAATTAATATTTCATTTTAATATTATTATTGTCAATTGATTATAAAATTCCCCTAATTTGGGTAATAATTCGAGTTGTAACTACAGGAAATACTCGGTAGATTCTTTATGATCTGTGGAGTTAAACTTTGTAGTTGTCTGTGGTAAACACCGCAAAAAATATCGGCAATTTGGCATAAATAAGATGTTGGTGTAAATATAATATTTGATCGAAATTTTTACATGTACATAATATGAAAATGTGGTAATTTAATTTGCATTCTTTATACATTACTTTATATACACTTGATTGTCTACTTAGCTACCCGACATCATAATTTAAGTTATTGTAAAAATGAATTTTCTTTTATGGTGCATAATAGTAACAGGTAATTTAATTATTAAAGTTTAGTAAAATTGTTAACTTAATTATTTCTCTTGACTGAAACTTAATTTGATTGGTATTAAATGTTTGATTGTAGTATTGAAAGGCGCATCTTCATCGAGGGTTTTAGAATTAAGTGATAAATTTATTGATATCAGTAGTGATGGCATGTGGTTTGTGAAGTTCTATGCACCATGGTGCGCTCATTGTCGTCGACTGGAACCGATCTGGGCACATGTTGCCCAGACTCTATACAGTTCCCCTATAAGAGTAGCAAAAGTAGATTGCACACGATTTCCAGCTGTGGCTACTCATTTTAAAGTACGAGCATATCCCACTATATTATTGTAAGTAAATATTCATCATTTTTACTGAACAAAATTACGTTTGAAATAATTGAATTAGTCTGTTAAGAGGGCTAAACATGGAACCACCCTAGCAAAATTTTGTCTTGTAATAATTATATTTTACTAAGATTGAAATATCTATTAAATAAAAATCTTACTAGATAGATGTAAAACCTCCATGGTCCATACCATGTATGAAATGTGTTTTTGATCCATATCATTAGACGAGTAGTAGATTTCTCTTTATTCTTCATTGCAATCTGAAATCATCAACTAATTTATACTATAGTATAGCAAAGTTAGTGTTACACAATAGATTTAATACAAGTACTATTTATAATTTGAATTGTTTATATATTCAGTATAAAAGGGTCATTCCATCATGAATACAATGGTGAGAGACTAAAAGAAGAAATGGTAAATTATGCATTGAGAATGTCTCAACCAGCTATCCAAAAGTTGTCACATGCAGAAAGCATTGGATATTTAAAAGATGTTCATCCTGTGTTCTTCGGGTATATTGGAAAGCAGCAAGGACTATTGTGGGTGAGTAGTAGCATTGAAATAAATTTTGGCACTGGTCATAACTGTTTGTAATGGGAACTGGTGATCCTACTGCTATCAATAGCTATCTACCATCACTAAGTTGAAGCAGATATGATTATGGTTAATTTCTACTGTATTTGTTATAATGGGCTAGTTAACTAATTTTATGATACTTATCCTATTATTGTCCATTGGTGACCTATTAGACTGAAATAGAAACCTTATACATTTGTCATAAATAGTTACCTATAATAAAAAAATATACCTATTAATCTATATTTATTATTTTACATTGTAAATAAAGTCATCCCAAATATTGAATTAATAAGTATCACAACCACATGTTGATAATGTTCTCTGGTGCTGTATTTATAATCTATTTTAATGAAAATATTGTGTGAGACTTAAGTTTGATATTTAAATCAGATTATGTTAAAATTTGGCTGACGCAATGTTTATGAGGAATTCTTTAAATGTAATTGGTAGGTTGATAGCTTTATACCAGGTTGAATATTTGCACATATATCTGTATTATTTGCTAATACTAAAAATGACTATGTTTAAATAATGCCTAATTTTTTTCTATGTTTACAGGAAATGTACACCTTATATGCTGAAAAATATCAACCACATACATGGTTTTATTCTATGTCCCATGAAATGGTGAAGAGTGATTTGAAACCACCTAATGAAACAGCACTTTTTGTATACAAAGAAGATGACGTGTTTTTCTATGAAGGTATTTGTTAAATATATTTTTATATTTTAATTTATAAATAAAAATATTAATTTGGAACTATCAAATCACAATTTTAACCCATACAATAATTAATGAAGGACAGGGATAACAAGAAACTAAGAATGTCTTTTGTTTTAGATTATACAATTAGTTATTTGAATTTTATTTAGTATCTAGGTTCTGACATTTTTTTATTGTTGGACCACTTAAAACCCACTCAGTACCACATATCCCTCTGTTTTAGGTTGACTAGAAGAGATCTCTTCTAGGGATAAGTCCACCTTTGTTCACATTGTCTCTAAATTATAATATCTTTGTATTATTCTGTGCAATAAAGAATATATATAATTGTGTTACAGCAAGTTCCACTGTAATTGAAAACAAAGAAGCATTGAATATTAGTCTTGATAAGTGGATTAACTCTGAACGATTTGGGTTTTTCCCGAAGATTACCCGATCCAATATAAATGACCTTATGGACACAGAAAAGTATATTGTAATTGCTGTTGTTTCTGAAAACAAACTTAGTGAAATTACACAAACAGAAAGGGACTTCAAAGACATGATTGAGGGGATCATCAAGTTGGTATTACTATTTTTATATGCAATAAAATTACTATTATACAAGTGAAGCCATTTACACTATCGATAATTCATAAACACTGCATAAGCAACAGCAAGTAATCACTACTCCATGTTTACAGCCATTTGAAGCCACATACTCAGAGGGTTACTATAGTCTCCCTTCTAAAAACAATTTGCAACATGATCAGATCTCCTTAATTTGGAAGGGATAAATCAAACCTACTTGATGATATGCCCAGTTAGTAGACTGTAACAGTTAGTACAATAGTATTCAGTGCCAGATTAAGCCAATGCGGGAACTGTAGCAAATTCTTTTAAGGAGCTTTTTTATTGTCGATTCTAGTTTGGTTTGCTTTTGTTACTGCTAATAGGATTTCAATAAATAAATTATTCAGTTGAATTAATTTTGTATTGATACTTTTTGTTAATTGTGCAATCAGTGCCCAAGTACTGCAACAATATAAATAAATAAATCAGTTTACACCATGAGTACTGAACAACTGATAGTAATATTTGAATACTTTTAATAAGTGCATACATTATATGGGTACATAGAAATAACCCAGACAAATATAAATAGCATACTCATAGATATGTTTTTTTTTATTGTGCAGGAACCAAATTTATTGAGAGAAGAGTAGACAGTACCTTTTCTGGTCCCAGAATGGCAATATAATGTGTGTGTAATATGTGTTTTAATCTTATTGATATGGAATCCTTTTGTTTCTCAATAAATGCTATATGCTTTTATTAATTATATAATTATTGACTTGCTTTTAGAAAGAGGAAGCGTGAACTACATCATCGATTTCAATTTGGATGGCTGGGTAACCCAGAATTGGCAAATTCTATAGCAATGTCAGAATTAACAGTGCCACATCTGTTAGTGTTAAATTCAACTACCAGTCATCATCATATCCCTGATGACGATCCAGTATTAATGACACCAGAGGCTGTTTCTATTTTTCTTGATCAAATACATGATCAGACGGCACCGGTATTTCTTATTATTTAATTTTTATTCAAATACATCTCTATATATACAAAAGATTGTATAATATTTGTGTTAAACCATTATTTACTTTCGTCTTGTTATTTTAAGGCATATGGTGGCAACAGTTGGCCTGTTCGACTATACAGAGGATTCTATGAAGCAAGAACTACTTTAACGAACATGTGGCGTGGTAATCCAGTGTTAACTGCTCTAGTATTTGGATTACCACTAGGTTTCTTATCCCTTATCTGCTATTCAGTCTGTTGTGCTGACATACTTGATGCAGAAGAGGAAGAATCATCAGGTATTATTGTTTTTGTTACTAATTATAGTCTCCTTACACATACTAGTCATTTAAAAATTAGGTTAGATTAGGTTATATTGTCTATAAACGAAGGAACTCCAAATGCTACATTTCAAACATATATTTTTTGCTTACTCTACATTCATCAAATTATTCATACAAGTTTGCCACTTAATAGTAGTACTTTTTGTACATTTACAATACGGCACCTACACCTAGAACGTCGCCAACCACCATTTCTATTTTTGTGTATAGATATGTATGAGCAGGTAAGAGGAATCATAGTTTGTGACGAAATATATTTTATTATAAAAAAATATATATTTAATATATAATATACAATATACCACTATCGTTCGTTGCACTGATCGCAGCACCCTACACGTAGTACCACACCTCTTTTTTTTTGGTATGTCCGTCAAACATACCGCAGGGTGTGATTTTTTTATTACTTTAAGGTAATTAATTAAATTTAATACATTAAATTAATAAGAAAATATTTTTATAGGAGTTAGTTAAAATTATATAGTTTAGTAGGAGTACAGAAATTTACATTTGCAGTTCTACACTCTTTCTCCATAAGTATTAACTGTTTCATACAAAATTTCGAGAAAGTAAGTACCGGACGGAAAAATATACCCTATATTTTTGCGTCCAGTACTGTAAGTCTCCAATTCGATTGATTTAGTTCGATGCACTGTCAATTACTGGAATACCGGCGCTTCGTTAATTTACACCACAATAAATGTTAATTTCCAGTTAGTTCCGTTATAAATTCAGTTGCTTAATCTTCTGTTGTCAATGTGTCCAAACTAAATTAACATTACATGTACTTAAATTGTTTTTCAGATACTCATGAGAAGAAAGATTAGATACAGAGCGACTGAACTGCTTGCAGAATGTATTTACGCAACAAAATACACGGACATTATAAACAACATCGAAATTTACTTATTTTTCTGTTGTGATCGTTTTGCATGACTGATAATTTGAATAGTACTGTATTGAACAAATCTCCAGTAAGTATTAGTTCTCCTTTATAGGCCAATGAACGTCCAAAGATATTATTATTTACTGCTTGTTAATAATCTGAAAAACAAAACTATTTTCTGAATCATCGTCGGATTTATTTATTATTTTGAGTATAGATATAAATCAGTTGAAATAAGTATGTATACTAACTTGATATTAATTAATATACATTTAATTTTAGTTATTGAATAACTATTGGTATATCCGACTTATATAAAAGGTAAAAAATTATGAACAGTTGTAATTAACTTTTAAAATTAGCATTTAAAGATCAAAATAATTACAGCTGTAATTTAAAATAAACCTAACCTTTGATAGGGCCACCATGAATGGTCAATGCAATTTTTGAAAAGACTAATTACATTTTTTGTGCACTATCTGAAAAGCCATGGAGTTGTAAATTTTTTAGAAGTTGTGAATAGTATTTCACTAGTTTACAATGTTAAAACTTGAACATTACTGACTAATCTATCGACTAAGGATTTTACGTAATTCCACAATTAAAGGTTGAAATAAGAAACGAGAGTTTGTATGAAACTTAGTCAATTTAAAGTTCATTTACTCCATAAAACTTTCATTTGGAGTTTTTGTCATAATTTAGAAATACGTAGCTTGTGTTTTTAAGTAATACAACTTCTTTGTAGGTATTATCAATGAACACTTATAGTTGTATTTGATGTTTTACTAAATGAAAATTCTAACCAAAAAGAGCATGTGTCACTGTACCACTTTAGTGTTTTACGTCGAGATTTTTGGTGCAAAGGACAGAAAGTGTATTTCGGCTGTATATAAAACTTTACACGTTACACTTACGTACACGCGCCGCGGCAAATGAGGCTGCTTGAAGGCAGCGATCACACGTGTAGCGCTAAAAAACAGCACTTGAAGGACAGTTGCAGCGACAACTGCAGCTTGCCAGACACTTGCAAGGTACAATGGTGACACATGTAAAAATATACTATCTGCCTTTACAGTTGTAAATCCGAATAAGAAGTTATACATAATTATCATTTATCCATGCAGAAATGTATATGAAGAATCGACTTCTTTGTTATTTGGTAATTTTTCAAAAACAATCGAACATATTTCAAATTATGAATGCTTATTTTATTGTTCTAAGATTATATTTGATACTGCCAATATACTGTTAACCATATTGTCACCTAACGTCTTTATCATGCCGATTGTATAGCATTGTATAATTACAAGGAACATAATTAATTAGACTTTAAATTATAGATGTTCAAGTCATATATTCTTATATATTAAGGACTCCACTCTTTATATATTGTACATATTTATATTGACATAGGTAATATCTAAGATGATACATACTGGTGTATGATGAACTTAAATGTTGTAAGTGAATGTAACCAACCAACTATGTTTATACTATTTATTGTAATTCACATTGACCAGACTAAAACTATCATATATATTGAGCATTGTACGAAAACAGTAGACTCAAAAATAATGGAGTTACGACATTGTATACTTCGTAACTGCACATTGTATCTATGTATAAATTCTAAATAGGTATATTTATATAACAGTTCTTGAAAAATAGCAATTTTATATCAAATGTATTTGATCTACAATTGTCTTAAACGAATTATCTTAAATTCAAAGTATTGGACAGAACTTGAGATAAAATAGATTCTGTAATTAAACATGCAAATTTTAAATAAATACTGTTTAAGTAGATTAACGTTAAATTTTAATATATTTCCAAAATTGTTTGCAATCGGATATGATAGATCTACCAAATTGTGGATGGCGCCCAAGTGACCGTAGAAAACCTATCAAGATGAGTATTGTTGCCTTATTATCAATGTGTACTTGTCATGATGCTAAGAATGGAAATACAATATCTACATCTATAATACCACACTTATTACGAATTTATTTAATTTTTAATACATACTATTGTACAAAATACTATTACACATAACATTATAGAAAAGGTAAAATACAATTCTATAACTTGACATGTACAATATTTTTTTTTTTACAATTTTTCTGTAATTTGTAATTGAAAGACAAATTAGATGTCTACTAGATTCAGTAGATCGAGGTCTAATACGACATTGGTATATACTTTACATGTTATATATATAGTTGTAACATGTAATATTTTGTCTGTGTGTCTGACACACAACATGATATAGAGACTGTTTTAATATAATGAAAAGAGAACGATGTTATTCTAGTGACTGGATTACTTTTTATTAGATTATTAATTTAAATAATTATATCATTTATTAGATACCAAATCTCTCTAGATAGGCATAACCTTAAAATAATGATAGGGACAATAACGGGCCATTGTTCCTTAAACAAACACTTATACAAAATCGATGCTACAGACAGTCCCCTTTGTCGGGGCTGCTTTAAAGCTGAAGAAACGGCGGCTCACGTAATCCTGGAGTGCACGGCAGTAGCCCAACAACGAAAACAAATCCTCGGAACGGTGAGGTCGCTCCGTGAAGCCTGTGAAAATACCAGGAGTCTTCTGCGCTTTTGGGAGGAGCTTGGCTGGCTACTTTAGTAGTCTGGCTCTGCACGCACAACGGCCCGAATGAGAGGCTAATTGCGGAGACTGGAGTCCAACATACAATACAATACATCAGATACCAGATCTCGGCTTTATTACGAACGGCATTGTAAATTCATATGAAGCCGAGTCAGGACATATTATGTACTTATATATAAGAGGTCATATGCAGATATTATACATATAAACTTTTCTGAAGAAATTCTTAAATAGTGAAATTCGTATGAAATCCATTGCGTGGTTTACAAGTAAGCAGAGAAACAGACGAAAGAATGACATTGCCGGTATAACTATTTATACAAAAAATACTTTAAATAAAATATTAATTTATTAAATTAATATTTACACAGTGACACAATAATTCATAAAGTAGTAGATCAACGTTGATAACAAGAAAAATAGAAGTATGTTCCTATGATTTTTTTTATATAAATTTATATAAATATAATAATAAGTTTAAAGAGAATTGTAGTAGCGTGGTTTTTAATAAAACATAGATATATACATACTGTTTCATTGTTACTGCTAGTTACATTTGTAGCCAGGTGTACTCAAAGGATTACTAAAGTTTAGAAAGTTCATCAAAGTACAAAGCGTGTTCAATTTGTTTCGTCATAAATTTTAACTGACTATACCATTTTAAGTAATTTTGATTCGAACACGAATTATTGTATTTTGTATTAATTTTATCCTTAGTACTGTGTTTTAAATACCTATTACTTAATTCATATTTATTTTTGACATTATATTTTGGGATATTTTCTTTTGTTTCTTGACAAAATTCTTCTTTCTCCATATTATTTGTATGCAAAGTCACATTTTGAGTTATTCTATTTTTATATTTTGAGGTTGACATAGTATTACTTTTGTTTCTAAGTCCTTTATTGTGATATTTCGTACTACCAAACTCTGTTGGAAGGTTCAAATTAAGTAAACCATCTGTTGAGTAAGATAATTCAGTATTACCATAAATTTTTCGAACACTCAGAATTGAGTCTTTCCTTTCATTAGGTGTATTACTTTTGTTTGTGTCAGTACCTAGTCCTAGAGACATACTTACGGTTATTTGATTGTCATAACTTACTATTTCTTTAACATTATCAAAAATTTCAACATTTGATGATTTGTTTTTCATTTCAATTATCGGGTCAATATCTATTGTTTTGGTCCTAGTATCATTAATAACAATTTTTTTGGAATTATCCAATATAATGAACACATTGTCGTCAAGGACATCTTTGACTTTTAAGTGTTGATAACTGTTGTTTTCTGTGATGATGTTATGTTGGTTGTTTTGAAAAGATTGCAATAAGGTATGGAAGGAATCAAATTTATTATAATCATTCTCATATGATTTACACAAATTTTCAAAGTTTTCAAATTTATCATCAGAAGCCTTGATATTTTCTGTAAGTAAATGCCACAATTCATCATATTTACTGCTCTTTTTATTTATATCTGGCTGTACCAATTGGGTCCTTAACTTTGTATGTAAGTTTGCATTGAAATCAATTTCATCGTTAGACCAAAAATCCCTGAGATTTAAAGTGTCTCTCATTATTATTAACATTTTCTTAAATTTTTCTTCTTCTTTGCCTTCACTTAATATAGTTATTGACATTCCATATGAACCAAAGCGACCAGCCCTACCTATTCTGTGTAAATATGTTTGCCATTCAATTGGAGGTTCAAAATTAATTACCAAATCAACATTAGATGCATCAATCCCTCGGGCTGCTAAGTCAGTACATATCAATATCCTACACTTGTATTCTTGAAGTGTTTTTAAAGCATCTAATCGATCTGTTTGTTCTTGTTGTCCATATAACTGCTCAGCTGGCCATTTATTTTGTAATAGTAGTTTATATAACTCTGCAACTCTAACCTGATAATTACAAAATAGTAAGCATTGCTTAAATTGTTTTGTTGTCAATATTTTCAACAATTCTTGAAAACGATATTGAGTTTGTCTTACAATATTACTGTTATATTTCACTGTGGTAATTTTCTGATCCACCCCCAAAAGAACACAGTTACTATTAGGGCATATATGTTGAGAATTTTTTACATACTTTGTAATAAATTCTTTAGCATATTCATTATATGTAGCACTACTCGTTATAACTTGTTTATCTTTTGGTAAAATGGAAAATATGAAGTTAATATCTGTTTGGAATGATTTTTCCATTAACTTGTCAGCTTCATCCAGGATAAGTAGTCTAACTGTAGATACATCTATATGTTTATCTTGAATCAAGTGACATAGGCGTCCTGGACTTCCTACAACAATATGCACTTTGTTTTTGAATTTACAAATATCATCCTGTACTGGTAAGCCACCCATAACAACTTCAACATTTAATCCTGTAACAAAATTATAACAATATTATTATTAACATTGATAGACATACTCCAATTTAAATCAGAACATGTTTCTTTATCAGAAAAATATAAAGAAACATGTTAAAAATTATCATATAAAGGACTCACATAATCTATATAAGAACATATTATCAAATCTTGAGAGTTTCAACTGCAATTAACTAATTTTAGTATCCATATATGTATTCACTTTCTCTATCATATTTGATAAATCAAGTGAAAATTGGAAACAAAATTGATGACTTAAATTATAGTAAAATTCTATATACGAAAAACAAAATGTGTTCAATACAAATCTTAATAATGGCAATCACAATATATACAATATAATTAAGGATATGAAACACTACAGATATTTCAGAGTACATATTTATTATGAAAACAATACTTTTATTATTATTAAATAAGTTATAAGTTTTTATTCTATTCTATTTCATTTTATTTTTACATCACCTGTCAAACTCAATATTTGTAAGATATTCTAACATTAGAACATGCTTCTAATGTTAGAATATCTTACAAATCATAAATCATTAGAAACATGTTAGAATAACTTCTGAAAAACTATATTCTATTAATTTATTAAAACAATTCATAACATAATATATTAATCAAAATATTCAATACACTTCTGATTTTTTATTCATAATACTTTTACCATTATCTAGTGGTCACTACCAAATATTAAAGCAGTTAGTTAATCAAAGATTTAAAACATTAGGTTTATAGTGGTATGTACAACTTATACTCTTATCATTGCCAATAATATATTTAACTATCTGTGCCCACGGTTTCACCACTGTGAATTTTATAGCCTATGTTATTCTGATATATAAGCTATATTACTGAAAAGTTTAATAAAAATCCAATAGTTAGTTTCTGTGTAAAAAAGTGTGAAAGAGAAACAAACTTCCATCCATACTCACAACTTTTGCGTCTATATATTATTTATGTCTAATAATAAGATATATTTATGAATTGTTTATTTAGATGGCTTACCTTCATAATATAATCCTATTTGCTTTATAACATCACATATTTGTGCTGCAATCTCCCTTGTTGGTGCTAATATTACAGCCTGTAATCCCACATCAAGGCTCAATTTTTCAAGAGCAACAACTGCAAAAACAGCTGTTTTTCCTGTGCCAGATTTTGCTTCTAATAAAAGATCTACAAAAGATATAGTATTTATAATAACTATGAATAAATTATTTCAATAATATGCCTTTATGGTGCATTTACATATGTAATGTATGTAAAAACATATCCTTTGTACATTAATGCAAGGATGTTAGTATGTTCATTCATTCAGGCTTTCTTATAACTGTGTTAATGCCTATATTACTTCACTTTCTACTCAAATTGATAAGTAATAAATGACATTTTATTAATTTGGGATATTCAATATTTATAAAATAGGAATTAGTTGGAAATAATAATTTAAAAAAACAAGGAATATATACGGCATTATGTTAGTACTGTAAGTATATCCATTCAGCATTACCATATCTTACTAATGTATTTTAAAATAAAACTGATCACATAAATAAAATTTGCACATAGCTATTAAAATAAAAACTAATTATTGATGATTGTAATAAACGAAAAAACAAATAATGGAAGTAATTAAGAGTCAATAACTGGTTAAAAAATATACGATCTAATTATAGATCCTGATCATTAATTACACATAAATCTTATAAATGTACAATCTCAGAGCAATAGGAAATATACAATAAATATATTTCATTACCAAAACCACATTTTCCCATAGGAATACCATGCAATTGAATGGGTGAAGGTTTTTGAAAACCGGCACTGTTTAAACCTCGAAGAGTATTTGATTTAAGCAGCATCGTGTCAAATGTTATATCTTGAGAAATCTGAATATCTTGAGTCCTTTCACCTACAGTAATATCATGCGCTAACACCATGGCTAAGGTATTAAATTTTTAAAAACAATAAAATTAAAATTAATCTTATAAATATTTGACAAAATATTGACTGTTTTTTTCATTAATTATCTATATTTTTTTAAGTTTCATGGTTCGGGATATTTGTTCCTTTGCTCCTGTATTTGCCATAAATATATTTTTTTTAATTTATTTTATGGGTATGGATACAAGTTCCGTTTAGCTCACTAAAAATTTTACAATATTAATTACAAAAATTAAAGTTGTTTTACGAGATTGCCAGCCATATTAAAAGTATTGGTCTCGCATTGTACGAGCAATGCCGTATATTTTAGGTGCTATCGAATATGTACAAGCAATTCGTCGCAATATTGTCGGTTTAAATATATAATTTAGTATCAATAAAGCAGGCGTAACTCATATTGTTTTACTTCAATTAGTAGGTATATTATTAAATCATAAAAATTATGTGTGTCGAAAAGGCCCTGAACTTGTTGTAATAAAAAATAAAATTAAAGCATGTTTATCGTAATACATTTATATCGCTGAAAACTTAAAGCTCTTTTGTATGACTATTTCTGAACATAAAACGAAGAGATGTTACGATTTCTTAGATTTCTGAACTACACTAATTTTTGTGAAATGGCGAAAATCCTATATCTTCTACATCAGTCTATTTTTTTATCTTCAATACATACCAAATTATATGACATATAATGCAGTGTTTTAAAGGCGCCTATGTGATATGACTTTATTTTTATAATTCGTAAATCGTATTGATATAGTATTGGACACAATTGTAGTATTGGAATAAATTTATACCTTTTTTCGTAATTCACCGTGCTCTAATTTAATGTTTTGATTTATATTTCTTCTAAAATTTAGTAAGTAACATTTGGTTGTAAATTCAGAGATTATTTATAACTTCTACTGTGTATATAAGTTTCGTTATGTCTTACACGAATAAAGTATTTAAGCATTGTGAAAAACCTGTAATAATATTGTTTCTTTTTAAATTATGTGTAAGTTTATAGCCATAATCAAAACTACTGAGCGTATTTGAAATATTCTCCCATCATTTGAAAGGTTCTTTATTTGTGGGATGTAGCTTTATTTATATTGTTCCACAAATTTAAATGATTTCTTACTAAATAAACATGGATTATTTACATATTGATATGGTTACCACATTTACTGATGAGTGTGGCAAATCTTATAGGTATATTTTAAATGTTTATATGTTATGAGGAAATGTGCAAATAGATAATACAGTATTGTAGAGCCATATGTGTCATGTTATATTAACTGTATATACCTAAATAATAGGTTTGAATACATCAATTTCAAAGTTTGCTTTTAAGTAAAATATGAATTATATTGTACTGATAAATCAATAGATTTTAGATTACTAACATTTATCCAAAGCAAGAATTAACATTTTTTAATAATGCTATATTATTTTTTGTATTTATAGTATCATCTAATTTTTTTAATAATAATGTATGAGTTGTAAATGAGAGAATAATTTTGTAATATGTATTTCTAAGACACAGTATAGAAAAAAGTCATTCACTACTTTATTGTTCACTTGAAATACTGAGCAATATATGGATACAAGTTATTATATAGTAAGTTAAAATATCCAAGTTCATGACTTGGATATTTTAACTAATAGTTGAATTTGTAATAAAATAAGTGGTACTGTGGTACTCATATTCTTTGAATTATCATACAGATATATAGTTATATGTGACATTATCTATTTGAACCACAAAACTTTTATTTCAAATTGTGAAAGTTCATTTTTAAAAAAATTATCAATCTTATTTTCAAGAGATACCAAAGGATAGACAATCTCCTTTCCTTTTTGATTATAATGGCCTTTGAATAGCCCATTCCATGTTGACATTACAAAAGTATAATAAAACATGTTTGATATTAAATTTTGAATAATTTTAGATATGGCAATGAATAATAATTGTGGTGGAGCTGGTGGGGGAGGGCCAGGAATACAAGGCGGAGCTTATGACGCTAAAATAGCTGGATTATATGATTTACTAGATACTCTTGGTTCGGGGCATTTTGCAGTAGTTAAATTAGCAAGACATGTTTTCACTGGAGAAAAGGTAGCTGTGAAAGTTATAGACAAAAGCAAGCTGGATGATGTATCAAAGTCACATTTATTTCAAGAGGTCAGTAAAATCTTTTTAATATGGTAGTAAGCAGCAATTTAATTTTTGTTTATATTCCTTAATTGAATTTAATTATAAATAATACCTATTTATTTCGGGCTGCGGTCTAGGAACAGGTTAAAAAATATGTGATTTCCTCCCTCTAAAATTTATTACATATAAGGTGATGGGGGGTATTTGATTGGTTGAAAGAGTCACAAAGTTTCTGTAAAACATCATGAACTTATGTTTATGATGTTATACAAAATTTTATCTAGGTCATAAGACCTTGATAAAATTTTGTAAAAATTTTGATTGACCATAGATTTTGTGACATCACATTACAATGTTAGCACATAAAAACAAAATTATATTTTTTGTAACATGACCAGCTATGCCAGGGACAGGCGGAGGGGGGTAAAGTGACTCACATTGGTGTGTCATAATTATGGATTATAATCATTAGCCTACTGCAGTCCCCTGCTGGACATAGGCCTCTACCTAATAATAATATATGGTCCCTTTGTTTTGAAACTTGAAAACAACTTCAATTCACTTGTGACCAATGTGTTTGAAAAGTAAGATCTGCATGGTCTATCTATAAATTATGTCACACATTATAAGTGTAATATTGTGTGTTAATAAAGGTGTGATAGGAATCCTTGTGCTGTTACTCTTCAAAATATAGTATATTATTATCTAAATATTTAAACCAAAATTTTACTCAAAGAAAACAACTAAGATTAAATATATATTTCATGCTCAATAAGAAATCAGGACTAATCTTAATATCACCAGTTGAGGTGATAGACTGTTAAAGCAATTACAGTAAAATTTTGTTTAAATTTAAAAATATGTGTCATCACACTTGGGAGGAGTCTTTTAAATGTGATCAACTCCAAAGACAGGTAAATTATGGAGTTTGTGTGACTGTCAGATAAGTTTAAAAAGAAGGCTTTGCATCAGTATTTACTATTTAGAATCAAAGTTTAAGAATTTATATAATTTTCAGGTCCGCTGTATGAAATTGGTGCAGCATCCTAATGTTGTTCGATTATATGAAGTAATAGATACACAAACAAAATTATATTTAATATTAGAATTAGGAGATGGAGGAGATCTCTATGATTATATTATGAGACATGAATCTGGTTTATCAGAATCTCTAGCTCGTGACTACTTCAGACAAATCGTGCGTGCAATCTCATACTGCCACAGGTATGTTTATTGTTCCATGAGTTATTAATAAGTAAACTGACATTATTCTATAATTTATTTAAATATACATTGTATTGCTTTTACAGGCTACATGTAGTACATCGAGACTTAAAACCAGAGAATGTAGTATTTTTTGAAAAATTAGGTGTAGTAAAATTGACTGACTTTGGATTTAGCAACAAATTTTGTCCAGGGCAAAAATTAGAGACATCATGTGGTTCTTTAGCTTACTCAGCACCAGAGATTTTGCTAGGTGATTCATATGATGCACCGGCAGTTGATGTGTGGTCTCTTGGAGTAATTCTCTATATGCTTGTTTGTGGACAGGCGCCATTTCAAGAAGCTAATGACAGTGAAACACTGACAATGATTATGGATTGTAAATATACCATCCCACCTCATATAACTAAGTCTTGTAAAAGGTTAGTATAAAATCAATATTTTATCTAAATACATATTTTATTCACAAGTGTAATTGCAGTTAATTTTGATAAGGTAGTATACAAGAAATGCTTGCACACATGCATATCTTGTATACTACTACTACGTTACCACATATATTTTGGCTGAGAAGGTGCAATTGATTTGAATAGATAAAAAAAAAAGCTCTAAGCAATTGATTTGATTAGAGCTTTTTTTTTTGACTATTCTTATTTTTTTAAAAGTTTAAATATAATTAATTATTATCATTTTAAAACTTCACAAAATTTTAACTGATTAATTAACTTTAAGAATACATCATGACAATAATTGTTCTTATCCATACTAATATTATAAATTCAAAAGCATGTCTGTATGTACCTTGATGTATGTCAGGTCACGAGGATGCATGTAGGCTATAAGAGTATAGCCTACATGCATCCTCGTGACTATTACATTAACATGCAATTAAAGTATATAGACAGAGGTCTATATACTTTAATTGCATGTTAATGTAATGTCTATGCAGGAATGTTGTAAATTAAAAGCGGGTATGCCCTCAGGATAGATGTTAAGATGCACAAAATAAATCTAATATTATATACATATCTAAACTATTATTTGATAGTGATAGATTGTTGTTACAGGTTAATCGGAAGAATGTTAGTACGAGAACCAGAGAAACGGGCCACATTATCTGAAATAGCTACAGATACATGGGTTACTGCTGGTGAAGGTGTCACTGTAGAAGATTTTGATACTCCTCTCGTAGCTAAGGAACAGCTTTCAGAAGAAGATCGTTCAGCCATTGTTCAGAGAATGGTTAATGGTACTATAGGTACAAAGGAGCAAATTATGGAAGCATTAGAAAAAAATGAATATAACCATATTACTGCTACATACTTTTTGTTAGCAGAGAGAAAATTAAGATCAAAGAGGTAAGTAAAATATAGATACTAGTTCATAATAGTTGATTCCATTTATAAATACTTGATTTTACATATTGTGATAGTAACATTACAAACGGCTGAACAATATGTTGCCATAATTATAGTTTTCATTCTCTGTTACAGGGGATAGTGTTAGTGTTAGTTATATGTTATGATAATAATTTACAATTTAGTATTTACAAAATTATTGGAATTTCATCAGTGTATGCAAATAAGTCTTTATTGATCCCTTATAATTCCTTCCAAAGCTTTTTTTAGTTGTATAGGGAAGGAGTGTAAAACCCTAATATTTTTTTTTACTTGTGCCTGCAGTTTCAGCCACTTTAAATTTCAATAAACAATATAGCATATTTGTTATTCTGATTCATAAGCAATATTACTATGAAGTTTCACTAAAAACCGTTCAGTAGGTTTTGGCGTGAAAGAGTAACAAACATCCATACTTACAATCTTTCACATTTATAATATTAATAAGATTGTGTATAATTAAATATTATTATTATATTAATAAAAAAAACATTAGACACACTACCATGACACAAATACTCATATATAAGAGTACTCTTTTGTTTGTTGCTTGTGGGGGTTGTAAGAAACCCATAGGCAGGCAGGCACAAGCTATGTGTCTAATGTTTTTTTTATTAATATAATAATATTTATCTCAGGGAAAGGCAAAAGAACCCAGCCCATACGGCCATTATCTTTGGTAGTACCAGTGAGTATAGAAGTAAATTTATATGAATCATGGTTGATTTTCGACCACTAGTCGTTAAAAGCTTATAAACAGCGAGACAGTTTCTTATGTATATTCGGGTTACGAACACTGATTAGAATATTTGCTTTTGCAATAGCATGTGTTCGTCATTCTATTCTCTCAAATTTGATACTAAAAATGAATCTATATTATTGTAATGTTTACAACACAACATTTATTTGGAAAGAATACGAGCTGAGTTTCTCGTCAGTTCTTATGAATAAAGATATTTTGAATTGAATTGTATATGCGTGAGTGGTGCGAGTGAAGTTGTGAACGCAGGCAGGAGGCGACGCGGAACGCTCGACGGCCCGAGGCGCTGAGTGTGTCGCGAGCCGGAGGCGGCGGACCAGGCGGACGCGCGCTGCTGGCGCCGCCCGCGCTCGCCGCCGCGCCTCGCACCCCGCAGGACGTGCCGCCGGTTAGTGTCGCATGCTTTACATATTACCCCTGCGCCGAACATAGCTTCTGGGGGGAGGCATTCGTGTGTATAGGTATAATGACCTCACTGCTAATAATATATCACGTTAGTTCGAGCACCCTATGGCTAACTAAACTGACTTCGTCCTCATTCAATCGTCCACTTTGTCCCGCCAGCGTGTATCGTTAGCGCAAACGGATACTAGATTTTATTGTCGGTCATATCTGAAGTTCTTTGGACATGTGTTAAAACTACTGTATCTTTAGCTGAGAGGTTTTTCTGAAGCAGTCCGAGCAGTAAGCGGATAATAAATCATAATGCTGTTTCAGAGATCTCGCAAGTGCAGTATTGTTCGCGAGGAAGAGGACGACGAGGAGGCCGGGGTGGCGGCCACGACGGGCCAGCGGGTCAACGACGCTCGGCGCGGATCACGGTCCGAGGGACGCCTGCATCTCGCGGCGAGAGATCGCGTCACACACGCCCACCACGCGCCGCCCGCACACCACGCGCTGCTGCCCGTCCACCCGCAACCCGCACACCACGCGCCGGCGCCCCGCCCCGCTCAGCTCGAAGACAACTTTGTTAAGGTTGGTTATATATCAGAGACATGGGTACACAACGGTACCTAAGGGTTGAAAGCACATAGATTTACCCTGTACTCACTGAAAGTCTGTTTTTTAACAACCGGTCGTCGCAGGTGAACCTCGAAGACGAAATTACATCCGACGCTGGCGAATCGAACGCTAGCGGCGAGAGGGCGACCGCGGTCGACGTGCCCGCTCCGCGCGTACCGCCGCCCGCACCCCCGCCCGCGCGCCGCCAGCGACTCGACTGCCGCCGCCGGCGTCCTCGCGCCGGCTCCTGCTCCTCCTCCGACCTGTCCGACGACGACTCGGAGAAGAAGAAGCGCGCAGCGGATCGCGCACCCGCGCCCGCCGAGCGGCCACGTCGCGACTCGCACGACGATTCCAGCGACAGCCAGGACCCGGCCGGCGGCTCGGCCGGCTCCCGCGCGGCCGCACGCGCGCCGCTGGCCACCGCGCCCGCCGCCGCGCCCTCCGCCGGCTCCGGCGGCGCGGCCGGATCCGGCGCCGCGGGCGGAGACGCGCGGGGCGGGGGCGGCGGTCGTCGCAGGCGCGCCGCCCGCAAGGAGAGCCGCTTGCGCGAGTCCCGCTCGTTGAACCGGATCGCGGAGGTGGAGGAGGCGGCGGCGGCGCGCTGGGCGGGCGGCGGACTGGTGGCGCTGTGCGGGCGGCCGCTGCTGCGCCTGTTGGCGGCGGCGCGGCCGTCCCCCGCCGCACGCCGCCTGCACGGCCTGTGCTAGCGGCCGCCGCAAGCCGCCGCGCGCTGCGACCTCGCCGCCCGCCGCTGACGAACCGCCGCCGGAGGAAAGTCGCCGTCGCCGGCCGCCGCCGCCTGTTCGGCCTGTGCTAGCGGCCGCCGCCCGCCGCTGACGAGCCACCGCCTGTGGACGCGTCGCCGTCGTCGGCCGCCGCCGCCTGCTCGGCCTGTGCTAGCGGCCGCCGCCCGCCGCTGACGAGCCACCGCCTGTGGACGCGTCGCCGTCGTCGGCCGCCGCCGCCTGCTCGGCCTGTGCTAGCGGCCGCCGCCCGCCGCTGACGAGCCACCGCCTGTGGACGCGTCGCCGTCGTCGGCCGCCGCCGCCTGCTCGGCCTGTGCTAGCGGCCGCCGCCCGCCGCTGACGAGCCACCGCCTGTGGACGCGTCGCCGTCGTCGGCCGCCGCCGCCTGCTCGGCCTGTGCTAGCGGCCGCCGCCCGCCGCTGACGAGCCACCGCCTGTGGACGCGTCGCCGTCGTCGGCCGCCGCCGCCTGCTCGGCCTGTGCTAGCGGCCGCCGCCCGCCGCTGACGAGCCACCGCCTGTGGACGTGTCGCCGTCGTCGGCCGCCGCCGCCTGCTCGGCCTGTGCTAGCGGCCGCCGCCCGCCGCTGACGAGCCACCGCCTGTGGACGTGTCGGCGTCGCCGGCCGCCGCCGCCTGCACGTCTCGTGCTGCGTCACCACTGGCAAGGCTTACGGCAGCAGTCCTGAAAGACCGGCGCTGACGAGCGGCCCGCGCTAGCAGCCGTCTAGAACCTTAAACGAAGAAAAGTCAAGTTAGCTTACGTATAACAAAAGTGATGCCCTTGTTCCATAGATAGGAATTGGAAAATATTGTCGTCAAACTTATTCCACATATTACATATTATTCCCCTTTCTGTTTTATTGTATTACTATATTTTAGTTTGTAATACAAATATATTAAATCATCGTTAAGATTTTTATAATCAATCATGTATTTTAGTTCATAAGTGTAAGTATTATGAACTAAAATACATGATTGATTATAAAAATGTGGTTACAATATTTTAAAATGATTTCGTTGTTTAATCATTAAAGTAATATGATAAATAGTAACATCATACATATAATGTTACTATGATGACATTTTCTAAGCTTAAAAATAGTATATTGTTATAAATAAAAATTCGGCAATTACGTTACACAATGCGACATACATAATACATACAAATTTAATCTAATATTTTCGACTTAGAACGCAAAACACAAAGTCATGTTTTTTTTTTGTCAAATGTTCTTACCGACCAATGCCATAGTTATTTTAACATCGTTTTAGGTGCTGTTGTGAACAAGTGTATTTTATTTTATGGCGCGTAGTCTCGCGGCTTCACTTTTGTTGTATATGGTGTTCACTCTTGACGTCTGCTGAAGTTTCCCTTCGTTCTGCAGTCTCAAGGATGCCACTGGATTTACTGATTGTCGTATGTGATTGTTACGATACAAAACATTTTACATTACTCGTATAACCGCTTTTCTGGACGGTTAAAGATGAGGCTACAATGCTAATAACTTTGGACAGCGGAAAGTGTATTGACGAAAGTTCTGTTCGTTCGATACTAAAATTGTACATTTAATAAAATAGGACTCCAAATCAACCGTGAACCTATGTATGTTATAATTAACCCAGATATTATAAAGTTAATAATTTTCGTCAACAATGTTATAGTTTAATTTTTTTTTCAGAGCCCATTTAATACTTACGATTATAAATGCCCAGGCACACAGTGAGATACAGCTGAGGCATTCAAATTTTATTCTGCGTCTCTAGTAAATTTAATTTAAATAATGCGTGTGCAAACTTAATTTATTGGAAACGATTATAAAATATTATTTTGCGTGACGTGCACCAGTGTGCCTGTTTATAGTATACAGCTCTTAAGAAAGAGATTCTTTACTAACTAGCACACAATACATTTCTAATTTCTAAATGCTCAAAATTTTGTTTATATAGTAATTTTCCTATATATACCTATCCTATGTATGAAAAAATCATAGGCGTAATTAGGGCTCTGTACCTGACCTATATTTTATAATCAAGACTAAATATTGATTAGATAATCCATATTTAGTTAAACCTTAATGAATATAATACTGTTGTTTTAGTATTCAATTAAAATAACATACATTCATGCTGTAACCCTTTTTCAACTGTATAAAATATATTAAGTCTGAAATATTAACACGCTTGTTATGAATGGGGCCACAACATCTTTTAATATGTATAATCAACTAAATCATTTCTAATAAACAAATGAATGCATTTCTTGTAAATGAAGATTGAGAGGTAAACAGGGTTTCTACAAACCGAAAATAGAATAATTGTCATTACACAGAAAACTGCTTTTACTTCAAAGGTTGTTTAGTATGTAAAATACATAGAAAAGATATCCAATGACTGAACCATCGATACATTTTTACTCATTGCAATGGAAATTAACTAATTTATGTTTCGCTTAAGTTTTTAAGTAATGTATGTGTCCGTACCAGTCTGTACATAAAGACACAGAGCTAAACTGTTGTATCCTTTAAAGGGATATAAATTGTAGGTAATCTAATAACTTAGTTAAATTATTTTTGCTCTCCTCTTTGTAATTTCACCTCCACTAGTCGTGAAATTTTAGTAAGTTAATATGAAATTATGTTTATATTTTTATTATGAAAACAGATGGACATTCTCTAAGCGATAATGAGCTCCGAAACATGTTTTGGATCTTGTATAGAATACATTAATAGTAGGTGTCTTGATGTTCTTTTATCTAGAGATGTTTTTATTTATAGATTTGTGTGTATCCTAAATTACATTAATATGATATTATATATTAATATAATAATACGGGAATGTTAAATAAGTTAAATGTTGTGTAATAAATAAAAATCTATGTACATATTTAAATTGTTGTATATAAATAGTTTATCTCAAAATACATATTATAATAAATTGAGTTTAAACTTTTGGTTAAATCTGATTGTATATCTTATAATGTGTGAATGTACAACAGAATTTTATATGTGAGCAATTTTTAAAATTATATAGGGCACTTGTATGGTGCTTTTAATTTCGCAATAAAACGGATAAGACCAAAGATTAACAAATTGTGTTTATGCATTTTAACTCTGTCTTGTGCTGTTTGTGGTGCCAACATAAATTAAGCTGTATTTTACATAAACTTTGACAGTAAATATACTAGTGCTCATTGTTAGCGCAATGTGTTGGTAATAATTATACTTCACAAAATGCATTATTGTTTCTTTTCTTCATTATATATAATAAATATTACTATATGCTCTGAATTTCATATAACATATTTATACTACTTATGTTTGTTACCCAGATTGTAATACATAAAATTATCAAAGTTTATTCTGTTTACTTAACAATATTGCATTTGTAAATTAATTATAATTTGAGTGGTCAGATATTTTTTTGACCTACAACTATTGCTTTTCTGATCATCTATTAACGAGAGCATAACTCAGCAGGCTGATTGCTGATATCAAGGATACCATAGAAATAGTCGTGTGTGGTTTATAAGGATATAGTGTATATCACTATAATCCCTATTGCTTTTATACATGTATCGCATGTGTGTATAAATGTTATTTCGATTGTTTGCACCCACTGCGTATACATACATAACTTGCTAGCTATACTCCAGGGGAAGTTTTATCATATGTTTTATGCGGAAGTACATTATTGAGAGTATGGCATTGTTATGATGATTATATACAAGAGTTTAAAATTATCTGGGCAAGCAATTTTTAAATTGCTTTCTTTGATGTAACCTTAACATTCGTGGAATAATACCCTACCCTACATTCTACCATCGCAAGCATCGACATATTACCTTATATCGAAGTGCGCGCAGTTAAAACTAACTATAATAGTTGATTAATCTTTGCTTTAAAAAGGTTGGAAGGCCCGCATTTTTCTTATATATATATATATATATATTTAGTTAGACCTGACAATAACATGAAGTTAATCTGATTAGATAAGAATGAGTAATTCATTTATTATTACATATTACTACTGTATAACAGTTGAATGATTGAATGGACATGATTGTTAATTGTTGTGAGCTGGTTGTTTTTTTTTTATAATGTGCTTTATCATAAACTATATAACCATAACACGACGCACAACCATAAAACATCCAGATCAGAAGGGGAAATTTAATGAGAATGGAACGTAGGACTTTCTTTATAGGAAGTATTTATAATGCCTGCTAAAGTAACACTTGAAGTTTTTATGTGTTTATATATTAGTGTGTATCGTATAGTTATAAATGCGGCATATTTAGTAAACAAAACATATATGTACATATTTTATATCTTTTTTTTTTTATATATAAATATTTTGTTTAATTGTTATAATATTTTTTAAATAAATGGACTAAAGATATTCGTTGATCCAGAATGAGCGAAGAAGAAGAAGAAGAGGCCGCCCTATACGAATGTACCAAATACGTGATACACTGACATAGAGTGGCAGTATTTCAGTGTAGCATGTTTGAAAGAATACTGTGAAAGGCCTCGTAGTTGGCGACGATTAGAATCATGAATAAATTAATTCATCATTTAAGAGCTGCTCTCTTGTCGGTGGAGCTCTTGCTATTTTCCACGTCCAGCCATCAATCAATCTCTTTAGTTGTTGATACGACACGACTCTTAACTTTTTCCTTAATCTGCATGATATAACTGTTACTTGGTCTTCTCCTTCCTTTCTTTTCTTCTATTTTAGGTTCGATAACATTCATAGGTTCGTCGTGTCGTATCAATTGCCCCAACATTTTCCCCCGCCTATTCTCAATAATATTTATGATCTGTCTCTTTCCCTTAACCCTTTGTATTTCTTAATTTTTTATTTAAACTTTCAATCCTTCTTCAACACATTTCAAAAGCTTCCAGTTTGTCCCTTTGAGTCAATGTCCACATCTCACAGGCATACAAGGCTATACTTCAGATTGACTCTCGTGTCTGAGAGGACTTTGATTTTATTTGTTTATTGATTACACACAAGAATGTATACATGGCGGACTTAATGATGGCATTTTCTACCAGTCAACCGTCGTGTTGATCATAATAAGGCGGTGCACTTTAATATAAAAACAAGAAAATAATATATAAACATACTAATATACCCGTATTCTTATTTGATGCTAGCTGTACCAACGACTTCGTCCACGTGGAATTTAACTTTATTTTCTAAATTAAAAGTAGCCTAAACATTGTCAAAAATGTTATTATAGTGTAAGTACCGTATTCATATGCATGTAGTAAAAAAACTGTTATTTCAATATTACAAACAGACACTCCAATTTTATTTATATGTATAGATGTGAGCATTTTTTATAGAAGCGTTTGACGTTCGCACACCAAAGTACTACGTCTACGTGTTTTTAATTCTTTGCTTGCATCCATGTATTGGAAAGGCTTTTATACGTATAAATGCCATTTCAATCTATTTAAGTACTAAATTTCTACCTTAGATACTTTTTGAAAATGTTCAATAACTAAATATGCTGCATACACATACAATATTGGAAAGTCAGATCATGATAGGTGGTTTAATGAACTATTCAGGCGCATATTATCTGTAGTCATGAGTACGATTGTTTGTATTTGTTTGATGTATCTATGATTTGTGTATAAAATTTATATAATGTACAAAAGACGTATTCTTGTATATTTATGAGTTGTTTAGTTACAAGTTTGGGACTAAACGCCACATAAAAACGTTGATTGTACAAACTGAATTTTTGAATGTGAACCGAATAATCAGTAGATATCTAAAATATAGTGCTATATATATATTTGTAACCCTCTTACAGCATATAGGTAACGGTTATAATACTCATTGTTAAAACATTGTCATCACAAATTATGATAAAAAATATTATTTGATACTACCTAAATTTTATGAATTATTCTGTGCAATATAATGGACATCCAATGAGAGCTTTGTAATTTGTACATTTTATATTAAATTTGTATAATTGATGTATTACATTTGTTAATAGTAATTAGCTTCCTAGAATTTTAAACTGATATTCTAATAACTGTGTACCTGGTTGCCATTTGTATTTGGCGTTAACGTAAGCTTTTTTGCAAATTGTCCAGTACTTATAAATACTAGACCTTGAATGTCTGTACCAATATACATAATAAGTTTGTACATTTAGACAGTACCCATATCAACTGATATTTCGTACACCTTGCCAAGATAAATATTCTTTTCCGTTACTATACAACGTATATACCTATTTAGTTTCAACCTCGCTGTCTTTCCCTTTATAGAACATAGAACAAAATGGAGAATTCTTTTTTTATAGATATTATTTCGTTATTAAAGACTGCCTGTTCTGCATGGCAGTATAGCGATCGTTTAGATAAATCGTTAATAATGTATTATACGCATTGTCTCATTAATCAATAAAGGAATAGTGTCGTTAAATATTGTCCCGAATATTAAAAATATCTATCTACTAAAAGACAACGAGGTCGAAATCAAACAACCTGTATAGATACTGCGTATTATATTATGTATTATCTTTAATGATAATCTATAAATGACAAATTATTAAGTTATACACACCGATTAAATAAATTACTTATAATCTGTACCAACTTTATTCTTTAGTTTAAATGTTCTTGAAATGTTTGTCTCAAATAAATATAAAAACATCGTTGTTGCATTATTACTAGGACTTCTTATTACCTCGCATGAGTTACCATGAACTTATCTGTCGTCAAAGTTATGAGTTTTATATCTGAGGGTTCACGCAAAGTTATGACTCAATTAAAGTATTATTATTATTATAAACGCAACAGTCTGTATGTATGGATGTTTGTTACTCTTTCACGCAAAAACACGGATTTTGATGAAACTTTTCATATAGGCTATATTTTTATACATTCATTATTGAATATATATATTGACATTCAACAAAACCTCGGGCACAGCTAGTTATATTTTATAAAGAACTACCTACTGTTAAAATATATATAAATAGTATGTAAGACTGTGACTGCGAGGCATAAGACGGCCACACTAGTGGGCGCGTATAGTCACATACTAGGCGAATGATATAGTAATAGTAATCATTTTTATTTATACTATAAAATCGATAGATTGGTCTTTATAAATTATCTAAGCCATATACGCGCCAACATAATCTATTTGCGGGGAAAAACGATTGTCAGTAATGGGACTATTGCCTCTCAGGTTGACCTCCACGGCAAATCATTGTGGTTAATTTTTGATGACTTCATTACAATGGAATGAAACTCGTCAGGATTTAATAAGAATAGCTCTTTCTTTAGATGTAATGAAATTTGTTGCACATACATCTAATTGTTGAATAGTGCACTAACTCTAGAAGTAGAATATTTTACAATATTAACTTACTGTAAAATATTCTACATATTGCCTTACTACACTAGTAGAGTTAGTGCACTATTCAACAATTAGACGTATGTGCAAAAAACTTCATTACATCTATAGAAAGAGTTATTCTCGTTAGTTCAACGGTAAAAAAAAACTTATGTCCATACACTGTGACACCCGCAATACCACTTATGTTTCCGAATGATTAAGATGTCAAGCCTTTACCCTGTAACTTCTTCGTGCTGCGACAGAGATACAAAATATTTCTTGCAAATTCGTAAATGAATTCGAGTCTTTATCTTTGTTGTAGTTGTTAGAACCTTAAAAAGAATCTTTCATCACTGTAGGTAGTCTAAAGTGCATGTTGTAGATAGGGAAGCCTGACACTAGGTATTATTTACAAGCGAAGTCGTCGCATGCACGATAAGTAGTTTAATGATAGGTGAATTATGAAAAATCTAAAAAATAATGTGTAAAAATCGTCAACTGCTGTATTTACTAAATATATAATTTCACGGAAAATGAGAAACACGCTATGACAGTATTATTTGATTTATTTACCTTTGCTAGTTATACATTGGTAAAAATATTAATGCTATGAAACAATGACTTAGCATTTGGTTTGTAACAATAAATTCAAGCATATTATTATATGGGAGTTGGGAGCTAACGGTTATAAGTTTGACAAAGAGTTGATACTAAAAAAATATGGAGGTTGCAACATATTTCATTACACATTGAATTATATGCTCATTGTTCTTGTGACAAAATTATTAATAATGACAAGTGAAGCCATACTGTAACTATATTGTACCAGTAATACTTTATCTTATGTGCCTAAGAAATAAAAATTTCCTAAAATATTTTACACTTGATCATGTTATACTATAAGGAAAATAAGCAATATTATTCTTTCACAATCTGAAGATATTCATAGAAATAAGAATTTTAACTTTTGTAGATACAGTAAGAATGAGATATAGATGTTAAAAATAAAGTGCTTGTATTTAGAAACAACAAGATACCTATATTGTAGCAGACCTTTCCACACCTGTATTAATCTATGTATTAAAATATTAAGTTGTTCCTAAAAACATGCATTGGTAAAACTAGCCTTAAAAATACCAAAAGCAACTTTTTCTCAAAGGCCACAATAATTTAGGTAATATGATAAATAAATGGGCATTACCCACTAGGTTGGTAATTATAACTGTTATAGGAAGTTTTACAAAAATTTACAAAATACTTTGCCCAATCTACAACTGAGATAAATTCGTGACATTAAGCTTCATGTACGAAATGGCATTTACTATGAAATGCACCATGTGTACTTCATCTCTCTGCTTCCCATACAAGTGTAATAATGGTGCGAAGATTTAGACAGAAGACAGATATACTTATAGTATGAAGATACACAAAAGCATAGCATCACTTAAATTAAGACTACAATAAAAAATTAATTGTCATACACAAATAATTGATAAATAAATTGTATCTTCCCAAGGTGAATGAACAAAGTAGATTGGGTCTATTGAGACATATTTTCAGTGACAGAGGAACTAGAAAGTACTTCCTTCTGGGGGTTGAGATAGCTTCATATTTTCTTTGAGTGTCATGAGACGTCTCAGTTCTTGTAAAACGGTCTTTATAGTGTAGTCTCTCTGCCACCGTGCAAGAATCGGGACTTGTCGATTATCCACCTAAAATATGAAAATCATATTATATCACTATACTACAGAGATACTAAATTATAGTTTTATAATGTACTTACAAGTCCAGTCTGACTGTTAACACAGTTCATGTTGATTCTAGAAATAAATCTAGCAGTAGGAGGTTCATCGGGGTAACGCGTGCCACATTCAATTTTAAGAGAATACATTCTATTTTCATATGGAGTCTGAAAATAATTATTGTGTTTACTTTTGTTGTAATACCTCTGATATACATATTATTAACTATAAGTGAGAACAATGATTACCCTTGGGGGGCCAATTATCATGCCAGTCCAGTGAGTCAAAGTCATGTCATCATCGCTTTCGAGGCCCCAAGATATAGTACCGTCACCAACTCCCTTTTGCCCTTGTTCAAGTTCTTCTAGAAGACGAAAGTTCCGTGGCACCACTGGTCACAAATAAAATATAATTTAATCAATACAAATCAACAGTACTCCTATATTGTTATCGACTTTTATTGGTTTAGCAAAAATAAAAACAATAAATGACAAAAATAAACCTTAAAACTTACCAACGCCTGATGACGGATTCGCCATGATCACAATTTCACCGGCGCCCACTATTAATATCAATAATGAACGTTACTGAAACTCGGCATTTACTACACAATATTAAATTGTTACTTTGTAGTATAATTTGGAGGTTTTTAGTAGTTTACTTTAATGGTTAATTATAATTACCAAATCCTGAATTTTTACAGCAAGTAAAAGAATTTTTTTTGTTGGTGACTATGACTGACTTTGACAAGAGTATACAAAAGCATGCTAAACAATCATAGAGCAAAATGCAAATTGTCAAATACAAGTGAATGCCATTTTAGGGTACATTATATTATTAAATTAGTCTTTATACATTAAAGACTAATATAAAAGAATTGTATAGTTTTCTTAAAATGCAGACTTTCTACACAATGTAAATAAATTTAAAAAAATAAGGTAAATATTTTAATATTACCATGAAAGGTCCATCACTGAAAAGGAGATGGACGAATATGGGGAAAAAAAAATTACCATGAAAGGAAGTACCATAAATAGAATTGAATAGTTTTATTTAGTGAAGATTAATTTAATTTTACCAATTGCTTTTCTAGAAACATACAAATAAACACCACCTTCACACGCAGCAAAAATATATAAGTATTTTTTTTTAACATAGGAATAATTTACGAAATAGTAGCTACTACATATTAAGAAGTAAATACACAGTAATTTCAAGTAATGTTTTTTTATTTATTTGCTGACTTTGACTACTAGCCCATCAGCCTAAAAATAAATGTACCATAGTTACAATATATAAAAAAAAAATTGGTCGTTGGTTTACCAGCTAAGCACCGTGTTCCAAATGCGGCTCTAAATTGTCTTTTTAATATATTGTAATACACATGGTTTCTGGTTGACTAATATAAAACGTTGTATTTAGTTATAAAATATTATTGCTAGGCTATCGTGGAGTAGTAATATAACAATGAACTGTGCTGTGATTTAATGAAGTGATACTGCAGTTTTGGAGGTAAAATGCCCGCTTCCATTTGCGACCCAGTATCTAGCGCATTGCGTTTATCATTAAGTGCTGAAGATTCTCAAGGTTCATCTTTATTAGATAGTAGACTTTATTCATCAGCTAAAAGTGTCCTATTAACTAAAATTGATTTTGAAGAATCTGGAGATTTTAAAAGCAATGTACTCGATGGTCTGAAGTCTAAGTACGTGGTGATTCGATCCAAAAAACCAGTGCTGGAAAATAAACTTCTTAAGAAAGAAGGGATTTCTGGAAACCATGCTTCTGGTAAGCATTACAAATATTACTTGAAAATAATGTATCTGTTCCATATTAATATTTGCCTGAAAATTTATATGAATTGTTATGACTAGTTTATAGGTTATATTTTATTATTACTACTGTCAATATTATTAATATCATACATTTATTTATATTAGAATAGTTTAATATAATTATTACTTATACCATTTATTTTTGTTCAAAACATATTCACCATGCAAGTATAATTAATTAAATAAAATGTGTAAAAGTGTGGTCAAAATAGTGTACTAAAGTTAGATAAGCTAGGCATTGTATTGTGATCTATACGAAAAAGGTAGGTACAAATAGCAATTGAGTTATTTATTTATTATAAAATTGAATGTATTCATTACAGATAACAATAAGAATGGTGAGGATGGTTTACCAAAACCCAAGCGAATTTTGTTTCCCGTTGAAAAAGTACAGTTAGGATGGCAGTCCCCTTGGGCTGCTGGAGCTGGCATGCAGAATGTTGGTAATACTTGTTACCTAAATTCTACACTACAAGCCTTATTTCATGTACCTGCTTTAGCCAACTGGCTGGTTTCAGAAGCACCACATGCAGAAAAATGTAATCAACAAGGTTAGTACATTACTACTAACATTAGTTAATAATATTAATTCACATTAATATTAACTTGTGGTAGATAAGAGAAAGTGGTACAAATATATATTTTAATTCTATCATTCATTAGTGAAACTTTAGTCTATTTTTATTCTTTTTATTTATATATTTTTTAACATCTTTAATCATATTATAATAAGCAGCTTTATTTGCATGATGGCACATACCTGAAATTGGGGTTATATACCCCAATTTCTGGCTTGACTTATTTATACACTGATATATAAAAATGATTTATAGTTTTCAAGTAAAAGAATTTAAATCAGTCTTGCTAAAAATCTTTATCAGTTGTAACCAAGAAATTAGGATCTCAATTTTAAATGTATTGTTGTCAATTTGTCAAAATAATGCTGGCACTGTCTTTTGACAAAAGTAGCAAAATCAGTGATATATTTTTATTTTTATATTTTGTAATAATGATTACAAATGTTACATACATACATATACATATGGTGGTTATTTTCTCATTCTATGTTTATAATAAATTTCTTTTTTAAATTGTCAGTGCAACAACCTATGTGTTATATTAATTTTATTGTTACAGAAGCCTGTGTAATGTGTGGAATGCGTGCTACACTGATGGCCACACAGAAAAGTGGTGGAGCGCCTATTAAACCCTGGCAAGTCTATTCTAAGTTACGTCTTATATGCAAACATTTAACACCTGGTCGTCAGGAGGATGCTCATGAGTTCCTTAGGTATGTTACTGTATATTATTATTATAAATGACATAGTCAATTAGTACAATTCATAATACTATAATTTTGTCATGATGAATGCATTTACGGAAGACAATATTATTTATAGATTTACTTTTCAATGTTGTGGATGTTATTAGTTGTATTGCTTGTTGCTTCGGTTGGCATTACTATCAGTGTATTTGATTAGAAAAGTAAAATATAATTTAGTGAGATTAGTTTGTATGATTATGATTAGTTTGTAATATCTAGTAATAATGTATGAATTTAATCTAGTACTATAATCTAATACTAGTTTAATTGTTGGTAGTATTAAACTAGTGACTATTTGTAACAAAACTATGATACTTTATAATGAAGAGAGATGATAATTCTCTATTTTTATAATTAAAAATAATTTATAATTGAACACTATAATATGGTAATGATACATGTGATGATTCCATGATTGTTTAATTATTATGAAATTTGTTTTGTTTTCAAAACATACTTTTTTTTTCAGATATTTGGTAGAAGCCATGGAGAAGTGCTATTTGTCAAGATTTGTGAATACTGAAAAGTTGGATCAATATAGTAAAGAAACAACGCCCTTGAATCAAATACTTGGAGGATATTTGCGCTCCACAGTTCGTTGCCTTGCATGTCAGCATCTTTCTACTACTTATCAGCACTTTCAGGTAAATTAAATGTTTATTATTTGTAAAAACTTTCTTATAGTAGTATTGTTTGAATATCAATAAATTCTATGAGTATTATAAAATTCACATTATGTAAATTTTCTAGACCAGTACATCATCATCTGCTTCTTCCCTATCCCATTTATTTGGGGTTGGCGTAATATGTTTTTCTCTTCCATTCATCCCTGTTCGCAGTCATCGCGTTATTTACTTCCTTTCTTACCATATCATCTTTCACACAGTCCATCCATCTCTTTTTCGGCCTTCCTCTGGCCTTATAACCATCCATATTCATATGTAACACCTTTCTTAAAATATTATCCTCGTTTCTACGCATTACATGTCAATACCATGATAGACGATTTCTAGACCAGTACATACAATAAAAAAATCATAAAAAGTGGATAACTGAAAAGAAAGCCTACATGGTAATAATATAATGATTACCTAGAATACATAGTCCAAATGAGTAGCATAATAAAGGCAGCCAGAAATTGAGAGGGTATGCCTACTTGTCACATGACCTCGTACATAGCAACTGCTTATAGTCCTGTTCTGATTGGTTGCAAGTTGAATTAATGAGAAAAATATTATGTATATCATAAAAGTTATGTGTGTCATATGACATAAATTGACATTGGTTTGGTACTATCCACACATTCAACTGTTTAACATTTAATATGTTTAAACAAGTAACTATTGGCAAAAGATAATAAGATAAAGGGACACACGGAAAACACTGGAGGAGGCCTTTATGTCTAAAAGACACATTGACTCAGAGACTGGTGTGCAGAATTACAAATAGCATATATAGATATATATATTTAATCGAATTAGCAGAAGTCCATTTCACTACTTATGGATTTATATTATTTTGTTTAATTCTGCTATAATTAACATGTGTGAGACTACAAATATACGGTGTAGAAACTTGACTAGCGTTACGACCTTCTCTAGTGGCGATCAAATTCCAACCGTTATTGAGTCTACACCCATACCTATTGCGACACGTGTTTCGTCTCTGAACGAGGCATCATCAGGCGTTGAATAGTGTTCGGGTACAGCTCGGAAGCCTAGTGTATGCTAATTGTAGCGGAATTAAACAAAATAATATAAATCCATCAAGTATAGATATATAATAATAATTTATTTATAAAATAGTAATAGATAATAATATTTATTGTGTCTTTTAAAGTAAATATTTATATTAGATTGTGTAATTATGTTTCAATTAATAAAGACTGAATTTGAATGCTTAGACAAGTATGTTTAATGTATGTAATGTTAATTTATTTTTCAGGATCTGCTCTTGGATATTAGAAAGCATTCAACATTAGACGAGGCTTTAGATTCTTTTTTTTCAAGAGAAAGACTTGAAGACCTAGGATATAAATGTGAATCATGTAATAAAAAGGTAATGGTTTGTGAGCACGAACAGGTTTAGAATTTCCTTGCTATTGAAATTTTCTAATATGTTTAAGATATAACTATTCATGATATGTACAACTACACAAACTAGTAGGTAATACTTAACGAAAATATTATAAAATTTTATGCACATATAAATATCGATATTTATTGATATTTGTTGATGTTTTAAAAAAAGTTTAAGGTATATTTACGACTGTTTATGACTGTGTACGTATTATGGCGCTTTTTAGTACCCATACTGCAGGGTACTAAAAAACCGCTATAATACGTACACAGTCATAAACAGTCGTAAATATACCTTAAACTTTTTTTTAAAACATCCTTAATTGAATATTTTTTCATGACAAATGCATTTACTAAAAACACTATTATTTATAGAAGATTTAGTTTTCAATGCTTGTGTATGTCTTTAGGTATCGGCTACAAAGCAATTCTTTATAGAGCGTGCTCCCATGGTCCTTTGTATTGCTCTGAAGAGATTCTCATTAGCCGGAGGCAAGCTATCCAAACATGTGCAATTCCGAAAGAAGATTACACTCAACAAATATATATATAATAAAAATATTCATCAACAATTGGTAAGCATGAAACCTAAATAAGCTATGACAATACAATCTACTGCACAAGAGTAAAATTCTGTCACATATATATGTATATTTTTATAATAAATTTATTCTTTTACAGTCATACAAATTAGTGAGTCTAGTAACACATCTTGGTCCATCGCAGAATTGTGGCCATTATACAGCTATAGGTCAAGCACCAAACAGTAATTACTATCAGTTTGATGATAGTAGTGTCCGACCATTACCACTATCAGCTGTGCTTGGTACAAATTCTTACATTATGTTCTTCGAAAAAGATAATATTGCTGATGACATGTCTGTTCCCACTGCATCAACTTCTAGTGCTGTATATGGCCCTCAGTTGCCGGAAAATATATCCAACAGAGAAAAGAGTCCTCTTAAGTTGACATTTTATAGAAATGATGAAAAGAAACCAATAACTCTAAATTCAAGTAACACTGAAGCATACAAATCTGAAAATAAACCTATAATATTAAATACTACACTAAGTAAGTCCTCTGATTCAGCCAATTCCAATTCTGAGCCCTGGGTTGTTAAACAGAATGGCGAAGTTGAAAAAGTGACACAGATTCCAAAAATATTGAATGGTAATGATAAGTCTATTTATAAAATAGAGGAAGATAAAAAAATAAGCTTTGTAATAAAAAGACAAAGCAGTGACGAGAGTCATATAAAATCGAAATTGTTAAAAAGTGACACTGATCATAGAACTTGTAATACTTTGAAGATTCCTGAAAAGTCTACATTAATAAATAAACTTACAAAACCACAAAAGTCACCCTTAGAAAAATTGGAAGAACAAATGAATAAGAGTGACTCGTCAAATCATATTCATAGAAATGGTAATTCAAATTCAAGACTAGTTCCTTATGATTCCGAATCTAGTGGAGATGAACGTACCGAAAGATTGATAGAAGATAGATTGAAAAAAGATGGTTCGAATCAGGAAGGCCATAAACCAAAGCCAAGTCGGTGTGACTCACCACAAAGTCTTATCGTCACTACAAAGGGCATGCATCATGCTTGGACTGTATCTAAAGAGAAGAGTGGCCCTCTGCTAAGTCCTAGTCTAAACGGTGTTACTAATAAAAAGTAAGTTTTAAAATATATGTAATATTATGTAATTTTGTGTGTTTATATGTTTTTTATATAAAATGGATTTATAAAAGATTTAAAAAGCAACAGTCATATTAGATTAACATATTGGCTACTGTTTATCCTAATAGACAATATTTTATTAAACTACTTCTTTAAACTAATTAATATAAATAAAATTCTATAAATATGTGTCACAATTGTTAAAAATTATTCTGCATACAATAATTTTTAACAAATTCAGCTAGCTGGCCCTCTTGCGGCGATTTTAGCTTGTTGAGTGGGCTTTAAAAACCCTTTACATATATGATTTGAAATAGGTAGGTGCCTAGGAAAATATACGTCGTTTATGTTACACCCTCATTAGGAGTAGCAGATAGTTTGGAATTTTATTTGTCATTCTATTTAATGTAAAGCGGACTTTTAAAATCCCTAGAATATGAATCCTTCATGACTATGATTACGGGAGAGACTAGGTGCTTTATATATATAATCATCACACACCATACAATGTTATTTTCTATTGCCCAGAGTCCAAGAGAAGGAAGAACGGCGTGCTGAGAGCGAAGAAAGTGTTAATACTAGTGTGAGTAGTATGTCGCCATTGAGCGACCGTAGCGAGCATGCGCCAGCCGTGGCGGCGGCGGGGCCTGCTGCGGGGACCGGGCCCGTGGCGGGGACGGGCTCCACGGCGGGGACGGGCCCCACGACGGGGACGGGCCCCACCGCGGGGACAGGACCCGCGGCAGGGACGGGGCCGGCTTCGGGCCAGGCGACACTGCTGCAGGGGGAGGCGGCTCGTCACCTTAACTCTTTTTCCCATCGCGGCTACGGGGCCCCTGTGACTTCATGGAATGGCACCCAAAGTGTGCTATCCCGACAGGTATGATTTCATTGTTTATTTATTTATTTTCGATACGGACAGTAAATATGTAGTTACTTTTAATGAACAATGGTGTCTTCCGAAGTGTGTTACTTATGACCAATTTTGTTACGTATCTAAAATCTCTTTATTATGCTCAATTGAAGGCTACAATGAATTGTAAAATAGTAAATTGTAATAGACTGTATGCTCTGTCTTCATTAGGTATTTGAAGAGAGGCGTGAGGAGCGGAAACGTGCTCTCGAAGCTACCGATGAAATGGATCGTGGTCGTAGTAAGAAAATGAAAAAGTTTCATCATTACAACCGATTCAATAACAACAGGAATGGATATAATCCTTTTCAGGTTTGCTTTTGTATTATTTAATCTTTATAATTCTATCACAGAATAGAATTGCTAGTATGGAAAATACGATACCTAATGTTCATTATAAATTTCTTAAGAATTTTAATATATGAAAAAAGAAGTTGCTTCTGTTCACCATCTTGAAAAATATGTAACAATACTAAATTTTATTTTATCTTGTTAAAACTGGATGTATTTTGTATGATTTATGTCATGTAAATGTATTGTTTTTTAGGAAAGACAGAATAGACCACATTGGGGAGGGAATTTCAAGCATCGTGCTGAACGACGCCCTCCACATCATTTTAATAAACATCACAGCAACAACAAATACAAGCAACGTTTCAGCAGGTATGTTTTGGATATTGGATTAAAAATTAATTAAGATTGGTTTTTAAAAGACAATTTTAAGAAAGATGAGGTTCTCAATTTGTTAGAATATATTTATTTAAGTTTCATTGTTTCTTTGATTGAAAATGTGCCTAATCACTATTATTACTTACATTTTAAACACGCCGAATTTATATTTCTATTTATTGTATATATATATAAACTGATTTTAAGCATCCACTGCCACCAACCATATTCTGTTAGCAAAATAACAGTGACGTATAAATAAAAAAATAAAGGATATCTGATAAACAAAATACAATAAGTGACCAAAATAAGTAATATAAAAAAACACATAAATTCATAAATTCTAACACTACGAAGATTGAACAGGAAACCAGTTCATTGGTAACGGGCTTGTCAAGTAAGCCTATAATTATAGTAATAAATGTTATATAGTATCTATGATCTTCGAAGCATTCCTCAGTCTTTGGACCCGTAATATCTAAGTGAATATTTAAGAAATAGTTGTATTGTTCAAATTTGGCCAATCAAATTAGATGAAACGTTAATGAACTAAACTAATTTGCAAGAATACAGTAGACTCGGTCCCTGCCACGATGAATGTAAATAAAGGTGCGAAATTTGGGCATCAACCGTGGAGTTCATTGTGCCGTGGACAAATGATAATGCCTCTTGATTTACCTCATCTGGGATAACAGATAAGGTATATTATTATTATTTGAAATAAACTTCCACTGGTTGATCTGTTATTTCATTCAATCGTTTTAAAAATTATGTTTCCTATCCTATTTCATATCGTCACTTTTAACAACTCCTTTACTCTTTTTTTTTCTAGATATAACAACGGTCACCACTACTCCAGACACCATTGACCCCGGTTGGTTGGTGTCTCCTTAAGTGTATATATAGATAGTATATTGGTTTAATGTTTAGTCAATCTATTGTAGTAAGCATGTTATGGTGAAAATATTTAGGATACTAGCTTATAAGATGTTTCTGACCTCCACATTACTGATTAGCAGAAAGCTCATAAATTAGTAGTGGGGATTCATAATATATTAACAAATTATGTAACATAGAACTTGATCGCCAGCCTTTATATGTGTAACTTGAGAATTCCGTGTAATGCATTATTTTTTAATTAAAGCTATACAAGTTCGCTCTGTATTATTGTTATAATAATAAAATATTATAAATTTGTATCAATAGTTAATATTATAATATAGAATATAAAAAGTTTATTAAATAGTATCAATTGTCTGCAGATAGAAAGGACACTTTAAAAGAACTCGTACGGCTCTGAATCTACTATTGCTTGCTAGTAGTTTTTCCTTTGGACGAATGACACGATACGTTGAAGTTAGACTAATTACTGACAGTGTTGTATATATTTTTTTTTTAAAAACATTCGATATTGAAGTGATCTGCTGATTTTTAAAACTTTGGAACGTAACGAATTACATATATGTATTAAATTATTTTGAACTGAAATTGTAATTCGTAGATAGTCAATGTCAAAATTATAATGGCCGATTAATGTTACGATATGTAATGATATATTGGTGTTTTGTATATGTGTATATTATCAGCTAAAAACTACAGAAACAATATGAAACTGAATAGTTACATTTTAATTAAGTGCCTATTTTCGTTTAAACATGTATGTTCTTAATTTTACCACTTATACAATTATTGTAATCGTGATTATTAAAAATTCATAGTTTCAGTTACTATGTTTTATAACTGTAATGAATATTATGATTGTTTTAGAAAGAAAAATGGTATAAATACTGTCCATTAGTATTTATACCATTTTTCTTTCCACAAAAATTATTATTATTACCATAAGATTTAATCATAATCCAATGGTGTATGTGTAGACTGATACAAACAGTAAGTACTAATGTTCTTTATCGAATAAACAAACTGAATGGTTGAAAGGGTGGCCGGGATTAAGACCGTCTTAGTGATAAATTAACGGCGTATTTTGTTTATGATATTTACAAATGTAATTTTGCCAGTATCGCGTATTTTAATTTGTATAAAAGGTAGAGTCGATTTTAACGACTTTGTTCAATACATAGAACGTTGTAATTTTATTAATTTCATATTCGAGAACTCCAGGATTTATTTATATGTTTGGTTGTAATTTAAGCAGTCCTACTTGAGCCCTTTGCACTTCTCATTCCGTTCTTTCAACATGTAGGGATGGAAAGGGTGCCGTATGGGAAGATGATCAGATCATGGTATTTCCCGGTAAACATAATCTTTTGAATTTCTTAGAATTCTGTAATTGCAACGGTTGTGTTCGCTCCGTTGGAGCAGCACTCATGGAGCATATCTTTAATTTTCTGTCAGCGGACTTTAGGTAGGATTTAAACTTGAGGCAGCGTCCTTGAGAGGTCCTGAAGCAAGATCTAGACCGGATACAATTCTTGCCTAAACAATGACACTGGCACTTATTTTTCATATACTTGTTTGTTAATTGTTATCCTTTTGTGTATTTTGTGTGACAAGGGGCAAATCTACATTTTAGTTAACATTGTAAATGGAAATAAAGCTAGTCTTTGCACTGCTGTGTTTGTTGAAAAATAATTTTAGAGTGTAAAATTATAAAACGTCACATTAGAGGGAGTCTCAGATATGTGGCCAGATGTGACAAAGACGCAGGGGTCAAATATTAACTTGATATGACGTAATATATAGGTGACTTTACCTTTAGTAGTTTCAATTACAATACTTATGAATGTATTTAGAGATATGCAGAGTCAAATGATTAATATTAGTAAAAGTCGCGCATCGCTAATTCACAGACCTCGGATTTAAATACCGATGAACTAGTGATCTCATTTACTACGCAAACTCAAAGTATTTGTATTTATTTTTATTGAGGACTGTTCTCATCGACTTTCAAATTCTAATGGCATTTATTTTTTTCTAGTTTGATGCAAAGGAAGTACCTATTTCAAGAATATTATTTTGATAAAATAAATTAGTAGATAATACAGGACTTTTTGAAATTTTCGTACCTAACCTATAGATATAACAATAATAATTTATATCGGTTCTTGATATAATATTGAAAGTTCAAAATATTACGATAGTATAAAACGAAATAAAGAGTATATAATGGATAATATTGCTACATTCATGTACTATGCAATAATTTACTACCGTTCTGGAATGCAACATTATTACCTATTGCATTTAACTTTATTTTCAAGAATGCTGGTTACGATAAGTATAGACATTTTATTGTAATAGTGTGTTTGTAAATACTTAGAATATTTGATAATGAATTAAAGCAAAGGATTTATCTAAATATCTGTATTTTTTATAGAATGTCAACTTTCCCTTTCTTAAATATCATTATAGTCATAAATAATTTAGTTGTTATATAGTATTTAATTATTATGAACTTGCAATATACAATGTATGTAGTGGATTATTATAGCACATTTATATTTTGTGTTTACAATAATTATTACTACATTTTTCAAATTGTTATTCTTAGTATAGAAAGGTATCCAAACACCGTAGGTGGTATCGTAAAAGAAACGTCGTACTATAAATGCGTCCTTGAATGGCGAGATCTTTTTATGTCAATTTTCTGATAAAAAATTAATAGCAATTTAGGTGATTTTGAAAAAAGTTGTCCACTATTAAGTTCATATAGTAGGATTTTCAATTAAATAACAACTAATACAAAATTAGTAAAGTTTTTATTTACAATAGAGTACACAGGTAATAAATTTAACCTAAGTATATTTAAAAACGAGCATATAATATTGCTTCCGCTTTATTTTATTTTACCGCTACATCTTCCTTTGATACAGTAAGAAAATCCCCTCTGATCGATACCCCGTCCAATTCAAACGGGGATCGAAATGTCTGAGCCGAGGTTCGAACCCCTAACGGTGCTCTCAGACTAAAGTCGTATCTGTCAGGCGGGAGTTGGCCTTCAGCCGCTCTATAAGTCCTTCCACGGGTTTGGAGTGCTATCTGCACTCGCCCCCTACCGTCCGGTGAAGCTGTAAAGGCCAGCTGCGGTCAATAGCATTAGAGTAGTCCGAAAAAAAAAATAGGTAAGTAAATATAAACCTAAATAACAAGTCAAGGACAAATTGAAATAACACATCTAGGATCTCCAACAAATAATGTAATGAGGACTTTTTTCATTCATAGTAGCATTAGTGGATTCTCAATGGTGAGCAGGAGTGACGTCTGTACATTAGGTCGACATCGAGATGATAATGATGATGAATTGTATGTATTGGAGAAAATGTATTTTTCTAATTCCCAAGGTAACAGTGCTGGTCTAAGGCAAGTAAAGCATCTGTCTAAGCATACTACAATACCATTTTTTTTAGATGTCATTCAATTACAATGGAATATTTGCATTTTTAAGGATATTTGATTGTAAAAAAAACATTAAACAGGTTATAACTCGTAGTCTTTTAAATAAATGTAAGCAGAGACTACATGTATTTTACGGAGTTAAAATTTTTTTTTTGGTGTAACTGAAGTATGGGATAAGTAGCACCTATAGACATTTACATTAGCAATAGATATATAGATACATCAGTACTGAATAAATATTACTTATTTTACATTTACTTCTTTTAACTTGTTTAAATGCACTGACTTGCATTTATACGTTAATTTACGTGTCATATTAAATTACGTATCTATGTACTTAGAACAGTAATAAGTTCCCAAATATTGGTCAGTCAGACATGTTCATCGTTTTGAACGAGTCGTAGGTTTCTCTTCTGTTACGTATTTTAGCACCTGTTCATTAGCTATATGACCGACCGATTGGCACATTTCATTCGGAAGCGCCCTATACATTTTCCTGCGCTGTGCATCTTCCACTAAAGTTCGCCATTGGTAATTTTTCTGGAAATAGTAAAATTTATTTATTTTTGATTCGGATTACATCCATATTGTCTTAGTAAACAACTTATAAATTATGTTAGTAAATTACAATATATATAGATATACTCTCAGTTCACATAACTGAATGTATATAATGAAATCTTAAATTGAATAATTAATTTCGTTTATATTTATGCTTTAACTATAAATATTTTACAAGGTAACATTTAGCATGGTTATGTTTTGCTGAGAATAATTTAGTTCATCATTATAAAGGCAACAAACTAAATTAACTGACGTCGATATGGTTGACGTCAGACAACTTGTAATTTGTTATCTTTACTTTACTTAATTTACTGTCATCGAATGGTTTATAAAAATAAAAATATATCTCGCAAACTTTGGGGTCTAAGTGACCTATATATATACTTGCTACACAACTACATCCAATTTATCACGATAATTTTTAAAGAGATCGCATAGAGGTTAACCTAAGGCTTATAGTTTAATAATGATTAAACTATAAGCCTCAGTTTAATGTTAACTTACATTACTATCAATGTAATGACATTGATAGTAATGTAAGTTAACATTATAATATTGTGGAGAATAATTTCCGTTACTGCTGAAAATCTCGAAGTTTAACAACATAACTCACCTATTTTTGTGAGAATAGTATGGCCCTATTTATGTCTTATTTATACACAACTCATTCAGACCTTAATGCAAGCTACAACCATTCTGTAGATTGTGCCGTCTGTGTGCGCTGATAAAGATTTTGACAAATAGATCCCTTCCCAGTCACTAATTATTACATTTTTGTTTAGTTTTTGTGGGATATTTGGAAACGCAATCTAATCTAAATGATTAAAAAAGAAAACATTTGTGTTGTATAGGAAAATGCGTACCAGCACAGCGTGCGGGTTGAGGCAGACAAGAAGCGCATGGCGGGCTCGTGTGAGCATGACGTTCATGCGGCCCGCGTCGGCCAGGAACCCGAGCCCGTGGCTGCGCGCCAGCGACACCACCACCACGTCGCGCTCCTGGCCTTGGAAGCTGTCCACCGTGTTCACCTCCACGTGAGGCTCAGATCTGCAATATCATATCCATACAACTTAATACACATCCATTAAGGATCATGCAGATGGCTCGAGATGAGCCGCTCGTTTCATAACTATCTGGAAGTTGAAGTAGGTGCATCAACTTTTGGTTTTACACAATTTACAGTTTCATCTAATCTCAAAGAACTCTTATGGGATACTTAAATACATATATAATAATATACATAGAAAACTACCTGACTTACACAAAAAGACATACGCAATAAATTAATGATATATGAATCCTGAATACAAATGTTTTCAGTGAGTATAAACATAGCATTCATCGGAAGTGGAAGTAAGATGTTATGCTACACCCTTAAACCTGTAATAAAAAAAGATATACATTTTCATCATATTTTTTTAATTGATGATGCATTTGTTATTAAATATTGAAATAATACTTACGAATTCTGTAATATTCGAATATTTTTCTTGATGAGATCCTTATGAGCATTGTATGGCGTGATGACTGCCAAGCTTAAATTTAATCCGCGTAGTAGAGAGTTCAAAGCGACTACTAGTCTCGAAACGGCCCATGCTTCCATTTCATTTGCTCCGGAAGCACCTGCATGAAAAATTAAATATATTATGTAATGCAATTAAGTGGTGTCGTTAGCATCATAGCATGGTATTTCGAAAATAATACGACTGAATAAAACGAGTGTAGGCGTAATGAATATAGTAATGGTAGGCGATAGCACTTTTTTTAGGGCACCAGTAACACCAGGGGAATTGCGTTGCCGGCCTTTTAAGAAGGAATAAGTTCTTGAAGGTTTCATATATCGTATCGGTTCGGAAACACCATCACTGGAAGGTGATTTCACGTGCGTGGTAATAGTAGGCGAGTCACAGCGCGAGTAATTGAGTCTGTGGCCTGCGTCCCCACCAACATGCTGCCCACCTTCACGAAGGATTACTAGCCGAAGGGGGTGACGTATCGACGCTACCGTGGCAGATTGCCGTCGTGAGCAGAGTCAGTTTCAATATATAATATTAATTCATATGTAGTTAGTCTAAGGTATTTATAATATGGCATAGTAACCTGAAAAAATCTTATATATGAAATTCTTGTGACACAATGTTAGTTACCATATCCTTCCAAAACGGTTGGACTGATTTTTTTAAATTTTAGTAGGTCTAACCGGGTATTATCATCTATTTTTCTTACCCCTACTCTTAAGTGATAAGGGTTGTCCAGCCCTAACATTTTTTTTTTACTTTTTGCACAATATTTAATTTTTTTATAATTATTATATATAACAAGCATTAAAAAAATACATGCAACCATAAATTGTCATCGTTCTATTACCAACCCCTATTTTTTAATAGCGATATTAGTACTTAAATTTATATACAAAACAACGTTTGTCGGGACTTCTAGAAAAGAAATAAAAAAGTATCCACATGATCAGCGGGCGTATTACGAACTCTTATCTGTATAAGCATGTACGCATGTACGCATGTGAAACACGTACGTACAACATTAATTTGAAAAGAATACATTCTAAGAATAAGAAGATAAGAATTCTTATCATCTCGAAATCATTTCGAACCGACGGTAGATTTGATATATTATAAGAGTCTGTAATAGACCTACACGAATAAAGATATTTTGATTTTTTTTTATTCTCAGGCAGCAGTATGCGGCTTAATCTGAACCGCCGAACGCAACTAGCCAGCCGGTCAGCGGTCGCGTGCCCGGAGACCGACGGCTGTTTCGCGGCATGAGCGCAGGCCGGGTCGTTCACCTTGTCCCTTGTCCCCGCTGGCGACGGCGAGCACGGCGTACGGCGGCAGCGGCAGCGGCGGGCGCGGCGGCGGCGCCGAGTGCACGCGGCCGGCGTAGAAGGCGCGGTTGGGGTAGTCGGCGATGTGCGCGTGCATGCGGTACTGCCGCCGCAGCAGCAGCGCCGGCCCGCGCTCGCCTCGCTCGCCGCCCGCGCACGACGACAGCCGCGAGAACAGGCTCTCGCCGAGCCCGTGCTGTTTCGCACGCTGCGACCGTCCGCATACACAGTTAGTCGGAAAGGGTATACTGAGAGTACCAAACGTACATCTATATCGTAATCACAAACTTTCGGTATACTAGGCCGCAACCGCTGTAATATTACTAACTAGCTGTGCCCGCGACTTCGTCCGCGTGAAATAGTAACCTTGACCAAAAAAAGAAAAAATATTCAATATTCTTACCAAAAAATATTAAGAATTAAAAGTTTCGTCTTTCTATCTTCAAAAATGATAAATATCCATACTTTTCATCCTCTAAATCATAATTAACTGACAGACAGAGTTTATGCTCACCATATCACCTCCTCTGGTGCCCCACCAGTGTATATAATTAGAGCAGTTCGAGCACCATATCATTATATCCCATTAAAAAAATTTGAGACGCTGAGACTTTATCACGATAGGGAACTGCGTAGAGGCACCCTGACATTCCACGTTGCTAGCAATGCGATCGTTAGTCCGAATAACTACATACAATATTACTAACTAAAATACATTACTAACAATCCTTTTCCTACGCGTATATCGCTTTATTCTTTCTGTGGAGTAGCGTACCTGTGAGCATATAAAGCCGGGCAGCTGCTGTGGGTCGCCGATGAGCGTGAGGCGCGTGACGTCAAGCGTGAGCGGGATCAATGCCTCCGGTTCGATGGCCTGCCCCGCTTCGTCCACTATACACAATGCGATCCGATTCTTCAGCCTGATTACAAACGATATATATTAATTATTAGATGTATTTCAGCTATTAGGGAGAGAAATGGCAGTAAAATTATCGTATAAGTGGCATGATAACTTTATCCTCCGGAATAGCAGCGCAGCAAAGTGATATCTAAAGTGTATACAGTCATATCGTTTATCAGTCCAACTGTTGTACGTAAATAAAAGATGTTAGAGATAAAACTTTAGTTGTTGACATTTCTTACAGATAGTGGTGTAATTGACCATCTGAGCGTGGCCTTGTGGGATGAGATTTATTTTTTCAGTAACATATGGAATACATTTTGGATTCTGCCTGTGCTTACTGCGTCTCAAACTACGAGCACTTTTGCTCGGTCCGGGGACCGTATTTTGACCGCTCCGTCAGTCGTTATGCCACCGGTGTCATAACAACAGACCGGCAGAGCCAGTGGAGGCGGGCATTGTAAATGTAAATAGTATGAGGCGTGTGTCGACGGACCCCTTCATCTTGTGGAGGTGCGCGGCGGCGAGCGTGGCGACGACGATGTCAGCTCCCTGCACGATGCGGCGCTCGGCCTGCGCCACCTGCTCGGGACGCACCTCGGGGCCGCCGCCCGCGCGCATCTGAACACACACACAACCTGTTACTAGTGTTGCCAACCCCAAAACAACTGCTCGCCAATAAAAAAACAGTAGGTAAAGTACCTTTCCTCGCATAATTAAAACAATTACTTGGTTACCAGGACTCGCATATACGAGTACGCTTTGTGTGATCGTGAATTATAAAAAGTGACGTTTTCTAGAGAGAGAGAGAGAGAGAGACAGAGAGAGACAGTAGTATACAAACATTCAACTGTAGTGCGGTGTCAGGACTCCTTTGACGTCTACACAAAAACGTTTGGTTTATACCTTATGTTAGAAACAATAGTTTGTTCATAAGCTAACAGATAATATATTTCTTCAGATTATATTTGTTAAAAGCGAAAGTGACATAGTAAAAAATTATGTTAATATTTCAATATTATTCCAATTTATGACCCACTTATTTATTTCATTCTATTATCATGTACAGGAGCACACCCAAAATATAAAGTACCGTTTAAGTAAACTGTTGAAGGCTAAAGCTCTATGGTAGACTAACCAGTGTTATCCTTTTGACGAGGTCGGTCATACGACCCTGACAGTACGCAACTCGTACTGGGTCCTTTGCGTCTTGGGCTGCCGTTTTCCACATGTTCAGTTTGGCTTCTAGTCGAGAAATCTATAAAAATATATATATGAGTTATGATATCACTGAAGATAAATTTGGTTGGAGATACCTTAAGACTTATTGTTATATGATAGAAAAGCGATGTTATGAGTCAAATCAAATTGGACGTTATCATAGTATATTAGTATAGGTTTTCTAGCCGACTTTGAGTAGAAGTATTTCTCATATATAAATAATAAAATATGAACAATTAATACTAGATATAACACTGTCACAACTGTATTTCCGGATGAAATATTGAGAGTCATCACTAGTTATATTTCGTTTAACTTTTAGTGTCTGTCAATTAAAAGAGGAAATCTTTTTATTTTCGAACTTTTCTAATGCTGTTGGCCTTTACGGACTTATAGGCGGCGTGTGTAGACGGCACTCCAAACGGTTGGACCTATGGAGCGGCAGAAGGCTAACTCCTGCTTGACGGATACCGCACAGGGTTCGAACCTCGGCTTAGGCCATTGTAATTTCTATTCCCATTAAAATTGGGCGGTGGATCGCTCGGTGGGTGACTATGAAAACGGTATAATAGTGGCAAAAGCGGCTGATATCGAAATCGGAGTTTCGAGCAAAGTAGTATGGTACAGATAAATATTATTACTCTAAGGCCTCCGCCGAAAATCAGCGCTGTAGCTTTGGCTACAATAGCTGACCGGAGATAATTTTAGCAAATATTTTAAAGCAGCATATTGGTTTTTTAATTTATGTCGGTGTGGATATGTCTATGTAAGTGTGTGCATGTATGGTATACATGCTGCCAATTTAATGTAATGTATTTATTTGAGTAAAGTTTAATACACGAATAATATAAAAATGTCCATATGGCGAACTCAACACCTAAGGGCTACCAGTCAACCGTAAGGCAAAATTGAGAAATTAGTAACCGGCGCATTATAGTTACAAACATACATGTATCGTATGTGTAGTACACATGAATGTGAATACTTTTTGGCAAATGAATGTGTATAATGATAATATCGGAGCACCTCCTCCGCGAGCCCGAGGCGCGCGGGCTGCAGGGCGGCGGCGTCGGCCTGCAGGCGCGCGTCGCGGGCGGCCAGCTGCTGCGAGCTGACGTCACGCGCGCGCGCAGACATCGCCTCCACGCGCCCCACGCGCACCATGCGGAACCGCTCCTCTGCAACCGATGCATCCGACGATCTCAAATACTATTTTTTTATTTGGGGCTTTGGGCTATCGTTATGCGCTTGGACCTGTAGCATTGCGACCTACGTAGATCTGTTGTGCTCGCCCTTTTTCGGAGTTCGCTCCCTAGGTCAGGTAGTGACCAGAATTGAAGGATATATTTATGAGCGATTATTTATATCACTTCAGGATAATGTGTAAACTTCCCAAAGGAGATATTACGTTTATGCATAAGTGGCCTACAACTTCCGATGTGTAGTGGCGTTTACTCTTCAGTTACTGATGTTATGTACGCTTATTTGTTATCTAAGTATTCTTATATCTTTGATATAACGAATCGAAGACAGAACCACAGATCCACGTCTTTACAACCTCTTGCAAATCGCGATCCGTGTGCGCTTGGCGCGAGACGATAGGTTAATAAATTGCTCGTATTACATACACTACACTACATTTTGCTAACCGCTTCACAAAGACTTCAATGTACTAGTGATATTCGACCATGATTAATTTAAATTATAAGTTTGATGATCATTAAGATTCTAATTCAGATTAATAAAACACTGGGGTGTGGCTACCGTCGTATCTGCCGTAGCAATTCTACGGGGCCACCGGGTTACGGGGACCCCCAGCTTTAACCAAAAATTAACTACCCATAATCATAATTAATAATTATAAAGTATGCTGGTTAACTTTGTATACTGTGCGGAAAAAATGTGGTATATTAATAAGTGATGTAAATACAATAGTCCGCAGAATTGCCAGCAACATAAAATAAATATTATTCCTTACCTTTTGGTAAATTTTGTCTGATATTTAATAATCTAATGACTAGTTCATCCACCGCGGCATTGCTTGTCGCGCAAATTAATATCTTCCCCCGGTTTTGTTGTTTCTTCCCGTGTTCATTATAAAAATATGTCATGACGATAGCACAAATCACGCTGGATTTCCCTGTAAAATACACAACCTTTGGATGACCGCAAATGTATGCATGTATGCTATTTATTTACTGTAGCATCGACTTACATATATTACTCTGGCTAAATCTGAACAAACTCGATCAAACAAACTGTGCCCAATCTCACCCGAACCCGCTTATAGTCAGTATGGTTAATTATGCACCGAGGAGATATATCAGACATGCGCGACATCGCCGCCCGACGCAATTTCTTATTGATGACCGAAGCCCCATAACGGTAGTTAATCTCCCTACGGGTCCACCTGTTCCAATAATGCTTTGACACATACACACGACACCGTCCTCGCCGGCTCGGCGAAGACGACGAGCTTAACCAAACCATTCCGCTCAATCAACCGGGCGCATGCGCGTCCGGGTGATCCATATCGGTGCCCCCGGTCGCCCCTCTGATCGACCCCCCGGCAAATTTAAATGAGGATCGAAATTATGACACCTGAGCCGAGGTTCGAACTCCTAGCAGTGCCCTCAGACTAAAGTCGTATCCACCAAGTCCATTGCGGGTTTGGAGTGCCATCTGCACTCACTCCTTATCGTCCGGTGAAGCTGTAAACGCCAGTTGCGACCAACAGCATTAGAGTAGTAAAATAAAACAACTTAAATATTGATCGACCCCAAAATATTTCCTCATTATCAATTGAATCTCTAGGATGGATATACCTTATCTATTATGTAGCAAAACCAGACGAATTTGCAGGAAACTAATATTTTGTTATGAACAATAGTTATCTAGATTTATAACAGCCACATTATGTCATATAACATATGCTTATGCGGACGACATCGCTCTAATAAGCAAAACCACCACTGGCCTCCAAGAATCATTAAATGGATAGAAAAAATTGAAAAGCATGGACTACGCATCAGCCGCAGTAAGACAGAATATATGGCGTGCAATTATGGGGCGACAGCGGACGAAGGAATTGATGTGTGCATAGACGGTACAACATTGCCTAAAGTAGACAGTTTTAAATACCTCGGGTCCGTCATTACACTTGATGCCGATGTGGATAAAGATGTCAATCATCGAATAAACACTGCTTGGCTCAAATGGCGGTCACTGTCAGGTGTTCTGTGCGATCCCAAAGTGCCCGAAGATCAAGGGGAAAGTATATAAGACAGTGGTCCGACCAGCCTTAACATACGGAGCAGAATGTTGGACTATAAAAAAAGTCCACGAACAACAACTGCACACGAATGAGATGAAAATGCTGAGATGGTCTGGTGGTGTGACACGCCTAGATAAAGTCCGCAACGAGTACATTTGAGGTTCCTTCAGAGTGGCCTCTATTGTGGAGAAAGTAAGAGAAAGTCGCTTACGCTGGTATGACCATATTCAAAGACGCGAAGACGACTACGTGGTTAAAAAAGTGCTCAAGATACCAAACTCGACCAGAGGTAGGGGCTGGCCACGCGCATCTTGGTGGAATAATATTAAGAAACAGATGGACCAGGACAACCTTAATATACAGAAAACCCAGAACTGAGTTCTCTGTTCACAAAGAACAAGACATATGTCATATAAGGTACGTATATTTCTTGTACAAGTTTAATCTTATTATTGTTATCATACTTTAACTATTTTTGCCGAATATCTTAGTCCTCATATAGTAAATCAACTACCCACACGCCCTACGCGATGTGAGTATATCTAATGTTTAGTATGTATCCCTTTCAGACTTGATATTGTGGTGGCTTACAATTTCAAAGTATAGGAAAATTCAAGTATTTTTTATGCATTAAGTTTATGTATTAAATGTAATAACTTTAAGACATATGTTTTCAAAGAACATATGGCGGACTTAACACCATGCGGCATTGTCTACTAGTTAACTATGGGTGGTGCAGAGAATAAATTATTGGCAGAGCAAATATAAAAGATATAATGGACAATACAAATATGTATAAATAAATATATATATATAATCCCATGTACAGCCACAAATTGTAGTAAAAAAATATAACAAGAAAAAGAAGAAAAATAAAGGTTACATGCAGATTCTAGGGAGCTCCGTAATCGAAACTATCGGATATCCGATATAAAAAAATATTCGTAACCGTAACCGAATCCGAAATATAAGTTTTGGATAATATCGAATAGGCGGCGGCGAATAGGGCGGAGCCTAATTGAGACACGTTATGTAACCATTTTATTAGCTAATTGTATTTTACTTTTGAAATTCCTTAAAAAAATAATATCCGTAACCGAAATTATCCGAAACTAACGGATAATCCAAAATAATTTCATATCCGCATCCGTATCCGGTATAATAATCATTCCTATATCCGAAACCTATCCGTATCCGAAAGTTCATATCCATAACATCCCTGGTTACATGTTCAGATAATGTTCCCGTAACTTACATTTAAAGGAAAATCTACTCGTGGCGGCTTTGAAATGAAGGGGTAAGTCGTACCAAAGTTTAATTGCCTGAATGGCGAAAGAATAATAGATGAATTGGACAAATGAAACGGGATATGAAATAATAATTTGGGAATGAAATTTAGTGCCAATGTATTCAGGAGAGTTAGAAGCGTACAGAATAGAATAGGCATTAGCTATTTAAGGTGTGAATGAAAAGAAACTGACGTAAATTAAAAATGAAGCCGATACCATTATTGAGAAGACGATTCAATTTATTTAGGTCTACATTAGCATAGTCAATGGAAGGGAGCACTAAGGAGAACCTATGTAAGTTTGGCATGTAATCCCCTTTTTAAGTAACAATAGGGCTAAGTACCTGTGGGCGACCCAGTTTCGTTTTAATAGTTTTAACTCATATCATAAAAAGGTAGGAAGTTTGTTACTATTGCTTCTAATTACAACAGAAGGCATTACCTGTGCCCGGCGGTCCCTGTATCATTTGTATGCAGGGTCGATCGCCTAACGCTGCAGATACGGATGAACTAACTGCCTCTTGCTGACTCTCATTCAGAGTCATTGTCCACTGCAAATGTTTACTTACTTATAACATTGTATATGTCATTACAAATTAGTTTATAGAACAATTACACCTAGCCCAAATACTTGAGGTATAGGATATAGAAGGAGGAGTATATAATATAAGAATAGATAGATATAATATGCATGTTCTTATAATTTAGAATCTTTTTTAATATAAAAAATGATATAGAATAAAATGTATACCTGTGACTTTAGAGTGCTCTCTGGATTAAAGACAGGAATTTTAAAATGATGTGGCGCAGGTCTTAAAATAATCTCACTTAGAGGAGAACCTGCTAAGTAAGCCATAGCTTCAAACAAATTAAGTTCATTTCTGATATATGTCAGACTGAACCCAGTCATTAATTCACCACATTTTAATAGTTTCATCTTCTCCGTGTATGTTGTATGTAAAGATATGTTGTAAAATGAATGTTTGTTACCTAAAATAGTGAACAAAATTCATTAAGTTTATGTTAAACATAACTGATAATAGTCTTGTCATAATATTAAAAAACACTTACTTGGCGGCGAAGGATTAGTTCTGATATTATGCACAAAGAAAAACCTACGGCTTACGTTTTTTTCTGATCCAAAAGAAATAAGCATGATTTCACCAACTCTGGGTAAAAAATGTTTTATTTCCGATGTTGGTAATGATACTGGAATAGACAGAGTAAGTAATGAGAACTTGATGGAAAGAAAAATATATTATAATAATATAACGTAAAATGAACAACTTACTGTCTACACTGATATTAAATATATCGAAACTTCTTTCTTGTGTAGGCACAGGTGGTAAAGAAGCTATTCTCATTTGCAATCCGTTAGTTTGATTGCGTATTTTCATATATGCCAAAGTTAGACATTCCCAAATTTCCATAAGAAGCAAATCACCAACCATTCTGAAAATAATTAAACTTTGTGTATAAATGATTCAAAATAACATTATTATTTCAGTATATATAAACAATTTCTATAGAAGACTAGGAAGCCATTTAATATTGTCTTTTATATTTACAATATAATAATTATATTTTATAGTCTACTTACTGAACATACTGTTCATGGTTATTAAAGCATTGAAAAAGGGCAGTTGGTGGGTTATTGTGCCCTAATATTGGTGGTGGGTCATTGTTGTTAATCTGTTCTTCCAACCACTGAGGATTCCATCTGAGGATTTTCATTAATGTAATTTTTTCTTTGGAAAATATGGGCAGCTGCTGCACATCAACTAGACTAGTTTTTACTAAACTAGTTTTCTGCATCCTATTACCTAGTTCAATCTGAAACTCTCGGATTTCAGGTGGAGCTTCAGAGAATCGGACAGATTTTTTAGGTTTCTTAGGTGGCAGTGGCTCCACTTTAGAAAATGGTTTGCCTGAGAATGAGTCTTCACTTTCTGTTAATGGTTTTAAACTTTTGAGGGGTACCCTCGATTCTATTGTAGATTGTAAACTAGGTATTTTATTATCTTTTGATCTGTGCTTTGAGCTAACATGTTTGTCTTTATGGCTAGATGTCTTCTGTTGTTCTTTGTTTACTAGTTTAGGTTGTTCCTTCTTATTCTCAATATCATCACTAGGTTTAGGTGACTTGTCTTCACATAACAATTCAGATGTCATTCCACTGGTCTTCTGTGTATCTTTTTTATTTTCTTGAGAGCTTACTCTTTGCTTCATGGGTTTAACAACTCCTTGCGACACATCAGATAAAAAGGCACCTCGATTAGTGGACGTTACTTTTATGACTACAGATTTACTAGCATTATTATTAGGAGTTATTGTTGGGTTCAGTTCATTTTCTTCTTTTTCTTTATTAGCAATTTCTTTGAGTTTCTTTTTACGTTCTTCTTTTTGTGAGTTACTGATATGTCTTTTAAATGAATGTTTCTTTTTTTCGTTCTTGTATGTTTTAGATTTTTCTGTTTGGATATTAAAACAATAGATAAGTTTTGTTCTGTTAAAAGCCCATATTTAAAAAGATAATAGTTTACAATAAAAAAAAAAATGTGTACCATATACAAATCAACAACAACAAAAGGGTAGTCTGAATTATTTTTAAACATAAATTACAAATTGTTTCTTTTCATTAATAATTGTCATTTTTTAATTTAAAATAATTTTAGACATAGTTTATTATAAGCATAACAAAGCATAATATAGTAACACATATTTCACTAGTTTTGATTATATTTTAAGTTTATTAAATATAAAAGTTTTGTTTCAACTATTCCAAAGTTGCTCTCTATTATATTAAAGCTGACTAGAAGAAATACTTCTCCTTACAAGACTTAAGAATTTTGTTTTTTTACATAAGTTATTGCTATGTGTTATTATATGTTTGTAACATACAAGAAATTCTTAATTAAAACATGTTTAAAAAATTTCAACTTACTTTCTTGTGATATATTATTTGTTTTCCGTTTTGGTAGATGTGGAATTGGTGTTATCAACTGTATTTTCTTTAATCCATCGGTTTGCAAATCTTTTTTATTATGTAATTTTTCATGACTGTTAGGGGAAACACCATCAACATAGTCTTTATTTGATGAAGAATTTTCTGTTACATTCTGGTTAAATGATATTATATCCTCCATATATTCCTCACTAACAGAGATTTTATTTGTAACAATATTAGTTTGTGGCAATCTGATCTGTTCATCAGGTGGTTGAGGAGGTATTGATATTAAGTCATCAATGAAATCTTCATCATTATTTGAAAAAGTATTATTCAATACATTATTACTAATTTCATCATCAATTTGACTGTATGAACTATCTTCTTTATGTGTTTCTTTGGCTCTTTCATTCTTCAGTTTCATAAATGGTTTTCCTGGTGAACTCTGTGAAAGTCGTAAATACCAATGTTCTGATTCACTATCACTGTCACTGTCGATTTGAATTGGTTCATCATCATCATCATCTCTAAAATATTCTTGTTTAACATCAAAAGCCTCAAACTGCAAATATTCATTTTCAGGTTTTGTAGTGACATCTTTTGAATCTTTTTCATGTATGGTTTCTAATTTGATTTTTTTCATATTGATTGCTTTTGGTTGCATTTCATTTTCACTATCTGACAACAGATCTATGATTCCATCAGTCTTATTAGAAATGTCAGGTGCTTTGGCTTCGTTGACTTCTTGTTTGATACAGACTTGAGGTAAATCTATGCTGATTTTTCTTTTTAAAGTGTGTTTCCCAGCAATACCAGATGAGTTAAGAGTCACCATAACACCATTACTTTCTAATGCAGCAATTTTGTTTTCAATTTCGTCAATTTCATTATCACTTTGAAATGTTATCCTATCTATTAAAGGTGTAGGTACTACATATTGAGTTAACTTAAAAATATATTTTTCACTGTTTTTTATATTTTCATGAGTCGCATTTTCAGCTAACCCAAATCCTATTACATCAGAACATTTTACTGTATATGGTATATTAGGAGCAATTTTCTTTATTCCAATATATATGCCATTAGAGCTCTGCAAAAAGTAATACATGTAATAAAAAAAATTAATAAGCGTTTACAATATATTTATCTCTATATATCAGACACACAATTAAACACTCTGAGATAATAATTGCAATAAGTAAGTTTAATTAGAGAGAATTATCATTTATTCAAAATATTTTAATGTAATTACATTCTATGGATTACAAAACTATTGTTGAAATATTATTAATATAGTGGTGTTTAGCTTTGAGATGAGAGCAAAATTTCAAACTTGGCTCTCATCTCAAAGCTAATTCGCAGAATTGCACACAACTCCAAGATGCGAAGAGCAAGTTGTTATGTGCAGCATTAACAGTTTTTCCCAGGAGCTCTTTTTTCAATAGTGGTGACACATGAATAACCTTACGAAGGTTATAACAACCTCCTTGTGCCAGTACACACCTTTATACCCATTGTATCCAAATACATTGTGTCTTATGAATATTAATCCTTATAATGCTTATTATTTGATAACTATTGGAATTAATGTGGTTAGTTTAGAATTAGTTACTTACTTGCTTTAAATTATTCATAACAATATCTATACAACAAACCAATCTTTATATAATAATTATTATATGTGTTATGTGATCAACATTTACTATGAATATTTACAATGTTCATCCTCATAGGTAAAAAGTTAATAATGTAAAAGTTATTTCTTGCAATTTGTTGAAAAATAACACCTAATACAATATTTATGTCTTTATCATATTTAATTTGAATGGTTCAATAGTATTGTGTGAGAAATAATAATTGTAGATTCATCCACATAAACTATTGTTTAACATAATTATAATATGAGCTATATTAATTAAATAATAAACAAATATTATTGTTACATTTAAATAATACTAATAAAAAATAGAATAACTATTTAGATAAATTTTATTTTTTCACTATTATTTAATACTTGAAAACAGCAGCTGTGGTGTTTGTGGGAACTTTGCAGAATCTGAATAAATATCATAAACAGACTAACTATTCATTGGTTTAGTTTAGTTTAATTTTATGGCACTTATTGCTTACAGGTTCATTAAATCACACATGGTGCGGAATTATCTACAATAACATTATAAATGCAAAAGTATGCATATCTGTCTGTTTCTTATCTTTTCGTGACTAAATTACTGAATGTAATTTTATATGAAGATAGTGTGTCAAGAGTACATAGGGCATTTTTTAAGTAAAAAAGCAGAAACAGTGTGACCCGTAACAGTTCGTTTATAATAAGACACATTTTTAGTGTGTCATAATGTTTTTTGAACAAATTACTGTGTGTAATAATACGGATGAAACTTGGTCTCCCAATATTATCACCAGCTACTGGTGGTAATGTAGTTAAAAACAAAGTATACCTTCAAGTCAGTGATAAGAACTTTAGTTTTCTCGACGTTTAATATACAATGGTTCCTTGAAATTAATAAACTAGACAACACTATAGTATTATTAATTCCTCTTCCAATTGTGACCTCATCTCCTTCCGTTATTATGAATTCTTCTTCACCAAATGTTTGTCGGCATAATTTCCATTTAGCCATTTTTACACAGAATGAATAACTTATTCGGTATTTGTTTAATCAAAACATTAATTATAAATTAATTGACGCATTAAATTATGTGACTAGATAATAAATAATTATCTAATCAACGAAGAACCGAGTGTTTATCACGGGTATAATTTAAGAGAAAAAATTAAACCGATATTTAATCCAAAATACAAATCACAGACCATTTTATGTATTTAGAGAACTCCGTTGACTGACAGATCTACAGACCACAATGAGCAAATAGCCACTACGTTTTAAAATTAATTTACGTTCAAAAGTAACTTTTTCATCATTGCCTTATTCGACATAACAGAAGCGCAACAAATGTTAAGATCCTGTCAAATTTGACGTCATGGTACGAATTGTTTCAAAAAGTTCATACAAAAAAAGATGGACGGTTTAAGAAAACAATCTTGTATTAGGCCTGGTAAACTGCCCTTATAGATAGTAGGACAGTTCTGTTTAAGGCCTGCTTTAAAGAGTTGGTAGTAAGCCTCCTTATAGTTAGTTAGTAGTTAGTAATGCTATATCGTCGGGGTTAATGCAAAAATTACACTCTACTACTGTAGAAGTAAAGATTGCGTATCTGCACTAAATAAAATTTTATAGGGAATGGGTAAAATTTTTTACGGGTTTATAATTATCTTATTTCAACTGCTACTGGACCCATTTTTATATAGAGCGTATTGATTCCTAAGTTTTACGTACGGTTTTGATTGATATTGGACCCCAGTACCTAAGTTAACAATAGTCTATAATAAATACAACGAGCATTGCAATAAACCACCTCCGAATGAATGATTGTTTTACAGTATTTCTCATAGTTGATTACAATTAGGGATGATACGGAGGTGGTTTATTGCAATCTAAGTCGGAGAAGACGTCACATGTAGCGAAAGTCAGAAAATGTTGTTTTAAGGGTAAATAAAAATATTATTCAGTCAATCAGTCAGTCCAAATCTTTATTTGTTTTTAATTGTATGCCTAGAAAATAAAAATTAGTATGTTATTAAAATTTTAACATAAGAACTATTGACAGGTGTTCGTAATTTATGTAAAACAATAATCTTAAAAATCGAAATTTACTGAGCTAATTACTCAATTGCGTAGTAGGTAACAAATGAAATAATAATAGACGATAGAACGCACATGCTGTACGGACTTGCCGGACGACGATCATTAACTTTTTCATACAAGTGGACCGTGGCTGCCATAGGAATTGTCAGAACTAGAGATGTAAAAGTAATCGGAAGTAACCAAAGTCTAAGCTACGTAACACCCCTTATTCCAATTATATCTACAGATTATTTAATTTAATATATTTTATTACGAACAGAGAAATCTTACTACACTACTACTGAAAAATACTTCATAATTATATTAAAAATACTTACTATATCTATAACCTCGACAGTTCTGAGTATATCTAGCTTTAGACTTATTTTTTTTTATACCTGACACTTTCGATAGTCGTGGGTTCGAATCCTCAAATTATGCAAACATTTGTATTTATAATTATGGTTGTTAGTATTGTATTTTCTATCTATATTATATGTACCTATATGGATGTATTTAAATACTTCTATGGTATTTACCCTTAACACATGATCTCATTACCTTACAAGCCGGCAGCCAGCATTGTGTCAATTGTACTGGATTATTATTATTATTATATATCCTATGGTTGGATGGGACGGACTCTGTTAAATGTCCTTAAGCTAACTTTTTTGTTGCTATTTATCACAGATTTCTTTTATTTATATCATATATACTAAAAAGATAGTTTATATGATATGAATAAAAGAAATCTGTGATAAATAGCAAACAATTTTTTTGTTGTTTTGAATATTGAACGACTGCAATTGATTTTAACAAGATTTTTGGGTTGATAATGATACCTATTAATTTTAAAAATAACAGTACAGTCACTGTTTTAAATATATTTTGATAATTTCCGAGATATCAAAAGCATTGACAACTCGAAGAAAGAAGTGGTTGTTGGTGCGTTGCGCAGAGAAAGCTCTGGGCGGGCGGATCCATGCGGGGTGGGCGGACAGCGGGCGCAAATAGCGGCAGCGCGTACTCGACGAGCACCCGGTTCGGTCGCGCAGTTTGCGCTCGGCCGCACGCGCTCTCCCGCATCCTCGCAACTCAACTCGCTCCTTATTTCGATCGCGCATCAAATACAACCGGTTAACACTTTCCGGACATTTTACATTTATTTACGAAATTCTGTGTATATACTAAGGATTTTGTGTCAGAAACAGTTGTTGTAATCAAACTACTTGTGAACCTTTCGTAACACCCTGGCCACTTCAGCGCTGGTGAGTCGACTGCCCGGCGGGAGCACAGTTTCTCCAGAATCGATAGCAGATATCCTCCCCTCCTCGACGTGTCTTCCTTCTCAAGGTCACAGTGGAGGTAAACACCGGCCACTTTCATTCACAATAAATTTAAGACCAACTTTATTCTCAAAATAAACGATCTATCTAAATGAGTTTATTTTTAAAGTGCGCTAAATGCGCAATGAAAGGTGCATATGAATAGATTTATTTACAAAATTTGTACGCTTGATATAAGCAGTTTTTGTAAGGGCCATGTTTTTGTATAACATCATATATGTATGTACCCAAAATCTATTGCAAATAAATTGATTATTATTATTATTATTAAAATGAGGAGATATTTGAAGGGATGCATAACCGGTACATTCTTACATACTTAGGTATGTTTAGTTGGAGTATATAATTTCTAATTGGTTTGGAATAAAAACAAATTGGGTTTCTCTTACGTTTTTGCGTTGATCAGTGTACCGAAGTGCATGACACCCAGTGACCCATTTTCACAACTTCAACAAATGTTGGCAAATAGGCGAGACAATTTTTACTTTCACGTTTTGTCATAATTATTTTTAGGAAACACATACCTACCTGCCTATTAATTAATTCAAGAGAAAAGAGAGATTTTAGGGAAAAGTCATCGCATTATATTTACCTATAGGTATGTTCCTATAGTATATATATAGGTACAATGATTAGGCCATTTTTTTTAATTGTCCTTTGTGTGCCCTTTTTCATTGTTCTATTTGTATTTACATTTTTTTATGTTTTCCCGGTGTTGCGCATACATAAATGAAATAATGTATAATTCCAACCAATTGAGATACAAATGAAAAACCTATCACCTTCGGTCGATACCATGGGAGGTAGCTGTCTTTAGCTATGGCACGGCGCCTGGCCAGGTAAACCAAATGTTTAAATTTTTTAAGATTAGTATGGGAGCCAATGTGCCTACACGCTATAATTCACTACGATACGTATCTTTATTGCTAGACTAGAGATATGCTTTACTCGGGTGCTATAACTTTGTAAGTTCTGTTTAACATATTATGTAGGTAGCCTTTAATTCTGGAATAAAGTACCTACCAACATATCCATCAAACAAAGAAATAATTTCTCAAATCAGTGTAGTGAAAATCAACTACCTCTCTGTAGATTGTCATAGGTAGATCAATACACACTAGAAACCATAAGGATTATTAGAGTAATTAAAATTACATACTGAGGCATAACACTATAGTCCCTAACAATAGTAGGTATGCATTGGCTAGAGGTTCTGAAGTGTGTGGTGATGTTTATGTGTTCACATTCCGTTAAATGACCCATCAGTTTACCATTCCAGTATTATTAAAAACATAATAATTGTGGCAAAAGTTTATTTGCTAGTTAGCGATGGCCTATTGACAGCACCTACTGTTGAACATATCAAGGTAGTATTTGCTCAAGAGTATACGTCTCATTCGTTTATTTTTGTTTCACGATTGTACACCTATGTATTATTATGTATATTCATTTATTTATAGCTAACTTCTAATAATGCGGGCAATAGCTTATTAGTTGATAAAAGAATATATAAACAACAAAGGATAAACAGTTTTTGACATACCTACATGATTATTACCCATGTATCTACCTACTCCATATAATTTCTAAGGTGACGGTTTCTAAGATACCTAAAATAAAATAAAAATGTAGTCTTTGCAGAGTCATCTTCGTTACGTGAACAGCCTCTTTACTATCTATTTATAGTGCAAACAGATTGATTTATAAATTATTCTGTTTTAAGGAACATGACGGTCGAATGTACAGTAACACAGCTATCGGTAATGATGGCAATGTACGACAATCCCGATATGTTTTGTGATAGAACAACGTACAGACAATTAGTTACTTAGTGGATTTTTTTGGAAAATGTTAAGCTATTAATATAACTTTAATTTGCTGCTAATAACGTATTATAGCTGCAAATGAATAATATGCATGTAATTCAAGATTAATTTGTAATTTACAAATTGTTTCCACTGAAATGATGTGCATTTGTACAGCAAATAATAAATTAAACACGGTCATATTCCGGTATCGATCCAATGTCTTTATATGCCCTAGCTATTATTGATTAGTTTTATTACTACGTTAATCAGTCGAAACTATAATAGATAGTCGATGCAAATATCTACCTACATAATTTTTTTAGAACTACGATTCGAGCCCTACTCGCAATTAGGGGCCTTAATGCCTGATTTAGGGTGTAAAATTGCCGCAACTCATATTGAATTGCAACATCTAGATACTCGAAATTAATAACTATGACTATGACATATACCTACTTATACTTTTTAATTTGTTGGTAGTCGGTACCTACTACTGAAATATTAAATATAAGTGATTATAAACCGTATCTATATTATGGAAAACGAAATTGAGTTTAGATAAAAGACTGAATAATTGTGTGATATCAGTTGAAACCATTAAATATTATTAACCTGAATACTTCCCATCTTCTACAATATAGAAAAAAAGATAAATAGCGCCCAGCGCAGACTTCTTGGATGGATGAACTTCTTTCCATCCCCTGTCGCCAATTGTTTTCAAGCTTTAATATTATCGAGCACTTTTGCATTTTAGTGCATGATGAGCTTAAGACATCATACGTTATAACGTATATCCAATACATACGTAGTTAAGTTAACTTATTCTGAATTCAATCAATAATTATGGCGACGTTTGATCGCAATTAAATAACTATTTTGTTGTTTGTATATGTACTGTGTGTGGACTTACTACGCAATATACTTTTCAACAGGATGCGTATAATATCTTATACTCGTATATTCATATCGGTAATAAAGAGATGGAAAAACTTATATATAAATATATTTGTTTCTACAATAATATTTACTGGAAATCGTGATTTTTTGTGTTGAAAATATGAGATTACAGATTAAAAATTGACAAGATATGCCCACTTTTCAATTTAATTGTACATACTGATTTTGTTACGCGGCCCTATTCAATAAATGAGTACCTCTAATGTGATTTCTTAAGCTAATCGAAATACTGAACCTTTTTAAATGCATGTATCGACAAATGTGTGTTTTGCTTATAGCCTAATATACCTATATGTTTCCGGTTTATTGTAAAAATTTTCAAGCGTTTGCTGATTTAGAATTGAGCTGACATTTTAATATATGACAATGCAGTTACAGTCATAATGTGCTAGTGTGTGGATGGACCTGGAAACCTTAATCTCGGAAGCATCGAGTTGGAGCTCAATTGTTACTTGGTTAACATACATATATTATATAGTGTCTTTTATGGACTCTGAATGTCAAAAGCTTGTAACTGTGAACTTGATGCCATTATCTTTTTCTTTTAATCGTAATAATTCAGAATTGCTGTTTAAAATAGGTATCACAAAAATTATAATTCGGTGTCCGTAGACGGACCAATAAATGGCGTCTCTTAGTCGGCAAAACTGGATAGGGTAGAGAGAGGCTTTATTGGCGTATTTCCAATACAGCAACCATGACCGAATTCGCATAAACAGTAGGGCAATTCCTACTTCCAACCTTTAAGTTTTGTAGCTCAAAAACTGAAAAAATATTATTAAAGGATAAATGTATGGTAGGTAACAAGGTATTTTTATTTTGAGAGTAGATTTAAAATAATATCTACTGATATTTTTTGGAATTGACACAACTAAAAGGGTGAAATGTTTAGAGCTTATCTATAGGCAAATATTTATTGTTCAGTAGAATAATATCATAACTACTTTTCAGCCATTATTGTCAATTATTTTATGAGCCTTTTATATATTCACAAACAAAAAAAATTGAACGGATCAAACTGAAGTTCTACATAAAAATTCTTAAATGAAGAGGAAAAGAGTAAGAGAGGATGTGTGTACGTGCCCTAAACATTTGGCCAGGTTCCAGCCACTGTGTCACTTGTGACCTGTTTCAGCTTGTCGCGGGTTCGGCATTCCCCTCCTAATTGGAGCAACGACTGTCAACAAACAGGTTTTATGGCATGTAACAAGAAAAGCATGTTATATATTGTGTGCAAAAAATTATCTTGTATTTTATCCGACTGCCTAAAAAGTAAGGACTCTACATTGCTTATGTAGGTATTAGAATTAAGCCGGCATATTTAGGTTTTATACATAAACTTAAACAATTTTAAGGATTCTAATAAACACTCCGATGTTGACTCATTAACATGACTCATATCTATATATATTATAGTGTCAAAACCCAAAAAATGAAAAATCCTTATTGTTTCCCTTAAAGATGCCTATTTAGGAAATAACTTCCTTTGCACATTACTATATTATCTTTTTAATAGGATATGAATGAGTTAAAGAACACATTTATTGTCGTCGAGGTTAAATTGTCATAGGTTTAAGTTAACAACTAAAGTAGTAAATAATTTTATCGTGTGATGTAGATTACATGTTCGCGTTCGCCAGACATTATTAACTACCTACTAGCTATCCTTTCAAAAGAGGGTTGAAAGTTCGCAGGGATTAGTTACGTCATAATGTTCCGACCAACTTGAAAGTTAGTGAGTATATGTTATGCCTATTTACAGTAATGTACTAAGTCATTTATTATAACTTAGCTCATAAATATCTCGACATTTATTTTGTAACTAGCCGAGCCCGCGATTTATATTCTAATAACTTCTTTGTTTGTTAACCAATTGGGATAACAATATTTTGTTCTGGCTTTTACTGGGATAAAAAGTAAAATATGTAATAGCTTATATTAGAGTGATCAGTTATGTTAAAAAAATTACTAGATTCTATTGTAATACTATATTATCTCTGCTATATGAAACAATATGTATATACATAGTTTAGTTAACGTATGTATTATGTTCATATTAAAGCTACCGTATGAAGTAATTTTCCATATCAGTATCCAGAATGTTTGTATGTTCAGAACGGTCCGTTTTGTTTGTGCTAAGCGAAGGGCGGCGGTGGGCATAAAGCCGCTCGCTCTTTGTTCTCACCGACCAGGCGGCCACCGATCAATATCCCCTGTAAATTAAAGATATGCGGTTATCGCTGAAAAGTTCATT